ATCAGTAGCCGGCAGCCTGATTATTTTCATCTTTATCTTTGTTTGATGTTCAAAAGTACTACAATTCTGAATTTGAATTGACTTTGACGACACCCTTTCTGAGATAGCTCACTTGGTTGGTAACAAAATCATTTTAAACTGCCGTCACCCAGTTCATTGTATCAAGAGTAAAATACTCCTTAATTATCACAAGTGGTTTTTAATGATCTCTCAAGTCATGTAATAGTTTCTAATTTGGTAGCGATACATTACCGATGTGTCGCTTTTAGTTTACTTCACTTCACTTGAATGAACATGGCGCCTAATTCATTGCGGTCCGAAGGATTAGCTCAATCGTGTTCACTTCCTTACGTTTACTGATCGCTATCTTATTCTTTTGGTGTTAGATAATTGCAGTATTATGTTTCAAATTGTTAATTATATGAGTAATGGATTTTTTTGGTCATGGGTCAGTTTCCTTTTTGGGTATACTGGCCTGCAGTGTTGAAACGTAATCTTTTCCATTACGATTTATAAAAGCAAGGCAACTATATAGAGGCCAACCAAGGAGGTTACTGTTTTGTTTTTTATTTACCATATTAACAGTAAATACAGGATTATCATTTAAAATAGTAACCAAAAACTAAGATTTCAACTTTTGCTGTCATGAATCTGTATCTTAAAATTGGTATATAGGTACGTTAATGTATGCTAACAATTATGGAAAACTGAAAATAAAAGGTCCCTGCACAGACTAACACATTCCTAAATTATAATTATATAATATTGCTTAAGTTTACATTTTATGTTTTTGGCGTATTAATATTTTTATTATTTTTTGAGGGCAAGCTGTTTATACACCTGAGTACAATATAAGCGGTAGTTCGATCGTCATAGGTGTTGTTGGCGCGCGGAGTAATAAGCCTATTCTCAGAAATTTTGAGGGTTCAAACTCATTGAATGGCTTTTTTCGCTCAGGGTGAGGCGAGAAGGAGTGTCAGACTTTTACTGACTAAAAACCCCCCATTCCTTCTCCTGCTCTAGGCCAGAGCCCAGCAAATCTTATTGCGCTTTCCCCGCAACCCCGTCTGAAAATATTTATGTATGGAAAAACGTTTTTCTGTCCATCAAAAGAGGTCAATAATCAAACAATGGACGTGTAAACTGTCACTGACATTTGACAATCATTAAATAACCATTATTTATCGAACTGAACTTAAACAGTCCTATGGATAGATTAATTTAAATAGTGCTGTCTGTATGCCGTGGGAAAGGTCTGGCGTAAAAGTATCTTTGTGTCTCTATAGTACCTGTTCCAATAAGGATACGCGTCGAGTTGTACCCGCACTGACTCGGAACTAATACTTATTCAATATCTGTTATATAACATGTTCTTGATACTTATTGTTGTACGTTGATTTTGACTAGTGATAAGTTCAAAGTTTTTTTTTAGATACCTATATTCTTAATTGTGTTCTTAGGTTCATTACGTGATTGGATAGTGAGTATGCATTATTTATGTATTTGCCTTTTATTTACCTATAGAAAGGTTTAGTTTTGCTTAGCTTATAAAATTCCTACTTTTTGTCAGTTTTGGTAACCTTTTTTAAGGCTGATAACATGTGAAAAATAAACAGTTGGCCCGGTAGATAATTAAAATTCAAATTTCCTAAGGGATAGGTTTTTTTATTTCGGGGGAACACGTCGTCGGGAAAGTCTAGGAAGTGCAGTACCTATTCTTACTTAGGTACCTAACTAAAACCGCCCTGGTGTCGCAGTGATGCAAGCAGGCTCTTGGTGAGGTTGTCCTTCAGATACATACATATTATTTGCACATTTTAAACGCAATACCCAACTTTTACCAACCATAAATCCCACGTAATAGGGGACGAGCCTATTTACAAAATAAAATAACACTATTTAATAAGTAAACGTGGAAAGCGGTTCCCTTTGAAACATTACGCCTGGTTCGAAGTCAATATTCATTAGAAGAAAGCTTGCAATATTTCCTAGAAGCATTAACAATATACACCATTAGCGAGGCCTTTAAGTACATAAATTATGAGGCAAATTAACTGAAACACTAGTTGATGGTGTACGCGTACGAAGCAAGGAACCATATTGTCATTACAACTCATACGCAATGAGCATAGAGAGGGATAAAATGTGTAGGTCTGAAACTGAATACAAAATGTGGAATGGTGGCTTATATAGTTATGTTTAGTTATACGAGGTTTTATTTTTTGTTAACTTGTAGGTAATGCGTGTATGTTTATTTGTACAGTGGCATCTTTTAACTTAATTTTGAAGCTGATATTTTCAACTGATTGACCTGCAATTTCGTCGTGGTGGCCCGGAGGTTCAGGAACCCGTTTCTTATGCATGAGGGCGTTCGAAACCTGGCAAGTACCAATGTGACTTTTTCCGAGTTATATGTACTTTCTATGATTATTTAGACACCACTGATATACGGTGAAGGTAAACATCGTGAGGAAACCTGGACTTGTAATTTCTAATTACAAGTTTGAAATCGCCAACCCCTATTAAGCAAGCGTGGTGATCAATGCTCTAACCTTCTCCGTATGAGTAGAGGCCTTTGTTCAGCAGTGGGCACTTATAGGCTGATGATGATGATGATGATGAGCTGCAATTTTGTATACCTACAGGTTTAGTTTCCATAACCATAAATCTTAAGCTTTATGGATTTCTCCAATATTCTTAAAATGTTAGTAGGTACTTGTTTGCTTGGTTTTTCTAATAAGTATATTTTTTTATTCTTTTTCATCCAAACCAACATACATAGTTAAAAAAGCACTATAAGTGTTAGGTAATGCGTATGCCCTCTCCAACCACCTAAACCACCCAATCCCCATAATCCTTTAACTGGTAGTGTAATAGATTCATTAGTTACTAAAAATAATTTCTACATATGTTTTAAAATGTTTACGACCTATAGCGCTTCTTTCAGCATCTCTATATATGTATTATTAAACAAGTACCTAATACAAATCGTTAAACCTGCAAGATACAGCTGACATCGATGTTTGCTACATAGCGGACACAATACCAATGTGGACACAGTCGTTCCTATTCCATTGTCAATCAGAGCGTCTCGAGTCGCCTCTGACATTCGACACCACGCACTCGATAAATCGATACCTACGAACTTTCACGAGTATCGATACAAGTTACAACTCTAGTTGGCCAGTGGACAGTTAACTTTTTAATTTGTGAAGAGTTCTTAGTTCAGTTCTCACGGTATCAGATTTTTTGCAATTGAGTTCGTTGGAGCGGTAAAATGTGAAGTAAGAGGTGTTGAAATGGGTGTTGTAGTGGTTTAATTAGGATTATGTTCATTAGTAAGCACTATTGGATGTTAATTACAGTCTGTGTAACAGATTTCAAATAATTCACCCTATTCTAGAATCTATTTAAAATTAAATCTTAACTAAACACTCGTAGAATTCGTTTTACATTCTTCACGAACTTCTACAAGACCTTTACATATTTTTAAAATAAGTGGCAGCGTTTCATGGCATTCTCACTTCTTATGCCTTCAGTGCAAGTAAATCTTTTCGCTCTCCATCAACATATTTAAAGTTAGGCAAACTTTCCAGGTATTTCTAATCAAGTTCCACATAAAGTGTATTGTTAGACTGACATTCCGAACCTAACAGGTCACCGCGAACCACTTTTAAACACAACCAAGCGAGCACTTTCCCACGAACGACGATTGAAAGGGCACTTTACGGCCTACTCAGGTTACTTCACCCAGCATTTGTGCCTAGTTTCCATAAATATCCACAGTGTAAACAATATACTGGTGAACTGCTACACCTTGTTCGTATTTGTTAGTGATTTGTTTGAGCTATGTACTGTTTAAAAGTGTCGACTGCTCAAGTTAGCCAGGGAGGGACTGATAACATATGGGGTCCTGAACAAATTTAAACTATTTGAGGTATTCTCAAACTAATGACTAGCCGTGACAACTCTCGTAGAGTTTATATGTCATCCAACATCGATGATTTAACGACTCTCTAAGGATCCAGGGGAAACTCTTCGAAGTATGGAGTTTCGGTACTTTAGTCTAACGATTATCAGCCCATATAGTAATCTTGAATAAAAAAAAATACATTATCGCTTTAATGACCTATCCAAAAATCCAACCAGCAGGATAGCTGTCATTTACCCAGTACTTCTTCGAATTAAGCCAGTCGACTTAAGCTTATCAATTGATCCATCACCTACTTTTTGAAATGTCGTGTATGGCGACCAATCTGAAGCAGGAGATGAATCGGAGTGACTTTAAGTCAGTAAGTGTCTAACATTTCCTCTCGCCCCACTAAGATCGGGATTTAATGGATTTCTTCCTCAAAAATAGGGCCCCAGTGCCCAAGCATTTTTTGCCCCCAAAAGTTCGCATCTGAATTCCACTCTGTAAACCTGGGCAGTGCGTCATAACAATTTCAAAACACAATAAGCAATTTGTGAAGTTTGAAATTTCTTGCAAAAATGTTTACTGAAGGTAAAACCTAATATAGCTAGGCTTTTTACTCAGGTGCTAAATCACTGATTTTATTGGCGAACTTGTTATTTTCCATTTCACTGAAACCGAATTTGCAGTCTTGTTTATTAATTTTATTACCCTCGATTTTACATTTAGGGTCCATGGTATAGCTAACAGCATGTTAAGCATCTACGAAGAAGCGTTTGAAACGATTTTTTTAGTTTAATAAAAGGAAAAGCATTATCTGCCATCTTTTTTTACACAAGTTTTCTTTCTATTGAAAATTTTGAGTTTTTATAGAATAAAACTACATTCCCACAACCACAAACTTATTTTTATTAAAATATTATAAAAATTTGCAACTTTTACTTATCGTATTACTAGGCAAGCTTTTATTAAAGGCGTAAACATTGAATTGAGAGTATTTTTTCCTTATTTATTAAATAAAAAAATTGCCTATCGCCAGTCATGCCGAGCACAATATTCGTGTAAACAAAAACTTCGTTCTATACATAAGACATTTTCAAAAACCGAAAATTCCTCCTATAGCCACCTACTCTGTCCTAACAAACCAATGAAGCAGTCAAACGTACCTATAATTAACTATATAAGGTTCAAATTATCAATTTAATGAAACAAGGATCTAATTTTAGTATAATCCAAATATAAGCGCCTGAATATAAAATGTCTTCTTATTCCATGGAAGCTTATTGCTCACAAACAATTGGTACCTGAGAAATTAAGAATAGCAATCGAGTTTAATATTCTATATGCCTTAATTTTTCTTGATAGTTACTTTGTCTCTCTAGTAAACCTTCAAAAACTTTTAAACCCAGATCTAAATGCACTGCTTCTAGAACTTTTATACTTTTATCTTTTAAAATTGGATCCGTAACAGCAGCTAAACTGTCTACAATATTCTTTGTAAGTCTATTTCTTTCAGCAGGCGTCAATGTATTAATATAATATTCCCGTGCTTGCCGAAAATCATCCCCTGCTATCTCGTGAATTTCAATTACATCAACTTTATTACTTTCTTTATACGGCACAGGACCATTATACGAATTAGGATAATAATTCGGCACGTTACCCTGATTATCTTCAACAGGTGCTCTTCCATCTCGATTATACGTAAAAGTTTCTACAATAGGTTTATTAACATTAATGTTCTCGAAATTTCTTCCCAAACGATAGTCTTGAGCATCTCTATATGCGAAACGACGCGCTTCAAAAAGTTTATCAGGCGCTCCAAGAATCCCAGGCACAAGATTATTAGGGCAGAAAGCCAGCTGCTCAATTTCAGCGAAATAGTTTATTTGATTCTGATTCAAAACAAGTCGCCCTAACGGTCTTAGCGGGTATTTCTCTTCTGGTAAAATTTTTGTTGAATCAAATACATCAAAGTCAGCATGTTGGATATCGTAGAGATCTAACACTTGGACATAAACTGTCCAACTGGGAAAATTTCCTGCGCTTATGGCATTAAACAAATCTCGAGTTGCATAGTCTGGTTCAACAGCTGCTAATTTCTGGGCTGTCAATGAATCTAAATTCTTTATACCTTCGTCAGGTTTAAAAGTAAATCTAACAAAGAATTTTTCTCCCTTACTGTTTACAACTTGATATGTGTGAATACTAAAGCCAGGCATATGTCTGTAACCGTCGGATATGCCGGCATCACTAAAAATATATAAAGTATTATGTACAGATTCGGGACGGCGCACAACGAAATCCCAGAACATGTTGAAGTCGTACTGGTTTGTTTGTGGATTCTTTTTCCTTGAATGGACAAACATGGGGAAAAATAGAGGATCATGCACCCCGAAAACGGGCATGTTTAAACCAACTATATCGAAGTTACCATCTTCTGTGTAAAACTTTACAGAAAAACCCCTCGCGTCTCTTGAAGTGTCTATGCCACCGAACTGAACCGAACCACCGATGCCACCGAACGACTGAGGTTTTCTTTCCAACGTTGTTAAAAACTTTTGCTTTGCAAATATCATTAAGGTCATGTGTCACTTCAAAGTAACCGAAAGCTCCTGCTCCCTTAGCGTGGATAACTCTCGAAGGAATCCTTTCCCTGTTGAATTTTGTAACAGTGTCCATAAAGAATTCATGAAAAATCAGGCGTTTGTTTAAGGTTGAATCTGCTTCTTCATGGTTGATCGGTTTACCGACTGAAGTCGTCAATATTCCAACGGGATGCTGAAAACAATTTTAATTATTTATTGTACTTAATATTAATTTAATACAATGAAACGTCCATTTTTACATTACAATTTATAGTCACGCGTTTTGTTGGTAATTTATCAACAGATTTCAAATTATTCTTAGCATTTGGCGGATATAATTAAAAGTGTTAGATTACAAAACTAATAAGGATACGCATCGCTTAACATCTTTGAATTCCCTCTAATTGTTTGCAACATAAAATTACTCAACATTCTAAAACATGACTACCCTTATCTGATAAATGATTTCCTCTGGCACTACTATTAGCACCCTGATTTATCTGTGTAATACTTGATTGTTCGCAGAGGCTTCATTAGGAACCATTGACCACTTCCGTGAAAACTTAATCGTAAATCGAACAAATTTTATGAAATAAAAAGTATTGATAAATATTTTTGTTACTAGGTATATTCTTACAAGTAACTTAATGAACATACAAATAAAAAACTCTTGAATAAGATTTTACAATCAAAGAATACTAGTTAGTATACATAACTACATATACATTGCGGTCAATAATATATATACTTATTTTACCATATAAAGAACTATTTGAGCTAATTGTAAGTACAGTATTGTCTGGCCATCATGAAGTCGGTACCTGTAGCTCTTTACGTGTTAATCCCCGCCATAAAAAAGCAGCGTCTCCCCTTATATACCTAATTATTAGGAATCAGATACAGGCACAGTTACACAGATGCAAACAAACAAGCTCCTAAACTTTACAAGTTACACTAATTTATACAACTGGCTACTGCCGCGCGATTTCACCCGCTGCTCGGCTCCTTTTAGCAGCAGGGAGACGTTTTATAACCTATGGCACTCAGGAAAATTGTAGTTATCTATCAGTGAAATACTTTTGGAAAAGCCCCACACTAAGACTTTTTTCTATCTTGTAGTTGCGTTTACATACATACAATTTCATATACACATTACACCCAGACACGTAACAACAATTAGTGGATCACCCAAAGAGTTGTTTCGTGCGGGAATCAAACCGTCAATTGTGCAATCAAATTACCAATTACATACAAACTTACAATACTTCTTTATAATATAAGTATTGATAAAGAAAGTGATGTTTGTGTATCACTGACTGAGCCACATAAGCAGGTATTGGTGATCATATTAACAACTAGCTTTTGCCCGCGAGTTTGTTCGCGTGGAATAGTGACTTCCCGCAGGTTTTTGGTTCGAAAACTATCCTTTTTTTTGTGAGGAAAATCATCAAATGACTACTCCCGCCCAGGGCCGGGCGGGAGAAGTCAGGGTGTGTCACTGACTAAAAACCCCCTTGTTTCTTCTCCTGCTCTGGGCCGAGGTCGCGGTGCCTCATTGCGCTTACCCCGCAACCCCGGCTGAACATCAGCCCTATAGGGTCCCGTCTGTAGTGGTCTATTGGCTCTTTGAGGCGCACGCGGAACGCTACGCGCCGTATGCTCGGGCCTGGTTCTGTTCGGGCGGCAAGCTGCCCTTACTCGCCGACCGCAGACCCGCGCTTACGGTGGCCAGAGATCGTCCCTTAATCCCCGACCCCCGTAGTGTCGCCTCTTGCGGCAGCTGGGGCGTGAGGAGGAAGATTGCTCCCTCACGCGGGCCGCCACCTTCTTTGCGAGCATAATTGCTTCACAGAAGGAGGACACGGTGTCCCAGTTCCTCTCGCTCCGCACCATGGCCTCGACTAAGAGGTCGCCGCCGCCGATCACTTCCCTGAGGACACGGCGGTGCTCAGCCCAGGCAGGGAATACCGCCACCGTATGCTCCACCGTATCCTCTAAGTGGTCCTCACAGTGACGACACTCGGGCGTTTCCTCCTGCTGGATCCGAAACAGGAACCTACCGAAGCTGCCGTGCCCGGTAAGCACCTGCGTCAGGCGGAAGGTGAGGACGCCGTGGCGTCTCACAAGCCACTCCTTAAAGAGGGGTCTTACCGCTGCTATAGCAGCGTGCCCGGCCCTCGGTTGCGACAGTCGCTGCTTCCACTCAGCCATGAGATCTCGCCGGAGCTCATTCCGCCACGCACTAATTTGGCGCCGCAGAGGATCTTCGCCCCGGCGACGCGCGCCAAATCCCACAGCGGTGGTTCGCCACCTCACCGGAGATCGTGCGATATCCGCGGATTATCCGGATAGCCATTACACCGGCTGTCGAGGACGAGACCCAGGTACTTCATCGCCGACTCGACGCCAATGGTTACTCCTCCTACCGTTATATGGGACCCATCTGGAGGTGGCGCGTTCCGACGGCCATAAAAACACATGGCCTCGGACTTGTGGAGTGCCACCTCAAGTCCCAACTGCCGGATCCTTGCAACGACTGTCGCGACCGTCGTTTATTTCTGTCGCGACCGCTTGCGACATCAGGTCGGCCGCCGCCTGTCGAAAACTATCCTATATCCTTCTTCGAGTTCCAAAATATGTCTGTACCAAATTTCATACAAACAGGTTCAGTAGTTTAGGCGTGAAGAAAAGACAGAAAGACACAACCAGACAGACAGACAGACAGGATTACTTTCGCAATTTATAATATTAGTTTGGATAAATTATTGAAAGGTAACTTACAGAAACGTTATCACGGAATGTCTCAATTTGATTTGCAGCGAAATCATAATGTTCTGTCGCCATAATGAGACCGATGAACGATAGTAAACACCATTCTACCTTCATTGTGGTTACACGATTGAACGATAATGACTGCCTAACAGCTCCACAGTTTTATAGGCACTGAGCAAGCATTACATCCTTGCACTAGACTATATCAAGTACAGGATCTATACTGGTATTTTATTGCACTTTGTATAATGCTTACCTACGTACTTATTATTTTCTATTACATTGGTGATCGATATCCCTAATTTGTTTGCGTTATTTGTTTGTGTTTCGTAGGCAAATGGCGCCGCCCTTGGACACCCTCAGCACCGGAGGAGTTACGAGTGCGTTACGCTTTTGGAATTGGAGCAGGAGAAGTATTGGACCTCCGGTAACCTAACTGTAATTTCACGCCAGTTTTCTCTAAGGCCTTGGTATCACTTCGGTCGAGCCGACCCATGCGTGCTGAAACTTGGCTCTCCACACTTAAAATTCGCTAAATTACGATTTCAAATACAATACAATGTTTGCTAGTGAATGTCGAATAGAGTATTCTGTAAAATATTTCGGCAGATATAAAGTCGATAATAAAAACGTAAAATGACTAATTGGCCCAAAGATTGATGATAGATACAATTGAATTGAAATGAAAAAAAATATTTATTTCAGACTATGCACATAGAGATTATACACGTTCATTTTTGTTAGTAGATGAAAACTTATATGTTAGTAATGATAGATACACGTTAGTAAAATTTAAAATGTTTATTGCTTTGGACATGCATGAGTGACCACTGTCTAAGGATTTCGCTGTCCACTCTGTTCCACACCACATTCAACAGCGTGTTGGTGCTACCCTTTAAGCGTGACCACAAGGAGGCCGTTCTTTTACGCAGCACCGCCTGAAAGCCGTCCGCGCTGTGCTCAACGATCATTCCGGAAGCACTACACCACCATGGGAGACCCAACAGACTCCTGAACGCGTTGTTATACTGGATGCGCAGAGCATTGTATTCTTTTTTAGTGTAACAGCTCCACAGGTTACACGTGTATAACGTTTGGCAGTAGCTTTTAAATAGTGTGACTTTAACGTCACGAAAGCATGTTACCCCTTACCGACAATGCCCTGCGCTCCCTATCCATGTCCATATCATCGGTTAGTTTCTCATTGACCCAGTGACCCCAGTTCTCAAACTTAAACACTTGCTGTAGGATTTTTCCATTAAGTGTGATTGGAGGAACAGTGTAAGTTTTAGTACCTGCCTTAAAAAGTAGCAGCTCACTCTTCTCAACATTGTACTTGAGCTCATGGGCCAATGCATACCGTTCACATATCGTCAATAGTGTCCTAACAGAACTGATTGAGGGCACCATGTCATCAGCGTAGCTTATGTTATTCATAAAAATACCATCTACTGAACATCTGACACCGGCACTGCTGAGCTCCTTAATCAGTCCGTTTACATATAGATTAAATAAAGTAGGTGAGATCAAACCCCCCTGCCGTACTCCACACTTCATCCTATATTCATCTGAGCATTCGCCCATCCATCTGACAAAATTGCTTCGGTTATCATATCAATACTTAAATTAATGACTTCCACAGGCAGACTGGTGTTTAGCCTCATCTTTCTCCACAGAACATTGTAAGACACCATGTCAAACGCTTTTGACAGGTCCAGGAAACAGGCGTATACTGGTATTCCTCTGACAGTATAGTACCGGACAGTATGCTTTAGACAAAGTACTGCAGATTCAGTGGGCAAGCCAGGTCGAAAACCAAACTGAGCGTCATGCAGAGAGACATGTTGGCTTAAACGTCTGTTAAGCACAGCGTCCAGCACTTTACCCATGGTCGTAGCCAGAGATATAGGTCTATAATTCCCCTTATCCGATGCGTCACCGGTTTTATTTTTAATAATAGGCACTAAGGTAAACGCTCCTAATACGGCGGTAGTCAAAATCGCTTCCTATTACGGTGGTATTTCAATTTTTGCGTTTTATTCCCGTTTTATTCAGTGTAGATACACCAAAACCGAAACTATTTATTCTAAATCTATTACTTTATGACTTAACTGACGTTTGCAAGTATAGCACATAGTCAACACAATAAGATCAATCAATCTGTGTAACGTCATCGACGTGAGAGGTGTTTCCATACAAACGCGGGACTACAAAAGTAAGCACACAAATATTTAGAAACTAAGTTTTTCGTATTAATATGCCGTTTAAGTTTGTTCATTTGTTATTTCTAGCATTTTCTTATTGTTACACTCACTATTTAAATAGCTTATTTTATACTTGTAAGTCATTTTTTACCAAAAAAATTAAAAATAAAATATCGCCGTAATACGATACAAATTTTGTAGATTAATCCTAATACGGTGGTATGCCTCCGAAATAGGAAAAGTACTGAACATGTTTAATTGTTTATAACTTTCAATTGATTAACTTATTGAATTAGTTTCAAGTTTAGTTGAAATAATTATTAATCGCATAACTTAGAAACCATATTCTGTGGTATGTGTTCTTATTAGAAATCTAGTTAAATATGAAAACTGTCGAGTACAAAATGTTAGTTTCTTAGGGAACTTATTAGGGAAGGTGTATTTTAATTTATCACAAAACATTTTTTGTATAAATTTTGACTTGAATTTTTCAAATCTGATCCAAAATCTCTTAATGTTTGATTAGGCATTTTTACTCTTTCGTTTATGGAAATATTTATGGGTCAGAATTAGAATTATCAAAAACATGAGTAGTTTTCCTATTACGGCGGTAATTATTTCCAGGTAACTCTGTGTAGGGTTCTAAGATCTCCTATTACGGCTCTATTCATACAACATATAATTACACGTTTTTAGGGTTTCGTAAAAGTTTTGGATTCTTGTTTGACATGCATGTGTTTTTTGATAAAATCAAAAGCGATGAAAACTTTTAATTTATGTAATTGTTTTATTTAAATTAATCCAACCTACATAATTTTTATTTTTGTTTTTATAGATATTATGGACAGAAAGAAACGCAAGTGTTATACTAATGCCCAAGTTTGGGAATAAAAATTATTTTATTTTAACATGAGAGAATCCTAGTAGATTTTCTCACAATACAGAAAATATGAGCGAAGCGATTTCGGTCTGTTCTGTCTGTTTCGGTCATTTTTTAAATTTTACTGTTTGTTTTTCACAACCTAAAGTTTTATTTTTATTTTATTGAAGTTTCGTACAAATAATATTTATTAAATAATTACTAAAAATGTGATTAAAGTAATTCTAAAAATAATTCATTCACCATTAATTTGATAACGCAATGTAAGAAAATCAATGGTCAATAAATGAAAAATTTACGAATTACGTTACTGACACATTAATATTATTTAATAAATAATATTATTTACGGGACTTTAATGAATATAATTTCAGACCCTCCGTATTAGGAGCCGTCTACCGCTGTAATTGGATCAGACCAGAATTGTACCTCCGTATTAGGGAAAATCGACCAGACTATTTAAATATTTTTTTTAAATAAGAAAAATCATTAACAGAAACTTAGTCTCAACAGAAATACAAAATATAAATTCCACTTTTAACGATCGAATTTTTTTCCGCCTTTAGAAATACCTACAAATGCTTATTTTTGTTTCTTACTTTCAAATGATGCGAAATACCTCCGTAATAGGTGCTTTTACCTTACTATGATTTTCATGAAATCGTCTGGTAGGTAGTTATGACGAAGACAGAAGGTAAACAGCATGGATAGGACTCTGGGCAGATGAACACCTGCATGTTGCAAATGCTCGATGCTGAGACCATCGTGACCCGGTGACTTCCCTCTGGTCATCTGCTTAATAACCTTAACTACAATAATGCTACAATGGAGTGAGGGGATACACGCAACATCCGCCGATAATGTACTGAATAGTTGGCTAATAATCACTGCATCGAATTACTTATTTTAGAAACAAAAAGTGAAGATTATATTCATCTCGGGAATCGAACTTGATGTTTGAAACTACCTACTAAATACTACTAAATAAACATAAAAACTAGGTATACCTAACATGAGGAAAATAATAAAAAAATATATATCTCTTTATTGTGGAGTTTTTTTTATTGTCGGTTTGGAAAACCCTCATAGAGTCCGTCCGCCCTGCGGTAAGGGCAAAGGGGACAGCCAAACTCTTACTGACTAAAAACCAACCCGGTATTCGGGGCAGGCATCGCCGAAACATTAGTCGCACCCTCCGACGGTTATTGGCTTGCCAGATCAGAGCCCCGTCACCCATTGCGACCGTCATCTCGGCCGCAAATTTCCAAGAAGAACACTATGCAGCTGCCTCGAGGCCTGCTGCCGACTGGAGTAGAAGATTCCCCGAGTTTGTCGACGACAGGCCGCGCCATGGTCGTCCACCCTACTACATCTAATGCGTCTGCTGCAGGAAGGGAGAGAGGAGCCAGTTCTCTCGACTATTACGTAACCGCGTGGAGACGTCACTTCATCCTGACTCGCTACCGATCATGATAGATACAACAGCCAGGAGTGAAGGATTTCCCGCAGCACCAACAGCCGCGACTAAGTCACAGCGCTTCTATATTTCCATCAACCCGTTCCTTCTCCTGCTCCAGGCCGGGACGTTCATTACTGAACTCGCAATATTGAAATTCATGACACTTACCAGTGTGTAATTACACTAATTGTGTAATTATGCATTATTCATTTTATTTCTTCCGTCGACCCAATTGCAGTAATTAGTATGTAAATATCATCTAATTACAAAAATTTATTGATACGGTAAATTGTTTGAATTTTTTCGGTGTTCTCATATTGTATAAGGTCAATATTGTCTGTATTGTTGTCACGTATACCTAGAAAAGGTTTTGCAGAAAAAAATATAAAATAATCACGAGACACAAAACATAATAGAAAAAAATCTCAAAGTTTGTTAGTTAGCACATAAGTCAACAATGCCTGGAGAAATTTTGTGATTTACTGTCTTGTTTTTTTTTGGTTGTTGTCGGGAGATGGTGATTATGAACAAAAATCTTAAGAAAAGTAGAGGGGAACATTGGGAAACGCGGCCTTTTCGTCAGCGAGGTAATTGGGCAAGCGTGCGAAGCACAGCCAACCCGCTAGGTGAAAATAAATAAAATATAGTTCAGTATAATTCGTAATAATTTTAAATAACTTACACTTTATATTACGAAAACAGGAATCTTAATTAAATTATCTTCAATAGTTAAACACTATACAATGTTAATTTTTTACATATCCCCAGTACCAGTGTTGTTTGCTAGCAGAGCTTGCCGTACTTGTGCCCCGAGATCTGGATGTATACGAGTATATATATCCAGAGCCCGGTCATGTAAAAATTTCGCAGCAGGTCTCAAACTATCCACTATGTTTTGCACTAATCTTTTCCTTTCTGACGGCCTAATTTCGTTTAGGTACCACTCTCGAGCTTGATCGTAATTATTTGCAGCCTCCTCTTTTATCTTTATCAATTCAACTTTATGCATACCTTTATAAGGAACAGGTCCATGAAACGAATTAGGATAGTAATTAGGTATGTCTCTTTCATTATCATGAACAGGAGGCACACCATCACGGTTGTATGCAAATGCTCTATGTCGCATGGGACAATTCACAGGTATTTTGAGAAAATTCCCACCCAAACGGTGGTACTGAGCATCTCTGTATGCCAAACGTCGGGATTCATATAATTTGTCTGGACCTCCAAGAATACCATCAACTAAATTCGCAGGAGAAAATGCCAACTGCTCGACTTCAGCAAAGTAATTAACAGGATTCCTGTTTAAAACCAAACGGCCTAATGGACGCAACGGATACTTATTTAGCGGCAGTATCTTCGTGACGTCAAAGACATCAAAGTCAGCATTTTTAACGTCGTTCTCAGTCAAGACTTGAATACTTGCACTCCAACTCGGAAAGTTTCCTTTTGCAATGGCATTATATAAATCTCTGTTTGCGTAATCAGGATCATATCCCGCTATCCGTCTTGCTTCTTCAGTCATAAGATTTTTAATACCTGCGTCTGGTTGAAAGTGGAATCTAATGAAGTGACTTTCTCCGCGTTTATTTACAACTTGATATGTATGAATAGCAAACCCTGGCATATGGCGGTAGCCGTCTGGGATCCCTCGATCGCCAAATATTATCAAATAAATAAAAAAGAGCTCAGGTAACTCCGTCAGATAGTCCCAAAGGGTATTGACATCATAGAGATTTGTTGAGGGATTTCTTCTAACTGCGCGAATTAGAGAGGGAAACTGCGTAGGGTCTTTATACATATACATTGGAGTGTTGAAACCAGCAATGTCAAAGTTACCATCTTCTGTATAGAATTTAATGGAAAACCCTCGAATGTCTCTGGAAGTGTCAATACTTCCTCTTTGAGTAGCCGACGTGGAAAGTCTTACTGCAACGGGAGTCCTTTTGCCAACTTTGTTAAATAATTTCGCTCTGCATATATCAGTTACGTCATCTGTTACTTCGAAATAACCAAAAGCGCCTCCGGCCTTCGCGTGCACAATACGTTCGGGTATTCTTTCTCTGACGAAGTGTGTAACAGTATCCATAAAAAACTCATTGTTGAATAAATTCTTATTTAAAGTAGATGTGTCTTCTTCTTCAACAGGTGCTCCAGCTGCAGTAGTCATCGTTGCAATGGGACACTGTAACAAAACAGGAATCATATTGAGAAAAGCTGAATATTTGTCTGTCATACGTAGTTTGGAAGCAAAGACGTTACAATAATAAGTATGAAAGTATTTTAGAGTTCAACAATCTTTCCATTAATTTTATAATCAGCTTGATTTTTTTTGTGACGTAACCATAAACAGATACATTTGAAACGTCAAAATAGAACAATATAAGGTTGTCAGTCTGTTCGTCAGTGTTACCGTTCCAAATTGTAGTTTCAAATTGAAAAGAAAAAGAAAGATTTACCTACCATCCAAGAATATACATTCAAAGAGAACAATGAAAAAACCAAATTTGGAACATAAAAAAAACTTGTAGCTCACCTGTGTTCGTTTTTTGAATTCAATGACTTGTTTACCCGCTGCCTCACCTTTCACCCCAGCTATCGTAATTATCACCAAAATTAATAACTGTATCATTTTTATTACTTTTTGAAAGAAACTCCTTGTAATACAATTGTCCCATCACCGCTTTAACTAGGTAAATAAATTTAAGTTCTTTCAAATTTAAATATTAGACATGTCTTCTCAATGCCTAATTACAAAGTGCTAGTTATTCTAAGAAAACTATAGTGTACGTTATCTTTGTCGTCTAATGAAATTCCAGTAGCAATGTTATGAACATTTTTTCTAACTTATCATTTAAGTACATATTATTATCTATTTCGATTTGCATATAACCACTATGGAATTAAAATAATTATTCCTAAATACAAGGACAAATTAACATTGCCGCCTAAAGAAATTCGCCAAACAATTTCTACGTAGGATCAAGTTGTTGACTGTCTTTACCCAAGCACTTTACATAGCCATGAAGGTTCTGTATGAAAAGAGTAAGAGCTCTTAAGGGTCACAGGTCATTACCACCAGGTACGCTCCTTGCACCGCGTCGTCAGACAGCTCCCGCCGACCAATAAACGTCCCGCGGTTAACAGCTGGACCAACACGGTCAAAAAGAAAGCCGCTTGGTCCAAGAATTTTCGAATCGTCTCTAATTGGCAGTAGGGCAGCACGCGGTCCACTCGAGACCTGCGCGTTAACAACGCCCAGTCACTGAGGCGATCTGATAGCGCTACGGAGTTGGTGTAAAGAGCGCAAGCTCATACAAGACCATATTACAAAGAACACTAGCCGCACGAGACCAGGGGTGCCGTATTAACTTAATTCAACCTTAATACACCAACGTCGATCTGTTTCTGTTAATTGTTTGACATAAGTCTATAAAAGAGATCTACAGATCTTTGAACCCACTTACATCTATCTAGCACTTATATTTAAATATTTAAACACTTATATCTAGCATTACCTCTACCTATTGTTTTGTAATCTTAAAATCGTTGCAAGTCTTTTAGCCACTGGATATCATCACACCATTAAACTGGTGGAAAATCACGATAGCCTAGATGACTCCGCTCCAAAACAAATCAACCCCTATGCTTATGTGTTCTGCGACGAATGTGATCAACTCACTGTATGTAGTCTCAGCACTTCAGTTATACTGTTCATACATTGGGCCAAGTCATTAACTTAAATTCTCTGTCGGATTATCTCATTTCATTTCAGAACATTCAGAAAGGTGTAACTAACGCCAGTTACAAAAATCTACTACTATAAAATAATAAATGGGCAACATATACCTGTACATAGACTTTTTTATATCTGACAAGAACTTTGCTTATCTAGTCAAATTCGAAGAGTGTAAAACAGGAAGTTAGAATTTGTTCTATGTCATTGCCAATGTAGGTAAATATACTATAATATACCAGTAGTATCCTTAGCTGGACCAAGCCAAGATTTGAACCTAAGAACATTCAATTTGAAAAAGGTTGCTTTAAGTTAGATTCCTTAAACCCAACCTTCAAATATACGTTTATAATATACGGTAGAAATCACACTTCATCTTGTGATTGTAACTCGATTACAATCACATATAGAAAAAACTTGTTGTTTGTTGCATGTTTTGCAGAGACTTTGTTTTATCCATAATATTCAAAATGGGTAAAAATCAAAAAGCCTCTATTTACTTAGATTATATGTCTTCAAGTAATAATAACGAATCGATTGGGTAAAGAAAATAACAAATAACTTTCATACACAGTTATATCAATCATTTTAAAAATATATTCACAAACAAAGCTTGTAATCTACATATAAACGTACAAAGGTACAATGAATTTTATTCACTTCTGTTCGTAAAGTTCGTGAAGGATTTCATATTATATTATATGTATTGTACATTTGTTTAGTTATCGTCACAGTGGCAGTTCATTGTCGCGTTCCGTAGAGCTCGCTCCACCTTCACACTAAGCTCAGGATGTATCCGCCTAAATATCTTTATAGCCCGTTCTTGCAAAAAACCGGTTGCTTTTTTCAAACTATACACTATGTTCTCCACTAATCTCTTTTTCTCTTCCACACTGAATTCATTCATGTACAAGTCACGAGCCTGATCAAAGTTATTCGGTTTGTCTTCATATATCTCTATTAGTTTACCAACATTATTATCTACATATGGAACGGGTCCATTGAATGAATTAGGATAGTAATTGGGTATGTCTCCTAAATTATCATTCAGAGGGGGCACACCATCACGATTGTATGGGTACGCTTTATGGCGCAAGGGACAGTTAACGGGGATTCTCAGAAAGTTTGCACCCAAACGGTAATACTGAGCGTCTCTGTAAGCCAAACGTCGAGCTTCAAACACCTTATCTGGTGATCCAAGAATACCATCAACTAAATTCGCAGGACAAAAAGCCAACTGCTCAATTTCGGCAAAATAATTTATAGGATTCCTGTTCAAAACGAGACGCCCTAACGGTTTTAAGGGGTACTTTTCCTGAGGCAATACTTTTGTAACGTCAAATACATCGAAGCTTGCATTTTTAACATCACTCTCAGTCAATACCTGTATACTTGCCGTCCAGCTAGGATAGTTGCCAGTTCCGATAGCGTTGTATAAATCTCTGGTTGCATATTCCGTATCAGTACCTGCTAACCGCCTTGCTTCCTCTGCAAATATATATTTGATGCCTGCGTCTGGTTGGAAGTGAAACCTGACGAAGTGATTCTCACTATGATTATTGACAACTTGATACGTGTGAATACTAAATCCAGGCATATGTCGATAGCCGTCTGGAATTCCTCGATCACTGAAGTATAGTAAAAACAAATGGAAACTTTCTGGGTTAATGGTTAGGTAGTCCCACAATGTATTGGGATCATATAAGTCTGTCGCTGGGTTTCTTTTCTGTGATCGTACGAACGTGGGGAATAGTATGGGGTCTTTGTAGGCGTACATGGGTGTGTTAAGTCCAACTATATCAAAGTTCCCGTCTTCAGTATAAAATTTCACGGCAAATCCTCGGAGGTCTCTTACCGTGTCACTCCCGCCACGTTCAGTGATCACCAAAGAAAATCTAGCAGCTATGGGCGTCTTCTCACCTAATTTGAATAACTTCGCCCTGCATATATCGTATATATCGTGAGTTACTTCAAAATACCCGAACGCTCCTGCGGCCTTGGCGTGAACAACGCGTTCTGGTATTCTTTCCCTAGTGGCATGCGTTAAACTGTCCATTAAAAACTCATTGTATAACAATGGTTTGTTCAAGCTAATTGTGAATTGGTATTCAATCGGTGCACCTGCAGCAGTGGTCATGATGGCGATAGGTCCCTGAAATAAATAATAAATATTAAAATTAATAACTTAGACCTGACAAGACTGTTTAAGTGTGGGAGAGCCATGCTTCGGCACGAATGGGTCGGCTCGACCGGAGTAATACCACGGCCTCATAGAAAACTGGCGTGAAACAACTACAGCGTTGTGTTTCGCCGTGTGAGAGATTACCGGAGGCCCATTAAATTAGACACTTACCACAGTTCTATTTTTATATAAAATAATTTGATTTCCAGCTGGGTCCTCTTCCGCGGCCATAGTCACCATTATGACCATAAACAATGGCAATGTTTTTAGAAACATTTCAATTTTTATAATTCGTTCCCTTGGGCGTTTTTATTTACATTTTAAAAATACACATTTTCTGGTTAGGATATATTAAAAAACACGTCAATTCTAAGATCAGTTTTTCTGAAAAGTAAATAGTTTTATTAAGTATCATCTAATTAGCGATTCGAGTCACATGTTCTTATTTATATATTTAAATTTATTTAATCCTTATCTTTAATGACCCTATTATTTAAAAATAGAGGTATATTTTGTTAATATTATTCCGTAAAACTCGAGAAATTTTATAAATGAAATAAGTACTTTACTTTTCTATAGCAAAAACATGCGTAAATTTAATTTAACCCACATGTAAGTAGGTCGTCATGTCAATTAGGTACGATATCAATCGTTTTTCTAATTCCTTTACTATTTCGCTGAAGAAAATGGCAAACTGGCACGTTTTTGTACTGGCGCCTGTCAAATTGGGTACCTAGGTATTTTCCTCGGTCAAAACTAAATCTCTTCAAGATTTCCTTACAATTAAATATTCAAAAGTAATAGCATTTTATTGATGTATTTGACGATACACTAAATTTTAGATGTTATTGGTTACATTTTATACACAAAAATTATGTCACATTTCTGTTTTCTATATCAACTTTATAGAAAAGTTTGAGTTTTGACAATTTAATAATAAAACATTATGGTACAAGCGTGTAAAGTTTGTGATTACCGCAGAGGCGCATTGAGGCCCAAGCCCTGAGGCGAGGGTCTCAAGGAGGTCGATAATCATCAATACACACATTTCAACACACTTCTGAATTAATAATACTTAAATTAAAAAACCCTCAATTGAGAAAACGAGACGAGTTGTGAAAAATGTTTCGTAATAGCGGGAAAAATTAATCAGTCTTCCTATGCGCGCTCATCCGCCAGGCTAAAAAATAGGGTTTCTTTTTTTTGGGCTCGTCGCGGATAGCGATTTTAGCGCAAGTGTAAGTGTAGCTCAACCAAAACTATAAAAAAAAACTCTTTTGAACTCGTGAATAATAGTTATGAAAAAGTCAGTTTGAAATTTTATTTTATTTCGATATTTGGATATAATTCCTAGTCAGTAAATTACTTGTTCAAACAGTCAATTAGTACACTTATCTTAAGATCAACCTTTTTACACTTTCTTTTAAAGGTAATTTTAAAGCCAGGTCGCAGTCAAAAATAACACAAGACAAGTACCTTTTTCAATATTAACAAGTTTGGAGCTGAAACTTCAAGACAATCGCTGAAAAAACCGTATACCAGATACGATTTTATCTATTATTGAAGGATTAAATAATCTGTATTACAAACGCAATATTTTATTAGATACTTTAAATAAAGAATAATATAACTATAAAAATGTAGGTAACAAAAATTAACTGTTATATTAACAAGTTCTTAATTACTAATTACTTATAAGACTCCTTCCTTAAAAGTAAGAATGTGTGCCGAAGAAACCTAAATCAATTTCATAAGGCGTTTTCGTTATATTTGCCTGTAAACCTTGATATATTCTGTCACTTAGATCTGAGTGTATCCGACCGAACATTTTCACTGCTCGGTCTTGCAAAAATTTTGTAGCAGGACCCAAACTGTACAGAATGTTTTCCACTAATCTCTGTCTTTCTTCAGGTTCCATTTCATTGGTGTATAACTCTCGAGCTTGTTCGAAATTATCCGGTTGGTCTTGGTGGATCTCTATCAATTCAACATTATCCTTATCTTTGTAGGGAACAGGGCCGTGGAATGAATTGGGATAGTAATTAGGTATATCTTTCTGATTGTCTTTAACAGGAGGCGGACCATCACGATTGTATGGGAAAGCCTTATTTTGCAAAGGACAATTTACAGGTATGTTGAAAAAGTTTGCACCCAAACGGTAGTACTGGGCGTCTCTGTAAGCTAAACGTCGAGCTTCGAATACTTTGTCTGGTCCTCCGAGAATACCGGGCACCAAGTTCGCAGGACTGAAGGCTAACTGCTCAATTTCTGCAAAGTAATTTACAGGATTTTTGTTCAAAACGAACCTACCCAATGGTCTTAGAGGATACTTGTCTAAGGGTAAAACTCTGGTGACATCAAATACATCAAAATCTGCATCTTTAACATCTTCCTCGCTTAGGACTTGAATGCTGGCAGTCCAACTTGGAAAGTGTCCTTCCCCGATAGCTCGGTATAAATCTCTAGTGGCATAATCTGGATCAGTTCCCGCTAACTTTCTTGCTTCTTCTGATCGTAAATTTTTAATGCCTGCGTCAGGTTTAAAGTGGAACCTGATAAAGTAACTGTCGCCGTGTTTATTTACAACTTGGAAAGTGTGTATACCGAAACCGGGCATATGTCTGTAGCCGTCTGGGATTCCTCGATCACCAAATACTAGTAGAAACATGTGCAAACTTTCTGGACGTAGCGTCAGGAAGTCCCAAAGCATGTTTGGATCTAGCAAATTCGTCGCTGGGTTCCTTTTCTGTGCTCGTACGAAAGTGGGAAACAGAAGTGGGTCTTTGTAGACATACATGGGGGTGTTAAAACCAACTATGTCGAAGATACCGTCTTCTGTGTAGAATTTGAGAGCGAATCCTCGGGCGTCTCTTGAAGTATCGATGCCACCTCGCTCAACAACAACTGGCGAGAACCTAGCTGCGATAGGCGTCTTCTTGCCTACTTTACTAAATAATTTAGCCTTGCAGATGTCGGATATGTCATGTGTAACTTCGAAATAACCAAATGCACCGCCAGCCTTTGCGTGCACCAGTCGTTCTGGGATTCGCTCCCTTACCAAGTGTGTCATCGTGTCCATGAAATATTCATTAAATATCAAACGTTTGTTCAAAGTAACTGTAGCCTCTTTATGTTCAATGGGTGCTCCAGCCGCGGTAGTCATTGTTGCTATGGGGCCCTGGAAAATTAAAGATTATATTAAATCATGTCTAGAAAGATTATTTATAATACTTAGAAGTTTCTACACGATTGTATTCTCTCTTGAAAAATACGTTCAGCATTATAATAAAATTGTGTTCGATTAAGTATTTAATGACTCTTACCTTACTTTTCTCTTTGAATAAAACTATTTGGTTGGCAGCCGGGTCATTTTGGACCTTCGCTGTAACGACCGCCATGGCTATCAAAAATAGCAGCCTCAGCATTTTCAAACACATTCTTATTTACTTCTTTTTTTAAATCACCATAGACATCACAGTATTTTTGAGCCTTGTTCTTGTTGGTGGCACGAAAAGAGACCACGTTCTGAAATTGAAATTATAACATTATAATTAGCATAACAAAAAAACAGTTTAACAAAAACGTCATCGTTAACTTTAATTGGCGTTGCAATAATTCTTATTAATTTGACTGTTGTTTTTTATGTTTTTCGTTAATTAGTGTAATTTGTAATAAGACTAATTATAAGACTGCATTGGTGTATCCTGTCACGATATTACTCAACTTACTGAATATCGAGTAGGTACAGGCGTACAATTATTTAATTTAAAGATAAGTTCGATATGATAGGTAGATCAACAATAACACCGGGTACCATAATTTTTTTACATATCTGGTCACCTAAGTACCTATATTAATAAGTACTATGACTTTTTGAAAAATGAAAAGCTGATCCGTCAATCAAACTGGGTTAACGAATTCTCAAAGTAAGTATAGAGTAACTATGGCGAGATACATATTATTTATTAAAAAATACCTAAGTATATCTAGATTTAAATTTATCTGAATTATCTATTCAAACATTGTTAATCAGGCCCTAAAAATAATTTGAAAGAAAAACTCTTTAAAGAAAAAAACACTTCTAATATTCAAATGTTTGTTCAGAATTCTTTCATGAATCTGTTCTAATTCTTTAGAATGAGTATAAGTATTAAAATTGCAATAAGACTAAGTACAAAAATACATTTTCAATGTTATTCAATACTTGCTTTATTTACTTGCGACATTAATTCTCAGCTATTATGCTCGTAATACATTACCTGCCTAGGTTTCTTACAAATTTTATTATTATTGTAAAATGTGTTGCAAGCTAATAAATAGACCTATATCAATAAATACGCTCCTATACACGTTTGAAACTAACCTCTTTTATAATTGCATATGAGAAAATAGTCGTAAAAGATTCTAGACTTAGGTAATATTTACAAAAAATGTTAAATATTTGACTATGAGTTGTTATAACTTGGAAGAGTGGCATATCAAAATAAATTGTACTTAAACCTATTCTTAAAAAGGGTATTCCCAAACGCTTAGATTGTTAAATATCCATAAGTTATTGAAAAATGCCATAATATTACATATTACTTATAAACAAAGATTTGACTGATGCTTAACACATGCCATGTTATCTACGAATTGTTGTTCAGTATCTAGGTATGATATGCAAGAGAACGGGAAATGATTTCTTTATAAACGAAAGAGAGAACAGGGCCCAAAGCTTTTAAAAAAAATAAGGAATTTGCCGATATACATGATGCATATCTATTCTTGATGATAAAAACTACCTATATCCTAGGCAAAGAGTCTCAAAACTCTCGTTCAACTCCAATGTCATTTTAATTCATCAAACCCCAAACGAACGCCGGCGTTCGAGCAGCAATTGATCTTTATTTTATCATGATTGGTAGCGTACAGACATTTTGGAGCGACTAATTAGATTTTCGTCGTGAATATTAGGTACCAGCAGTTTCGTAGATGACCTAGGTATACGTTAGCGAATTTCTTATGAATAAAGAAAATTTCTTTCTTGTTTCCCTATACATGACGATAGTTGAAGTATTAAGTGGTTAGTATAAATTACTCCTGCTATATCCTCAATCCTCGATGAGAATAAGTTACAACACAACGCAAAGGTAAATAAAATGGTCGATAATAATCTAGTAAGTACATTCAAGAGAATTTATAGACCCTTGGTTTCTTTCCTTAAGCACTTAATTATACTGAAGCAAGAAAATAATATTCAAGGCAATTTGCACAGGCTACATTTGTACCTAAATAATTTGCTTACAACACGAGGATGTTTATGGAAACACCGCTTCATAGGTCATGTAATAGTTAGCGACTTCTAAACATAGAATGTAATGTCCGATTGTCGCTCAACTATCTTTAACTAATTAACTAATATCGTTCAAATCACGCGCAAACAAAATAAAACCGAAAATACCAATCAACGCCATCTAACGGGGAAATGCCACACACTTTTGGCATAATACTTAAACGTGTTGGACAATAAGTGAGTGCATGGACAATAATTGCCTTCTCATCAACCCTGTATAAAATCCTGCCTGGAACCTAAGCTATCATAATAATATTCCAACGCAGGGATAACTCTGGTCAAGTAAGCAATAGCCGTACGCCGTAGGTACGTAAGCCGTATTAAATAGAGAACAACAGGTAAGCCCATCAAAAAAATCGTATAAAAATATAGAACACAATGAATTTAGATAAATGAAAAAGATAACAATATTTCGACCTACCTACAATCCTCCTGCCTGTTATATGTATAGATGTTATAGATAAAATATTTTAAGGCGCCAGTAGAATTCTAATAAACACAAATCGTATCAGACTTTATTATGCATACAATTTATATAATTAGGTAGTCCCATAGTCCCAAATAATAATGATCTATTTTTTGCCATACACTGGGCATACAACACTAACTAAAACTTAAAGTTATATTCTTGACTGCACTTTCGATAAAAATGAACTTAACAAATAAACAAAACACTATACATACCTAAATTAAAATCACAAAATGTTGTACACTTTATAAAAAAAAATATTATAAAAAAATTAAATCCTTCCAATTTCAAAAACGGTTCACGACTTCCAACGGATACAGCTGTCAACCATATTGAAGCTGTTGGCGGCAAAACAAGAACTTTTCTTACGACCTCCGTCACAGTCTACTGATTATGAAATAAAGTGTTTTGCAATCTGTTTTCTTATTCTATGCAGTTCAATTATTCAACATTCTGGCCTAAATGTAACAAGTGTAATAAATTGCTCCATTAAACAATGCCTAATTGACAGATTGGTACATTATGCTTCCATTGCTTGTTAAATTAGGAAAGCGTTTGGTTGTATTGTTTACAAAATAAGCAATGTATGCCAAACTTCTGGAACTTCAAATGATTTGCCGACATCTTCTTATAGCTAAATTTCTTCATCGTTATATAGTATTAAAAAAAGAAACCAGTTCATCAATTAAGAACATAATCAATAAAATAATATAGGTATCAATTGTCCTTTAAATTCAATAATTAAACATTCGATGTCTTAAAAAAATGTCCCGACCTGACTGACATCTTGATAAATAACTTATTGTCCATATAAAATTCATGGCGGTTTAGTACTGCCCCTGTAAGCCATAGATCACCAACCTTGACATCATAAAATAATAGTGCATACCTAAATGGGTTCTCGTGGCAACATGACATAAGCCTAGAAAACTAGAAGGTCAATATTCTAGCAAAATACTAATTGAACATGCGAATTTTCAATTTAGAGTAATTAAGAAACTCCAATGACATTTGAAATCGCTTTCATTTGACACTTGGGAGTTAAGGACGTAGAAAAAAAAACGCAACAAAATGTGGTCCGTTCGGCCTACCGATTGCAATGTCCAAAAAAGTATAAGGTTAAGTTCAGTATTTGATTGTTTGTAACGAATCGTTCGCCGAGGTGGTTGTACTATTCGCGTTTTTAACTTTGTTCTTTTTTTATTGAATATCGGTTAAATTGTTATAACAAATTAGCTATGCTACAATGGTAGCCTAGTGTATCTTATTCTTCCAGTCAGTAATGTGGTGTGGATGCAATCTCAATAATATACCACAGTCTCGGCTTAACGTAGTACAAGGAACAGGGCAGTTTTTAGTCAGTAATGTAACTCACCTCACCCACGGTGGTAGAACACATTTGATAACGTTCCCACCTCAAAAAAAAATCCTTCTTTTTATAGTCATAGATAATTATTTTGATAGTTGGTCAGAGAAGTCAGAGAACTTACTTTTGCACTGCGAAGGTACCTACCTTCTTTGCCAAAACTTTCTTAGTGCCCAAACACAAATACCATGCTCTAAATTTAAAAGTTGTAGTAGAATTCACTTGTTTACCTACCCAGTAGAAGTTGCTAATATTAACAAGTGACAATGGATTTCACATCAGTTGCGGCCTGAGGCATGACTCGAAATTCTAAATAAAGGATCTCACAGGAAACAATTACAAAACTGTTAGGTAGCACCAGCAACAATAAGATCGAAATATTAAATCAATTAGAGTAATAAAAAACTGAAACGATATCTACAATTGTTGCAATGGTCTGGAGGTAAAGGCACCCGCTTCTCATGCATTATGGGTGCACAGCAAAATCTGGCAAGTACCTACCAATCTGATATTTTCCAAGTAATATGTATACTTTTTCATATTTTCAGACATTACTGGCTTACGGTAAATGTCCGGTTAAACAATGGGAGGAAACCATTTTTTTTTGTCAGTAAGGCGAGAGAGAGTGTCAGACTCTTACTGACTAACCCACCCGTCTCACCGTTCCATCTTCTCTAAAATCTTCTGCGCTTAACCGCAAATCCGGTTGATTGGGAGGAAACCTGGACCTAAAATTACTAATAAAAAGTTTGAAATCGTCAATCTGTCTCGAGCAAGCGTGGTGATTATGAACATTAATCTTTTTAGGCACATTTAAATCATTTTTTTAAGAATTACAGCACCAACGTATATCACCTGATGGTAAACAATTAGCATCTGCCACTAAAACCGATATCTATAAGATCAGTATTATTAGGTCAGGAGAGTTAGATGCGTTAACACAACAATAGTTTTGCGGGCTATGTCTAAAGTCTATAATTGGTGATTGAATTATAACATGTAGCTATTGGTTCCAAGGTGTTAATGTAATTGAGCAAAAAGTGAACCGCATCGATACGGTCAACTGGCGGATTAATAGCTCATGGAGTAGAACAAGGTCTAAATATATACCAAGCTAATAAGATCGGCTTCACCATAACTAGAGCAGTCATTATCATCATCAACAATCTGTGAGAGTCCCACTACTGGTGGCAAACCCTTGTGCCATAACATCCACAATTGCTAATCATGTCAAAAAACTGCACAACCCCCCAGTATATTTTATAATATACCTTGTTCCATAATCGAATCAAACGGCATCCGCAGGAGAAGTAGTGATGTTTTTTTTTTAGAGGGTGGATAATAATCAAATTTCTTCTCTCGCCCAGGGTGAAGTGAGAGAGTTACAGACTCATACTGACTAAAAACCATCCCGTTCCCTCTCTTGCTCTTGCTCTAGGCCGAGGCCGTACCTGTGTATACCCGTTTTATATGTATTATTTATGCCGCGATACCTAGGTACTTGCGTATTAAGTTTACCTTGTAGATTTGTTATAGGCATGGTAGAATTAAAGCAATATTTTTCCATAAAATGCATTTACATCCTTTAGATGTTTTTATAACGAGGGAAGCCTTCAAATACTGCCTTGCTTTTGGGGAGGAAGACTAGTGTTAAGATTCATATCGTTTCTACATTCTCAGAAGTATGGGATTCTTACCTTACGAAGACCACTTCGGTACTCACTGTCATCTATCTCCTATATCCTCAGGTCGGGTCCTCTTATTTAGTACCCTCATGGTGCGACGGCCTAGTGCCCGAAGTTTCCGTTGCTACGCTGCGCAATGCCGGTTACGGCACATCCCTGGGGAAAGGGGGAGACACTCAAATGACTGTTTTTTTTTTTATAAAAATGGATGCAATTTGGTTTATCTATTTCGTGTCGGGTCTTGGTGACAATTGGTAGATATCTGACATCCTACTGATTGCTAAAAAGAAGAAAAAATAATAAGATTGGTATGTGTCCGATGCTAATTTTTATTTTTTTAGCTGAGCAATGTTTTGATATATAATTTTATTCATTTTTTTTTATGTAATAGGTCGGCAAACGAGCAGACGGATTACCTGATGGTAAGCAATCAGCGCCGCCCATGGACACTCGCAACGGAGGAGTTACGAGTGCGTTGCCGACCTTTTAGGGATTAGGGATTTGGAGATTTAGGGATTGAAGAGGGATTGGGGAAGGGGAAGGATTGGGCCTCCGGTAACCTCACTCACACGGCGAAACACAACGCAGTGGTTATTTCACGCCGGTTTTCTGTGAGGCCGTGGTATCACTCCGGTCGAGCCGACCCATTAGTGCCGAAGCATGGCTCTCCCACACTTAAAAAGAAAGATTTTCTCAATTCCTTAAAAGATCCAGGTAAGTGCAACGTAATGTAAAAGAAGTACCTAAAGACATTTTTTACTTATGGAGTTAAGTGTATTTGTTATAAAAACAGTCTGCTACGTCACCTAATCTGCGATATACCTACCTACGGTACCTATGATAGAACTCGATCAGACTGGTTAGTGCCGCCTTACTTTGATTTTTTGATAGAACCGCCTAATAAATGAAAAATTCTGACATTTTGAATTGAGATAGATAATTTAGTCGGACGTTAATTCCACTATATTAGTTTTATGGAGTTTATTAAATACTTACATGGGTTTTTTTATTAATTTTGACCATACCATGCGTAACGGAAAAAGAGGTCAACACGTAAATAAAAGTTTGAATTTGTCTGGTTTGAATCCTACATCAATTAGAGTCCATAGAATTTATGACGAATCTGTCAGCCTAACGAGAATACTTGCCCTCTTCGGAAACGTCAAACAGAATTTTATACTCTGTGGTTAAAAAATACGAAAAGCGTCAAATCGTCAATAAAATTATAATCCACGTTTTAACAACATATTCTCCAAGTTTATCTATAAAATATTAAAATGTTAAATCCTTGAGTTATTTACCACAGTTTTAAGTGGACTGGAATAGTGTTCATGTTTATTGTGTTCATTGAAAAGTAACCAAAAATGGCAAGGTCGCCTAAGGATGATCCAATATACAACGATATGAAGCACAATACATGGAACTATCATGCGGAAACCGCTGGAAACTGTGTACCTGATGCTTTGAATGAGAGAAAACCGCCACAGATCTCGCCCAACCCGAGTGTCATGAACGATAATAGTATTTACGTCAACCCGAGTTTCGGCAATGAAGTTTATTTGAACAAACACGCTTACAACGTGCAGTCTGGCGATGCCGCCGCCAATAAAGATGACAAGATCCCTTTTAACAACATGCCTAATGTTCCTCGCGCCAATCAAAATTACGGTAATGCTATGCTCAAATTGAGTAATGGTCAATCTGTGCGTGTTTTTTACGACGAGAACAATCAACAGCTTATATTTCCAATGTCGGCCGGTCAGTATGAACTGTTTAACCACAATCAGGGAGTGCGCGACATCCCCCTACAGATGCCTCAACCGTCACACATGTTTACACTGAACCAGGACTTTGCTATGAACAATAACAATGTCCACACACCTCCAACAACTGTAAACCAAACTACTTATCCTGAAAATGTTACCAATCAGTCCCCTACATCTAACTTTCTCAAAGACTTATTGGGTAATTTGGAGCCTAATTCAACTGGCACATACTCTCCATTTGGACAAAACTACCCCCTCAATCATCCAGATGCATCAAATATGAATATTCTCACAAACAATCCTGTAATAGAACCTCCCAAGAACCAACCTATAAAGGTAGACAATTCACCAAAAAGAAATGAAAACAGCCCTCTTGCTGACACAAGCAATAAGAAGCGGATTGTAGCAGAAGTGAAACCAATGCGTCCATCATACTCAGATGTGTTGGCGAAGAATACTAAAAACACTTCTCCAACTGAAACAACTCGTAAGGCAAAGCCTCAAAACATAGAAACAAAGCCAATGAATAATAAAACAAACTCAAAACCTGAGAAACAGACTAATATAAAGCAGGATGATAATAAACATAAAAGTGAGAAGAAACAGAACACAAACACTATATCTTCAGGCAGTGAGTCTGGAGATATAAACACAGATGACAATGAGAAGCGTCAGAAGCCAAACAAAAAGTCTAAGAACAAACGCAACAACATCTCACGTAAATGGTCATCTCTGGATGACATAACTAATGAAGAAGAGTCTGGCTACACACATGACAGTGAAAGTCAGTTTGTATTCATTGAGAATCCGGAGAAGCCATCGAAAAAGGAGAAGAAATCGGACAGTAAATCAAAGGGATCTGATAAGAATGCAACCACTGAGGATGAATTTAAGTTAGATGAGGAAGATGATCAGCTGCAGTTTGTTATACAAGAGGGTCAGGGTGAAAGTGGAAAGGCTAAAAAGAAGAAGGATGGACGTAATTATCACAAGGTCACAAAGCCTGTGCAGGACAAGAAGAAAAATGTTTCAAAGCTTAGAAGGAACAAACCAGGCTACTTGGGGTTGGCCCAGAACTATTTGGAACACTGGGGTGGAGCAACGTGGAAGGCACTCATATGGTTCATGTATCTACTATCAGATATATGTCGCATGAGTTTCCATTTGTCATTTGACTTGTAAGTTTTATCTTAAATGCACATTTACTGCTTACTTGCTATCTACAAAATGTATTTCTGAATCAATAAGATAATAATAGTAGGAAAGTTCTTGACTTGCAACAAAAACATTAAAGCAAATGCTGAATTGTCAGTTAAACTATGTAGAAAACTACTACTGTCATTCATTGGTCAGTACTGGCAAAATTCTTGCCGAATTAACATTTTAATATTTAAAGGCATATTTAGCAAAACATAAATCAGTAACATCCTAAGGTGCAGAAAATAGGGTAAATGTTATCTAATGTGTGCTGTCTACTTCCATGGAAAAAATATTGTTATCTCCATAGAAAAGACCCAGTGTGTTAGTGGTACCAGTAATTAGTAAAATAATAAAATAATATTATTCATTAAACTCTTATTTTTCAGATGCACATCAGTGTTTACTCAAACATATGTAAGTTCTCAAGCAGTATGGCGCAGCACCAAGGACTGGATGAGCAAGCTCAGTGACAACAAATACTTTTTGTATATCGACAGAAAATTCGGACACACCAAGCTTGGCTTTTGGCGAAAATTGAAATGGTTTAAAAAGGGTATGTTTTAAGTTTTGTTGATTATTAATTCACTACATATTCCAAAACAAAGTTGCTTTCTCTGTCCCTACATCCCGTATGAATGCTTAAATCTTTAAAATAAGATAAGTCATAAAACAGTTTCTGGCAACACTAGTTTATTAAGTGGCAGTAAGTAAAAACTGCAGAGATTTTATGGAGCTCCATAACGTAAGCGTATATAACATTATCCACATCTTTTTCACAAGTTTCATATGATTATTATATAAGGGCAGAGTCCAAGTTTCTAAAAATTATTTTTTCACCACTCGCACACCCTGTAATTTCTGTTTATTCAACATTCAAATCCACGTAAAAACAACATATGTGAAAGAGTAACAAACATGAGCAGGATGGCCATGCTTTGGCACGAATGGGTCGTCGCGACCAGAGTGATACTACGGCCTTACAGAAAACTGTCCTGAAACAACCACAGCATTGTTTTCCGCCGGGCGAGTCAGACTACTGGAGGCCGAATTCTTCCACTCCCCCAATCCCAAAATCTCCAAAGCACTAATCTCTATAAGTTCGGCAACGCACTCGTAACTCCTCCGTTGTTGCGGGTGCTGATTGCTTTCCATCAGGTAATCCGTTTGCTCGTTTGCCGACAATATCACACATAAAAACATCCATAGTTATACAAACTTTTCTGTTTATAATATTAATAAGATATGTCGATTTGCTACGGAAATTAATGACCAATCTTAATCTAATTAAAAATTTCTGGATTGGTTTGTCAATATGTTTAGTGGAGACAGATATTCAATAGATAAAGAGATGGGATGTAGTCAGCATAATAAACTTGTAAAAAAAACCATTTTACATACCTATCTATTATGTACCTACTTGTGAAGAAATTGATACAGTTATAAAAATATTATAATTAATATAGTCTTGCTCTAGATAAACCTCTTTACTCGCTAATTACACAGCTGGTATTAGCATATGTTCACAATAATATTATCATACTAACTACTTTCTAAGGCATTAGAAAGTATGGTTTGTTTTTGATGGGGCAAAATTATCAAATTACTCCTCTCGTCCTTGGTGGAGTGAGAAGGAGCGTAAGGTTCTTACTGACCGAAAACCAATCATTTTAAACTAATTATTTATCCATAAGAAAGGAAGAAATATATATGTATATGACACTACATTTTCATATGTAGGTAAGTTATGTGCGTTGGTAACATATAATTAAGCTGGTATTAACGCGAAAAGTAATACCCGTTTAATTATATGTTATTGACATGAAACGCGAAAGTTTAAAAGTTAATGTTGTTAGGTATTATTATTCAAAACTCTATTAGCTGTTAGAAAAACAATAATCTTACATTAATTACTGCATGTAGCAAAGCTATGCACGAAACTTTAATTAATTTGGATTGTGTAATGAAGTCTTAAGTTAAAGGGACCTAAAAAATATTTGGGACACTTGTATTTAAGAATCAGCGCTGCCAACGCCAAAAGTCTTATATGTGCGTTGCTGGCTTTTTGAAGGTTTTTAGAGATTTTAGGATTGAGAAATTGGTAATGGGGTGGGGCCATGATTAACGCTCCGTTAACAATCAAACGACGAAACTCAACGCAAGCGTTATTTTATGCCAGTATTATAATAGGCCGTATCACTCCGTTCGAGTTGCCAGATTTGCACCGAAGCATGGCTCACTTATTAACATTTTTTATTTCGCCTAGTTTTTTTTATTGGCAGGAAACTAAATTTATCCACTATTTTATGCATGTTATTATAAATAATATAAAGGTGCCTCTTCAATAACTCTATCTATTAAAAAAATCGTATCAAAATCTGTTGCAAAGTTTTAAAGATTTAAGCATACATAGGGATATAGGGACAGAGAAAGCAACTTTGTTTTTTACTATGTAGTGAATAGTTTTTAGATAATTATGTAATCTTTAACATAGATATTTGTTGTAACAAGACTTATTCTACAAGAAAGAGATAATCTATTTTTTGTTCTATTTTTGCAGTGGAGTTAGAAACGGACAATGGAAATGATTCGACAAAGCTGAACGCGAACATACCTTTGCCGGCAACTGGAGAAGAAGCTATGAAGAGGCTGCTAGCATGCAAGGGGAAAGATCCTTACAGGTAAATTGTAAAATAATTTGAGTTTAACACTTATAAAAAAAATATCCCGACGAATTGAGGACCTCCTCCTTTTTTTGAAGTCGGTTAAAAATATGGTGTATTTGGGCAAATAGGTGTTTTTGTAGGTACACTCATTCTTGGCCGGTTTAAATATCAGTCCCTTGGTTAGACTTTTACATAAGACGTTGACATTACCATACACTCGACAAGCTCACTCATAATTTTTTTTAATTCTGAAATCTCTTCTGAAATCTTCGCGGTAGCTGCGTAAATCATCATTAAAATAGTTATCGTGATGATAACTATTTTAACTGTTTCAAATTTAACTAAAAAACACGTTCAATTTCATGTATAATTCAAACTATAATTTTATGTACAGAACAAAAATAAATCGAAATTGCATTTAGACATTTGTGTGGTGCAACGACCTGTTATCAGTGTCGTTGGCTTGCTATAACATGATATATGTTGCTTCTGACCGCTAATAAATACGTCACACAGCCCTCGAGGGCCATTTGCCTTCTACGATAAGTATAGTAGGTATGTAGGCATCGCTTTTATGAACAAACTCGTCTAAATTTTCAAGCGCTTTGGTCATCAAGTTATAACCTTTATCGATACTGAACTTGCAATTGTGTTTGGCTAATAATGTATTTTTTTTATAAATACCCCCACCACCAATGACGTTTTATATATAGACACGTCATGAACCAACATCGCGGCGCTTAAAAACGGCGAAAATACTAGATAACTACTTCTACGAGTAAAGAAAGGGAAAGAAAATATGACATCGTGTAATGGAATGCCTTTGCTAGAGGGAGATAAATATACATCTTCAGTAACATCACAGGACAAGTAATAGTAAAACTACATTTTCATAAGATGGCCGCCATAAGATGGCGGGCGCCGGCGCGGGCGTCGAAAAAAATAAAATAAAAATAGGTTGTTTGGTGAACTTACGCATGAAATGACACATTTTTGTCTTTAACTTTTGGAGTATAATTTTGTACAAATTATATACATCGTCTGAAAACACACGACGGTATGCTTTCTTTATGTTTCGCACAGGTTTACACACACGATATAAATTAAAAACAAACGTAGCGTCGCGCGGCAGGTTGGTGCGTAACTAAGCGCGATGTTGTCAATTGCCTTCATTTCATGTTGTCATTCTAGAGCGCGGACAACGTATCTATAGTTTTATACATCATTGCCCACCACCAGAAAACAATGCAAGGAAGATGCTATTGTGAGGACTACGGTCGCGTGATAAATATTCATGTTATTACAGATTGCTACCGACACAGTTATTTATGACATTATTTTTTTGTTCTTTACTATTATAAAGTATCCCCCACTAGATGCACCGACGACATTGTCAGAGTCGTGGGGAGCCAACGGATGCCGGTGGCAACTTGTCGTTTGACGTGGAGGATTATGGGTAGGCCTTTGTCCAGCAGTGGACGTCTTCCGGTTGATGATGATGACTATTTTAAATGTTAGCCGAGGTTGTGGGACTAGCGCAATCAGGTACCGCGGCCTCGGCCTAAAGTCGGAGAAGGTACGCGGGGTTGTTACACTGACTAAAAGTCTCACACTCACTTTGGGTGAGAGAAGTAATTTGATGATTTTTCCCTCAAAAAAAAAAGAAATAAAAGGCATTGTAAATGTGAAGTTTGAAAAATATGACTTTGCTGTCAGTCATCATAATAAAAACGCTTAAACGAAACAAGGTGCAGACAGGATCACTAAAAAAATCGGAATATGTAACACTTGTGCAAACATTAATATCAAATTATAAATGTATCAATCTGTTATGTAGATACATAAAAATGTGATGAACATGACTTGCACTCTCTTGCAACTTAGTCGCTCGAACCGCATCATAATAACAATATCTATTAATTTGCAAAGCAAACAAACAACAAACAAACTTACAAAACCTCTTTATAATATTAGTATAGACATACCTAAATGTCGGTCGGAGTGCAGAAAATCACTAATGGCTTACGTTTCACTATCTATTTGAAAACCGTATTAACATCGGTTTAGTAGTTTTTAACGTTACGGAAATAGACAGCCAGACTGAATTAAAATTGAAACTTGTTAATAAAATAAAACACGATAAACATTCAGCTTTTTTATTTAGCTGTTTATTGAGTGTATTTGAAAAAAGTTTAAACCATATTTATAAATTAATTTGAAGTGTACCAATATTATTTACTGTTGAAAGCGCCATGACACATTTCACGAATGAATAAGAACTTATCGAGGGCCGATATTAATAAAACGAAAATAAACGCATCCACGACACAGAAGGAAATCCAAGTGTGGGGCACCGTTATTAATTAAATAGACACTTCCATTCAATTTGAAAGTATCTTTAAAACCTAAATCGATCCAAAAACTGTATTATGTAAAAGTAAATTATTTATTACTTTAGAGCAGATATTTCTATACTTCTGTCTACATTCCAAATGTCAATAAATAAATAACATTCCTATTTCTTTTTTTTTTCAGTATATTGGGTGTTAGTGTGACGTGCACAGACGAGGAAATAAAGCGGTACTACAGACGGCAAGCGTTCCTCGTGCACCCGGACAAGAACCAACAGCCCGGCGCAGAAGAGGCTTTCAAAATACTACAACACGCCTTCGACCTTATTGGGGAGCCGGTAAGTTCATTTTGCTTTGTTTAAATAGTATAAGCTCATAATACTATTCACATCACACAATTATTAACCTCAATGCAAGTAAGGTGTCGTGGTAGCCTAGAGATTAGGGCGCCCGCTTTTAATGCATACATTTGCGGATTCAAAGCAAGCACCAACGTGACTTTTTCCGAGTTATACATATGTACTTGCTATGATTATTCAGACTCCACGGACAAACGGTGAAGGAAAACATCGTGAGGAAACCTGGGTTTACAATTTGTAATTATAAGTTTGAAGTCGCCAATCCGCCTTGAGCAGGCTTGGTGATTAATGCTCAAACCATCTCCGTGTGAGAAGAGGCCTTTGCTCAGCAATGGGCACTTATTATCTGATTATAATGATGCGAGTAAAGAATGTTGTAGATCCTTTGGCACAAACACCAAAATTAGTCATCCTAATCGGTCAATTTGCTTTAGTGGAAATTTCAACTTTATCATTTTGCAACAAAACCGAAAATGAAAAATCTAGCTTTTGCTCCATAATGTTGATCACACTATAGTATTAAGTACTGTGCAGATGAATTTAAACCTTATATTCATAGACATAACGTTTATAACAGGAACGCAGAGAAGCGTACGAGCGTCGTGCGTTAGAGTCACGGCACGTGGAAGCCGCGTGGAGCGAGCTCAGTCAGCTCCTCGCGCAGCTACATGATAAAATGGAGTTCGCAGCTAATACCATCAGGTAACAGGTTCAAAATTAATAAAAACCAAGTTGTTTCACACGGGTATTCTGTGAGGTTGTGGTATCACTCTGGTCTTTTCGTGCCGAAGGTTGACTCTGATAAAAGTTTATAATTTTTATTTAAATATACTTATTTTATTGCCCAACTAGCTTCTGACCACGGCTTCGCCCGCCTAGTATGTTGATAAAACGCAATCCATAAAACTTATACAGGTTGTCACCTATCTACATAACACAACCAAACCGGTCGAGCCGAACAAAAATAACCATACATTTTTTTAACCATATAAACTAGTGCTTGACTGCAATCCCACCTGGTGGTAAGCAGTGATGCAATCATAAAAATTCTCATAAACTTAACAACATTATATTTACGGGGGTATTAACGCGAAAAATTATAATTTGAATACCTTGGTAGGCTTGACGTTTCGACCCGGTTGCACAGGTCGTGGTCACAAGCCAGGTCAGATTTTCAGTCTGCAGTCAGTCTGCTTCTGTCTGTCTGCAGTGTTTCGGTCAGTCTGCTTGTGACCACGACCTGTGCAACCGGGTCGAAACGTCAAGCTTACCAAGGTATTCAAATTATAATTTTCCGCGTTAATACCCGCGTAAATATAATGTTGTTAAGATGAAACGCGAAAGTTTAAAAGTTAGTATTCTCATAAACTTTCACATTCATGATATTAAGTAGGATTCACTAATCAGTAATTATGATGTCCTACAGGTTTATAAATAGTGTTTGTTTGATGTAGATGTACGAACTGTGGACGTCGACACAAGCGAGTACTGACGGACCGGCCGTGCTACGCTGCGCGGTACTGTGTGCAGTGCAAGATCAGACATTCTGCTAAGGAGGTAACTACATACATACTACATTTATTAGCTTTATCAATATTATCATATCACATATATCATCATGAGCCCTCAGCTGAACAAAGGGTTTTTCTCACGTGAATGAGGTTTGAGCATTAATCACCTCACACAAATTTCGAAATACTTACCTAAATTTTTTTTATATAATAGTTCGGCAAACAGGCAGACAGATTACCTGATGATAAGCAATCAGCGCCGCCCATGGAAACCCGCAACGGAGGAGTTACGAGTGCGTTGCCGACCTTTTAAGGATTAGGGTTTTGGGTATTTAGGGATCGGGGCGGGATCGAGGGAGGGGAAGGATTGAAAGAAAGAAAGAAAATAAACTTTATTTCACACGCTAAGACATGTTTGATTGGGCCTCCGGTAACCTCACTCACACGGCAAAACACACGCTGTAGTTGTTTCACGCCGAAGCATGGCTCTTACACACTTACACACACATCTCACTTTATGTCTAAATATTTTTTTTTTGTTTTATTAGACTTACAAAACTATTATTAAATTTTAATCAAAATTGTATTTTTAATTAAAAAGTCCATACATATTTTATGGATGTTTTCTGATATCAAATGGTTCATCGTCAATGATCATCACCTAAGATTTTTTTCCGATACGGTAAAAGTTCAATTTCGCGTACATATCACACTATATCGTTGGGTTGACCAGTAATATGTGTTCCAGGGCGACATATGGGCGGAGTCGAGTATGATGGGTCTGTTGGTGATGTACTACGCCTGCATGGACGGCGCCGTCTACCAGATCACGCAGTGGGCCAGCTGTCAGGTAACATTAGCTTATGTATAAACCGACCCAGTAAACTTGGATATATCTTCTAAATACGAGACTTCATTTCTTCGATATTTTTCACAAACTAGGTATTTCTTCCGTCTCTTGGGTCCATTTACCATTATAAAATTTAACTAACACAACACACAGTTTTTTCCGCGGCAATATTAATGTTAGATATAGGTAACATTAATATTAGATTAAAGCCTATTTTTCGTTATTTACTATATTCCTATCTTCTCTTAGTTTCAATGTAGGGATCTGAATGTACTTGGCGAGACCTACTGTTATAACCCTTATTACAAGGCAATAGAGCCTATGTCAGCTTTTATTATAATACAACGTATTTTTCGTGAGTATGATTTTTACGGTACAGTTTGGTGGAATTAGCCTTCCCATGCATACTTAGTTAACACAGTTTCCGCTATAACTTTTTCTACCGCAAATTTATCATAATTTATCGCATGTCGTTGTAGAAAAAGAACCTGAAGCAGCTAAGGCCTGACTGTCACGTGGTCCAGTACCGCATCGTGCTCGGGAACAAGGCGGCCGCGGCCTCGGACATCAACCAAAGACCTTCCACTGGGTGAGTGTAAGCTAACTATAGTTAAAAGTACCTACTTTTTAACATTGGAAAGTAGCAGAGGAATTCCCTGATGGTGGTAAGTAATCATTTCAGATGGATACCCGTGGAAAATCTGACTGATTTGGTATGTTTAAATAACGCAGCCAGCAAGTACACGATAAATATTTGCCCCCTAAAAGTAAAATACAAGCTGGTACTTTGTGAATTCGACGCGCGTTGTTTATTTGTAAACGTTGAATAAGAATGGATCTTTGCCAAAACTATGCAAATTCCGAATTATACTCGAAAAGAAATGAATCAGTATTATTAAAATGTACTTATTCTCTTCATTTCAGGCACGATCCTAATCTCGAAGAGTTCTTGAACAATCTGTACAGCAAGTCCGGAGTGTCGGCTAACGCGACAAGCCCCAAGCAGTCGCCCCCGGACGCTACAGACGCAAAAAAGCGACGCAATAAAAAACCTAAAGCATAAACGAAACGCCTCTCGTGAAAATAAAAAAATTGAGCTGTCAAAATAGATGGACTTGAATTCGCGCGCAATTCAAATATCGAACGCATTTGACGTGAGCTGGTCATGCCTGCCGTACCCAACTGTGAAACACTTGCCTTTTACAAATAAAGAAAGTATAAATTAAACAGAAATTAAACCTTATTACTGATCTATAAATATAATTATTTCTAAATAAATATTGTGTGGCTAAGATGGCGCTTGAAGGATAGATTGTGTAAGCGTTAAAACTATGTGTATGAAATGTCGCTAACGTACCTACTTAGGTTAGAAACTTTTGATGAGAATAAATTTTAAAGTTTTTGCTAGCTAATTAGTTTGTGTCATTCTTAATTTGCTTAATTTTGTGATACATGAGATTGCGAAGTTAATATTGTAAAAGTTTTTCTTAAGTTTGAATGGGAATTGGTAGATGTTCTACGATGGCACAGATACCATGCTGATTTCCATTTAACTTTTATCAAATATAACACTCGAGTCATTAGTAATAAATATATTTTCAATTCTTTCACGGAATATCTGTTGTTTCTGAATAAATTGATGTTTGACAATTTTGACTTCTATCTTTGGGATTGTGCGTTCAGATGTCATCTGTTACTAGCTTCGTGAGCTAGAGACTTAGACCTACCACTAGTTAGTTTAATACTGATTACTCAAATTCGACTTAATTTTCTTAGTACGTTGAAAATCGCTTGATCGTTTCATCTACAAAACGGTAAAGGTCTGTCTCAAATTCTAAAGGATAAAATTAATAGTATATAACTACTTTTAAATCTTTAATTGTTTTTTTATTTACTAAGAGAAATCACCATAACCTAGCGCTTATTACACAACATTTTTGTTGCGTGCGCCAATCAAACCCGCGTCAATAAACGTCATAGCAACCTAACATTATCAGGCTTTTATTTTTTCAAAATAATATCTGAACGCCTCAATTCCAATTAGTCTCCGTTCTTTTACATAACATTATGTATTCTAGTGCTATGATTATAAGGATGAATTTGACAAAGCAGCGGGAACTGCGTAAAAATACTCTTTAAAAAAGTAAATTTTAATGTTACTACGTTTAATTAAGTATGTAATTTTTTTTCTCAACACTTATCACACCGAATAGTACAATTCGTTTGCATTCATACGTTGTAATGTTATTAATAGTTATTATTGATAATAATACGCTCGTATACGCGCGTCAAAAATGCAAATAATTCAGTTTTTTTAAAATAACTCTCATTTTTTGTATTATCGAAGTCATATTATTTGTGTCACATTGAAACCTCCGATTACAAGTTACTGTAAAGCGATAGGATTGGAAATCACAAGCTATTGACTCATATTTTATATAAGTACCGTATGGGTGATCCTATCATCGAAAACTCTCCCCCATTCCCCTCTCAAGACCAATAAGCTTTTGTCTGGGGACAATTCCTTATCATCAGGTAATCCATCTACTCGTTTGCCACCATAAAAAGAATAGTTCTGATTGCATCTAAATGTATGTTTTAACCTTGGGTGAGGCGAGAGGGAATGCCAGACTCCTAAGCTTCGCTTCATCCGCAACCTCGATTGGGCAGGTCTACCTGCGTGCGTTCGTGCAGCGGAATGTTGTTGAATTTAAAGATTTTAATTATGCACATATTTAGTGTATGACGTCGTATAATTGTGTATGGTAAAAAAAAATTTGTGCACGCAACCATTGTGGAGAAATTCACCAAAAACTGATTCCGCTGGGCGAACGTTGTCCTAGCGGAACTTTTTTTAATCCATAGACTTTAGAAGAGAAGAGATGTATCCAAAAATTAGTGTGTATTTGTGTGTAATTGTGTATGTATGAATAAAACTAGTGCATGCATAAACTTCGGAGAAATTCAAGTTTCCGCTACGCGAACGTTTGGCCATTACCTAGTTTTCATATAAAGCGCTTACATAGAGAGCTGTAGATTTTTACATACGTTGTTTTGAATTTGTGTATATTTGTTTAAAAAACAGATTTAGAAAAAATCGTAGGGTTTAAAAGATAAAAATATAAACGTAAAATACGCTTATTAGGTCTTAGTTCTTAAAGTATGCACTTTAGGGTCTAGATTTTCACGTTTATACAAACCTTGTAAGTGTCTGCAACATGTTGCCAAGTATCAAGAATGTTCCGTTAGTAATTAAATAGTTATAGGACAAATTTACCATGAATAGATCACTGTTTACAAAGCAGTCAAATATCACGACTTCCTAAATGAATTGCATGGTAAAATGTATGCCAATAATTAGTGTATTCATTCAACTATTCACATGCAAAATTTCATGTCATTAAATTCAGTAATTAAAGAAAAACAATTATAATACTGACGAAGCACCGAAAACCTACATAACCCGACCAAGTTCGGATGGCTACAAAAAAGCGGCCGTGCCATATATCTAAGAAACGTTCTTAACTTTCCAATATAGCATTTATTAATATGGTACAGTATCGTACACAAGCTTTAGGAAAAAATAAAACACAGTATCGTACACACGCTCGTGCATGCCTCTATTGGTTAAATAGTGTAATAAAAAATATTGGTTAAATAGTGTAATAAGCTACAATATGATAAATATTTACCTAAACAGTAGTACTTAAGTACTTACATGTGGTAAATATTTAATTTCCCTAAGGGGTCTATAGTTAGAATCCTGATCCGTGAAATCTTCAATAGAAATTAGCTGTATGAATTTTATTTGTCTTAAATATAATTAGATTATATCTCAAGTCTCAAGCGCATACTTAAATAAAGTACCTACGTAAATAGTACCTACTTTCTGTCATAGTCAAATACATTTATAAAAGTAGTTGTCCAAAAATAAATGACCTATAAATTATTTCGAAACAACAAGTGTGTTATCACCTGTACCAATTCAATACCGGTATTATACTGTAAATTTTGGGATGTTACCTAAATATATTGCACAGCCGCTTTTTTGTAGCCATCCGAACTCGGTCGGGTTATGTAGGTTTTCGATACTTCGTCAGTATTATAATTGTTTTTCTTTAATTACTGAATTTAATGACATGAAATTTTGCATGTGAATAGTTGAATAAATACACTAATTATTGGCATACATTTTACCATGCAATTCATTTAGAACGTCGTGATATTTGACTGCTTTGTAAACAGTGATCTATTCATGGTAAATTTATCCTATAACTATTTAATTACTAACGGAACATCATTGATACTTGGCAACATGTTGCAGACACCCACAAGGTTTGTATAAACGTGAAAATCTAGACCCTAAAGTGCATACTTTAAGAACTAAGACCTAATAAGCGTATTTTACGTTTATATTTTTATCTTTTAAACCCTACGATTTTTTCTAAATCTGTTTTTTAAACAAATATACACAAATTCAAAACAACGTATGTAAAAATCTACAGCTCTGTATGTAAGCGCTTTATATGAAAACTAGCTAATGGCCAAACGTTCGCGTAGCGGAAACTTGAATATCTCCGAAGTTTATGCATGCACTAGTTTTATTCATACATACACAATTACACACAAATACACACTAATTTTTGGATACATCTCTTTTCTTCTAAAGTCTATGGATTAAAAAAAGTTCCGCCAGGACAACGTTCGCCCAGCGGAATCAGTTTTTGGTGAATTTCTCCACAATGGTTGCGTGCACAAATTTTTTTTTACCATACACAATTATACGACGTCATACACTAAATATCTGCATAATTAAAATCTTTAAATTCAACAACATTCCGCTGCACGAACGCACGCGGTCTACCTTATCGTCTTTACAGTAACTTGTGACGCCATAATATTTCACTTTTGTTTCACTGCCTCATACGAGATTATGGTTATAGTTAGGCTAGTAGCGAGATTGCTACCTGATGTTCACAGTAGGCCTTCGCGCTTCATGTGTCAATAAAGATGTGGAAACGTATTCTGGATTTTATTTTACACCCTTGTACTGGTTATTTTCAAAAAAACTTACCTAACTCTGATGCCCAGTTACTTTGTCCAACTAGCTACAGACTGACGGTCTATTTTTCTATCATTCTCTTCTGGTGTATGTATGGTTTAGTTGGAGTAAATTATTTTAGAATTTGACTTTGAGTTCTAAACGGAGCTATTGATTATTAAGTATGAATGCCATGCTTATGCAATGAATGTTCTCTCTGCCTTATGTCGTGTACAAAATACGATGTTGGAGGATACTATTTTAATAAAACAACTTATACTATAAATTTATGTTTATTTATATTCTACATGACAAGATCTAATCCATCATGGCAGTATCCTTGGCGTCTCTATCAGTAACAATGCAGTTCTCGTACGTCCACTTGGGGAACATACGTTTGTATAGATTTAATAGCACTGTGTCTTGGGACTTGAGCTGTCCATCGAACACACATTTCATGTGGCCGTGAGTACCTGTAAAATAGAGTTATATTAGTTGTATACTCATAATAGGATAAGAAGAAAGATTGGTGGTATTAATTTGTGCTATGACTTCATCAAGCTACGGAACACAATCGATGGTAACATCTTTATGTAAGTGCTCTGCCTAAGTTAGAAAGCAAGATCCTCAGCAATGAGGCAAACCATGCTGCCCCTGGTGCTCAAAACTCAAGTTAAATCTTACCGTGAAATAAATTATTATATATCTACTATGAAAGCGATACTAAACAAATCTTGGACGTCGACAGTTTTTTTTAAATTGCTTATCCCTTTGCCATTAGTAAGAATGACCATACGTTTTGTTTTAATAATAAATAACTGCGCTTTACCACGATCTCTTCTAGCGACAAATCTTATACAAGCTCCTCCGATCCTCAATCCTCGAAAAAGGCAAGTAACGCACTCGTTATTTCGGAAGTGGATACGTGGCAACGCAGATTGCTTACCGCCAGGCGATGTCATTGCTCGTGTTCACATAAAAAAGCTAAAAGCACTAACTTGCTTGCCCTTTCTTGATTACTATCATAAAGTATACATACCTAAAGCTTCCTTTATATGTCCCGTGCGTCCGTACTTCGTCCTAAGCTTGCAAGGTTTGAAGTATATGACGTCATCACGATTGAAGAACATGAATCTTATGACCGCCGACTTCTTATGGACCTGGAAATAATATACAAATATTGGAATACTAAAAGTACTTTGACAGAAGCCAACAACACTATTTAATAAACCTAAATATTCTTTAATTCAGAATCTATAATTCAGAATGCCAGAAGGCCCATAGTCTAGGAGTGGGTTGTGATCTGTGACGGGCTGTTAATGTTAATATGGCTGTGTTCTTACGCCAAACAAATCTAATAAATTATCTAGAACTGGCTATTCTCGCGCGGTTTCACCCGCTGCTCGGCTCCATTTGATCGTAGCGTGATGTTTTATAGCCTATAGCACTGAGGAACATTGTAGCTATTGATCAGTGAAAGAATTTTGGCAATCCGATCAGCGGTACCAAAGATTACCCCCTACATACAAACTTACAAATTTTACCTCTTTATAATATTAGTATAAAGAGATTTATTCCTTACCTTGTATGGATGACCAGACAGCACAATCCTCTTGATGATCAGCCTGTCTGGGTTACACGACAATAATACTCCTGTAGCTAATAACTGTAGGTTTGTGTTCTTCTTTTCCTGTAACAAGCAAATATAATCAATTTATTAATTTATCCTAGAAAATTATGTTAAAAATTACACACAACCTATTTTGGAATAGTTATTGGGAACTTCTAAGTTTTTTTTGTGCGGTGAAAATCTTAAAATAACTTCTTATGCGGGCGTCGGACTCATACTGACTAAAAACCAACCGATTCCTTCTCCTGATCGAGACCGAAGTCGCAGTACCTTATTTGCGATTGCCATATAAAACTGTGGTGGTCTATTGGCTTGCGCGCAAAACGCTACGTGCCATACGATCGGAGAATTAAAAAAACAATAGTATTTTTTTTATTAATATTACAAAATAATTAACTTACCTTAAAACATAGAACTGAAGACGGACTAAACTGTATCGGAGCATAGAAAGAAGCGACGCAAGTTGATCCGGGCTGGAAGAATCTCTCATACTGAAATAAAAAATAAAATTATTGTAAAATAAGTTGATATCAAGATGAAAGAATTAACCATATACCAAAGAAAAGCTACAAAAAATATTTATAAGCTCCACAATCCGTGCAACACATTTCTGAGAATCATGGAATTAAACAAATGAAACAAAAAAACAAAACTCATAAACACTTCCTGACCTAATCTATGAGGTAACCAATCAGATAAATCTGAAGTTACTTGTAGAAAAACTGAATGTTTCCTTCACATCTGTGATGATAAACAGCTAACACCAAGGCAAAGAGTAGGAGAGCCACGCTCCGCCACAAATCGTATAAGTAAGTTGGTTTGCCACCATACCATATAAAAAAAAAATAACACCAACCTTATGCTTAGCACCATTAGTATGCTGACTGAATATTGGGTTAACAATGAACCTCCTGTACCCAACTTGGAAGATCAGCCTCTCTTTGCTCTTGATCGGCTCGTCACTCGCTCCCGTGCGCTTCAGAGCTACGTTCATGACAGACATCTTATGCTCATGAGGCAAGAGTCCAAAAACTGCAAGAGGAGCATCACCGTTTGAAGCGTGGAATGCCTTCCATAGGTCTTGACAAACACCCTTCACATGCACCGTGATATAGAATCCATACTGAAAATAATTTAAACAATTGTAAGTTTTACATGTTTACATTATAATATTTATGTCATTCCCTGAGTAATTGTATACGCTATATAATTCTTATTGTTGTCAGTCATATTACAAGTTTCCTATGTAATAAATAGTAGTTGACATATCATACCAAATATCATGTGCAATTTCAGACTGTCCTATTAATAAAAGCTTCATTATGTTGTATTCAGCATGTCAATCGGAAAAATAAAACTAAATATCCTATATAGCCGCGCTCACGCGGTCACACAAACGAGATTGTTAAAAGTATTAACAACAGAAGTAAAATATTGTGGTGGTCCAAGAATCATACCCTGTGGCATTCCTTGTAATTTTATAATCCCACATAAATATTGCATATTAATATGCTTTTAATAGCAATGGTGTTCTTTTGCATGGAGACAACAAAAGCTTTCAACAAGCCCATCTAGATAGTACTATTGAATCTATCTAAAGTAGACATCAATGCAACTTACCATGTTAATCAAACTATCTTCCAACTCCTTGAAAACCCTCCTCCTAGTTCTGTCATAGTTCTCAAACTGGAATATCCTAGCATAATCTTCAGGCAGGTTCTCTTTAGGGTCCCAGGGAGATGTTCTAAAGGACTCCAAACCTCTGTACCTCATGAACCTTTCCCTAGCTGGCATATCTTGAGGAGTGTCAACTTCGTCAGGGAATTGCTGATCCTCTCTGGCTGCTGCAAGCTTTTGTAGCATTTCATGTTCTTCATATGCATCTATAGTTGCATCATACTTTTCGTCTGTGGGTCCTACTTCTGATTCTGTTACAGACTCAAAATCATTGTCCTCTGCATTCTCTTCCTGTTCAGATTCATCCTCTTCACAAGACATAAATTCATCATCTTCATCTTGTCCATCACTCTCACTGTCATCATCTTCTTCTCCTTCAGCATCAGATTCGACAATCCAAGCTGCCTGGTAGTCTGACCAGCCTTTTGGAACCTTTTTCACTTTTTTTAACTTAGTCTGTAGAGACAAAATAAGAAATCAATGCCAATACATACCAAATAAACTGTGTTAATCAAGGATATAGTATTTTACTAAGTAATAGTATAATTTTAAATTTGACACTATTTAAATACTTTCCACTTACCTCTAAATTGGATTGTTCAATTTCTTCCTCAGTAGGCCATGTTTGTTCAGCATCCATTGGATTAGGAACATTCTCTGAGACTAGACTTTCCTGTTTAGCTGGATCAGCAACTTGAAGCACTGAGACTTTTGTAACTTCAGCTTCCATAGTATCATCTGATTTTGTGTTCTCTTTACCTAGGTTCAAGGGATGTGGGTCTTCCAGTCCATCTATCCTTGACATCTGGAAATCTCCTAATCCAGTTATATGCACTAATCCATTAACATTCAATGGCATACCTCTTAAGTATCCACTAATTTTAAGTGTGCCATTTTCGCCTTCACTATCTGGTACAAACTCCACCTCTTCAGCTAACATATATGGTCTCTTTTCTCTATGATGGATGATATTACGTTTCTGGTTACCAATTCTACGCAACAAGTTCAGTCCATCAGAACTTTTGTCTAGCTGCATTACTTTTTCTTCTGGAAGCCATTTTGAGACTAGCTTTTGAACATTTTGTTTTTCAGTTGTGCGTTTTTTGGGATGTACTCCTTCTATATCCATTGTAGCTACTATTGGTGTGGGCATGCCTTGGGCCATCGATAGAGCAAGTACTTTCTCTCCCCATTCATCCACTGGCTCATCAAGAGCTGAAGTGACAAAGAGAGCTGTGTCAGCAACTTTGAGGGCATCCAACAGAGCAAAGTCATTGTTTACCTCTGGGCATATGAATGAGAACCTTTGTTTGAAGTTTGGTAGCCTGTAACAAATAAAAAGGTTATTAACTATCCAAATGTTGTATAAAAAGAATTATTATGGTTAAGAAAGTAACTCACCCAATGTGAAGAATGCCTTTTGAAGACTGAGTTACTACAGCTCCTTCTGAACATGTTTTTAGTATAACAAGGGCTGAATTCACATCTAATTGTGCATTCAATGGGACCACGCAAACTAAGAATGGCGGGTTACGAGTTCCACCGAGGGCGCGTTTCTTCGACAAAACTTCCTCACGTTTATTCTTTCGGATTTGAAGGGCCTGGTGACGACGCTCCTCTTTTTTCAAAATATGACGATTGCGGCGTACAAACTCCTTTACATTAACCTTACCTGCAGATTTAATTCAACATTCAGTTTTGTAAATATCGAATAAAGTGGTCACTAAAAACAAGTCGTTACTAACCTTTTACTGCCGCTGAAATACCACGTTTAGAACGATGACGTGACTTGTGAGCCTTATTGCTCTGTTTTAGATTTCCTGCACGATGTGCTTGCTGCATTTTTATTAATTAGAAATGCATTAAACTGAAATTATTTACTAATATTACGACCGCATGGCGGTGCGGAATTAAAAATGTGACTTTGACGTTAATTTTGTTTGACATTTGACAGTGACATATGGACTATAGATTATAGAGAAAAATTAAAAATAATTGAAAGTATTCTCGATTGTCAAAGAAAATGAAATATTAAACAAAAACTAATATTAAAATATAAAAAAAAAGTATTTTTATTGAAAAATAACAAGCTTGATTTTATCATCTTTGCTTTACAATTCTTAAAAAGTTTACCTCGCAACTTTCAAAATTCAATTACAAACTTTTCGAAAAATCAGTTAACATCCAAAACATTTTTTCAGTTTTCAGATTTAAATTCTAAATAATAGTTTCGAAGACATTTTTAAAGTAGTCAACATAAATATAATCTTTTTCTTTATATAAAGTATTTTTAAAAGAAACTTAGATTTATTTATTTTTATTTAGATTCCTTGATAGCAACATTATACACGCCAACATCACAGGTCACGTGACGTGACGTTGTGGACGTGTCATTCGCGGACGGCTCGTTGGCGGCGTTGCGCAGGCTCTTTCTCGCGAAAAGTCCTATTGGAGTGTTACTAATGAACAAAAGTTGAATGGTTTTAGCCGGATTGATCAGTTAATATTTTAGTTAGGGTAGTTAATTCGCAATAAATCAAAATGGGAAGTGAGTATCGTTCATATTTTTAACTAAATATAGTGTTAAATCTCGGACACGTATTTGCACATTTTGATGATTTTATTGTAATATTGTGTGTTGTGTGTTAAATGTGTGATATATTAACGTAATTGTTTTACTTGCAGTCAAATTCCTCGAAGTTATAAAGCCGTTTTGCAGTATATTGCCAGAGATAGCAAAACCAGAAAGAAAGGTAAGCCATCGTTATATTTCGTCTATTTGTGTATTCTTTTTCTGTTATTTATGTTTGTAGAGCATGTAGCCTACGTTATTAGTCCTATTTAGGTAATATTCGGCCTATATACGTGTTAAAACGTAAGTGAAAGTGCATACCTAACCCTAATCTCTGAGTATGTAGGATGGCTAACTGTACATTTTGATGAATATCTTTGACTGGACAATTTGGCACATTTCTAACTAGATGCTTTGTATTTCAGATCCAATTCCGTGAGAAAGTATTATGGACTGCAATAACTCTATTTATTTTCTTAGTATGTTGTCAGGTGAGTGTGATATCTTTGTAATTTTTTAGTGATGTGGCCATATGCCGTTGCCAATAATGTTAAGTTTAACTTTAATTATTAATGAATTTACATGAGCCTATTAACAAAACAAACATCTTTCAAGTCCCTATAGAGTTTGTTTCATGTTTTGAATGAAAGCATTATTAAACCTTCCTTAGTTGGTGTAGTAACTCCAATTAGATTATACTCTACATGTAACTGTTAGAAAGGAAAGTAATTAATAATACAAGCAACAAAAATCATGTTAACTTTAACATATGGAAACATTGTTTAACCCTAGTCACCGTTTGAATATAAAGATTCAATCTTCTAATCTCCTCCTTAAATTTCAGATCCCCTTATTCGGTATAATGTCGTCAGACAGCGCGGATCCCTTCTACTGGATCCGTGTAATCCTTGCATCAAATAGAGGAACTCTTATGGAACTTGGTATATCTCCTATCGTCACATCGGGTCTTATCATGCAACTGTTAGCTGGAGCTAAAATCATTGAAGTTGGTGACACACCAAAGGACCGTGCATTATTCAATGGAGCACAGAAATGTAAGTGAATCCCTTTCTCTTTTGGATAACCAACTGACCTTGCCTATGTGCACCTTAGACCTATACCATTCTAGAGCTGTGAATACTATTCTTGGCCATTAAACAAAGATGTTATGAAAAAACCTTAACCATTAAAAACTAATCAAAACTATTGAATTAAATTACTTCTTCATGTTTATATTTACTAAGTGTCTCTGAAAACCTTGTGTATGGAGGCAGAATGCCAATCTTGTCCTAAATAAAGACATGCACTTTGCCAAAATAATATTTATAACAAAAAAAAAAAGGAACAACTTTCTAATTGTAAATATGTATTAGAAATTATTATTGCTGTAATAGTTATTGGTGATTGCCTTAACCTTTATCTCCCTCTATCTTGCAAATTTTGTTATTTTGGATTATCTTTAGGAATTACCTAGATAATGTTTTGTCAATGTCAATTACCTCTCATAACTGAATTACATTCTTATTTGTTTTAACAAAACACAAAATATTCTACCACTTAGAAGATCAATGAAGAGCTTTGAAAAACAGGTCTATCAGACACACTTTTATATTTTATGCTGCTAATTCATCTAAGTAAAAAAAGAAATAATGTTGTTATACAAATTGTAGTATAAAATGAAAATCTGTTACCCCTATATCACATTTCTTTATCAAAGATCTATTCACAGGTTTTCTGTAACAAATAATAAGCAATAAACTCCTTTCTCCATAAATATTTTTCATAAGTTCAAAAGCTTTTTATGATCTATACTTATACTTATTACATATAATATTATAAAGCTGAAGAGTTAGTTCATTTGAACAAACTAATCTCCATAACTACTGGTTCAAATTGAACTATTCTTTTGAGTTTGTTAGTCCATTTATCGAGGAAGGTCTCCCTATGATCTATAGGAGCTGAGCAGCTGGTGAAACCGCATGAGAGTAGTTAGTAGTATGTCTATAAAGTCCAAAAAACAATAATAAAGTTGTAACTAATCCATTTGTCCACAGTGTTTGGTATGGTGATCACTGTTGGTCAGGCTATTGTCTACGTAATGACTGGCATGTACGGAGAGCCCAGTGAAATTGGAGCTGGTGTCTGTCTCCTCATCATCATCCAACTGTTTGTTGCTGGTCTGATCGTTTTGCTGCTCGATGAACTGTTACAGAAAGGTCAGTCTATTTAACAAGCATATTGAAGTTGTTAGCTTTGAAAATGTCAAAAGTGTTGTCAGATATAAAATTGAATTATATTGTGGTCAATTAGTTTAGCACTTATTTGCTAATTTTTGTGCTTACTTACTTTGCAGCTATGATTTGAAAATAAACATAACTGTTTTTCATTCAACAACATTTACATTATAGTAATGACATAAAAAAATTAAATTCAAAAAATATATCAATCAATTCATACTTATATACTTATTGATTTACAGGATATGGTCTTGGCTCCGGTATTTCCCTGTTCATTGCCACAAACATCTGTGAAACTATTGTCTGGAAGGCATTCTCCCCTGCTACCGTTAACACTGGTAAGTTTTCTGTATAATTGTAAATTTAATTAATTATTGAAGATAATTTGAAGGTTAACTCACAAAAGATAAAAAAAAAGTTTAGATAGAGTTAATACCAAAACTTAATATTGACTAACAATTAAAATGGTCATTCTTTTAAGGTCATCAAACTAGTTGGTGGCCAAAAACTTTAGTTAAATGAGTATTTTAGTAAATATAATCAATATTTGTGTATAGGTCGCGGTACTGAGTTCGAAGGCGCAGTGATTGCACTGTTCCACCTCCTGGCCACTCGTCCGGACAAGGTGCGCGCGCTCAGAGAGGCCTTCTACCGCCAGAACCTCCCCAACTTGATGAACCTCCTCGCTACCGTCCTCGTCTTTGCTATCGTCATATACTTCCAGGTAAGATTGTATTCTTCTTAATTATAATAGTGTAACACCAAATTTCACTGTGTCAATAGTGAAGTGATGAATGATTCTACTCTTAACCCTTTCTCTTAGGTAAATAAATAATGTTCTGCTCCTGACTAACTTTAGTTAGCAAAGTGGAAGTGAAACTCTTTGTATTGACAACAAAGAATATGCTTCAAAACAGAAAGTGTAGACTAATAATTTATCTATTATTTACCAAACTTTAGAATATATTTACAATTAGTTAGTGTAATATGCATGTATTTTAAATTATGTAAACATCTTTACCACATTGTGTAATGAGAAATTAATCTAAGACATGTTTGTGTTCAGTTCACAGAAAAGACGTAACTTTGTACTTTTAACTAGAACCTGAGCAAGGAGACCTGGGTTTGATTCCCGGGTGTAGGACAAACAAAAACTATTTCTGTGTTTCTGAAATTAGGTGAATGCCAAAAAACTTGCTCTCGTATTATGAGACTCAGCTGCTGGAAAACGGGTTATAAAAAAATTTGTTAGGTGTTGTAAAAAAATATATCCTTGTACAATAATTCGATGTGTTTCTTCCGCAGGGCTTCCGTGTAGACCTACCGATCAAGTCTGCGCGCTACCGCGGCCAGTACTCGTCGTACCCCATCAAACTGTTCTACACCTCCAACATTCCTATCATCCTGCAATCTGCACTTGTTTCCAATCTCTACGTAATCTCACAGGTTTGTAAATTATACATACATTTTTTTCTGAACTATTGTACTGTATACCTTTCTAATAATTGGAATGTACATAATTTTGTTTAAACATAATAATTATCATAATTATCGTCACTGTTCTTAAGCAATATCAAAACAAAACAGAACAAGAACCGTGATGATCAGCAGTCCAGGAAAAATAATTGCTAACATATTCATTGTTAATGTTGACCAATGCTAGCTGAGGATATGACTTGAACAGATTTTTTTGTCAGCAGCCAATTAAATTTTTGAAATGTCTACAATATCAATAATTTTACAGATGTTGGCTGTGAAATTCAGCGGTAATTTCCTGGTGAACTTACTGGGAGTGTGGGCTGACGTCGGTGGTGGCGGCCCAGCCCGAGCCTACCCTGTGGGCGGGCTGTGCTACTACTTCAGTCCCCCGGAGTCACTCGCGCACATCGCACACGATCCCCTGCACGCTGTACTCTACATCATCTTCATGTTGGGCTCCTGCGCCTTCTTCTCAAAGACTTGGATCGATGTCTCCGGATCCTCTGCCAAGGATGTGAGTGTTTCAAATTACAATTTGTTATTTTAGTCAGGTTGACATTTTTTCTTCATAAAGTAGCTTTATAAAGGATGATTACGTTAAACCTAATTTATAATCATTAAAATGCCTGTACTTACGTACTGTACGTAATTCGTCACATCACGTTCGGGAAATACAGCGTGTTTGACCTAGAAATGAGAAGTTTGATGAATTATCATTAAACATTCAACGTGTAAAAAGTTCGTTACAATAAGGTTTCAGTTACAGGTTTGCAAGTAAAATAATCAAAAATTAGGCGTAAAGCTATATTTGCCTTCAGAAACCGGTAGAGGTTAACGACCTTTGAAACTTTACAATCATTGCCTTTTATTATGATACCGTTCAAGTAGCGGCCGCAAACTTAACTTTCCAATTAGTGAAAGTGTATCACTAAATGCCACGGAAATAGTGCAACAGTTTGGGCCATATTAATTTAGTTTTTTCAATACGCGCCTGAATATTGTATCACGTTAATATTGATTCAGTGTGGTTCGATTACTTTGTACGCACGCCCTGTTTACTGCAACTGAATAAATTACGAGTAGAGCATAATGTAATTTGCTATCGATTATTCGTTAACGGTCACGTGTCTGTCCGCAGGTCGCCAAGCAACTGAAGGAACAACAGATGGTGATGCGCGGTCACCGAGACAACTCCATGATCCACGAGCTGAACCGGTACATCCCGACCGCGGCCGCTTTTGGTGGGCTCTGTATCGGAGCTCTGTCAGTGCTGGCTGATTTCCTCGGCGCCATCGGCTCGGGCACGGGTATCCTGCTGGCCGTGACCATCATCTACCAGTACTTTGAAATCTTCGTGAAGGAGCAAGCCGAGATGGGCGGCATGAGTACACTGCTCTTCTAGAATCATAATAGTCGTGGTCGCCGCAGACAGCGCTCTGGTCACAGTTCATATTTAGCGGGCCGCAGCGCTCTCTACGACGCTGTAGTGTGCGTGGCAACGCGTGTGTGGGTTATGTGCTAATTTATATAAATGAACTTTATAATAAAATAATTTACAAGTACAGACTTTGTTTTTGTAGACCCTAAGCAGGTTAATGATTGTTCACATAGTTTGGTCATCAAGACACCATATCAATAATATTATCTGTGTTAGACTACTGTTAACATTGTACACAATAGAGTTAGAATCCTCACGAGCAGGCTAGACGTCAATTATAACTGGAACTTATCAAACAATCTGCAACACTGTCTAGATATGAAGACTGAACAAAGGATGTGAAATTAGACATTGTCTCAGCTGAACTCAACTATTATTGTTAACTTTCAGTTTCTTAAAAATATAAGTGAAATGACAGTAATTGTAATTTATAATATTAATGTTAGAATCCAACTTTGTTAAGATTAACTTACAAAACTTATGTCTCATTAAGTTTGTGTTGGACTGTTTGTAATACATTATGTATATTTTGTTATACTGTTGATCCACGAGTATATTAGATTCACGTATTGATTCTGTCGTCAAATGTATCAGAAATAATATGTGGTTTAAGTAACTTTACCTATAATAGATACAACTCATTATACACCACAGATTCAGTAGTTATTAATTCGAATAAATTCATTTATATTGTTTTGGATCAAATTATTTTTTATTTATATCACACTTATAGAAACTAACGTGATTTCCCAGGCAATATTGTTGAGGATAACTTTATAAAACAACACAGTACTTTTGTTATGTAACTTTATTTTATTCTCCTCACTAGACATGCAATACAAGGACAAAAAAACAATTTACGATTTTCCCTCAAAACCTTATAACAAAAAACTCATCACGACTAAATTAAACGGTAACAAAATGTATTTACAAAAACAATAGACCGAATAAGTTTGCCGCCAAAACATTACAGTTGTCGGAAAAATAAATTGAGATCTTAGGAACATGATTGGTAAGAGATCGAACAGAACATTCGAACTTGGAATAGTGCCATAAACATTTAAATTATGGAACTTAAATAGTATACACGTATGGCACAACACTAAAATACAATGTACCTTACAGTTAGAGGCACTTTGGAAGGAAAGAACTCGTCACGACTGAATAGCGGATTTACCTAGAGTGAGGCGTACACAGCATCTTAGAACGACATTATTCATGCATAACATAAAATGGAAGACAGCATACATGATAATATCCAGCAAATTACACAAAGTCTCTCACACTATGAGGTCGGTGATACGAAGGTCACTTACAACAAAGATCATTTGAAAATTTTGTAGAGTAATAAAATGCATAGGGACAATCTAGAGACACTTTCTCTCATTTGCTTTCCAACATTTCAGTTATTCAGAAGTCGCCGTTCAGTCATGACCACAACCTGGCCTGGGTAAAGTGGATATGACATAATAGGAATTTAATTATTGCTTATGAATTGTTTTGGCCTGGTCTTTGGTCCCTTACCATCATCAGATTGAGGAAAACATTTTATTCTGGACTTCTTTTGGAAGACTAGTCAGTAACACACGATAATCCTTCCCAATGTGTTTAAAGGCCAAATTTTTTATTTATTGATCATTAATTTCTTGCTTAGTTACACAATAAACACCCTCAACAAACATAATTATTTGGGAGATTATCAATATTAACTTAAGCATAACATAATATGTCATCTGTATTCTCTATACACATCTATAGTAATTGTAGTCCTGACGCTGTATAGTGGGTCACTAGTTAAACCTACTAATTAGTATTCACAGATATTTCACAATAAACCCCTAAATTATGTCTAGGCAATTGAATGATATATTTTTTATAAAATCGATGAATTATACTCAAAAAGCACTTTACCACTACCAAACCGTTTGCATAATATAATGTATGTACAAAGCTATTTCTAGTGTCTCTATGATCGTCATCTCGCGGTAGTTAATTCTCATGATTATACACATTGGAATTCTTTACATAATAAATATTCATTGAAACCAAATTGACATTAAAAATACAACAAATCTAAACGCAACATGTGTAATCCAGAAAACATTTTTATTATCATTAACAACATATCCGTGAAAGGAGAAAAGAAAAACAAAGAAAAAATAACTATAAGAATAACAGTGCCAATTATTAACTAAATAAAGTGGGATATAAGATCACTTGTCCTAAATTTATATTTTTTTCTTAGAGGAAAAATGCGTTAGTTACTAATAAACCCCGTAATGTCGAATATCAATCAATAGATGATGTTCAAAAAATTAAACTACACAAGTGTCTAAAACATGGAACCAATAAAATAAAATCTAAAATATAACAACAAAAATCAATTTGAAGCCGCGCCAGGCAAGTATGTCGTGAATCTTACTTTAGCTACGAACTAGTGATTTCGCTAATCAATCTTTATCATTTGTACATGCGTAAATAGCACTTAAAGTTATTGGGTATATTATATCGAAACTATTTAGTATGGTAATTTAGAATATCGTCCGCACTCGGTTCATGCTTTTGTGTCCCACTTGCATGCTCAAGTTTTGTCACAACAAAATTCACATAAAGTTACTTTCAATCAAAATGGCGTTACCTCATAAGTAACCCATTTTAGAGCCCTATGTGGGTAAATTGGAAACGGTAATACTGGACCTTACATTTATATAAACAAGCACTATCCAAGTTGACGAAAACTAGGATGATGCATTCTAATATGGTAAGTTTGAATAGAGATTAACCTCTCGTCTGCCGGTATGAGACACAATAGAAAACACATTGTGTCTAGCGTAGATCTGCGCTCCGGCATCACGGGTTAAGAGTAATGAAAATTATCTGTCCAGGGTGTGGTTCAATATTACAATATGTGTAAATCCCATTTTACCCAGTATGACTGTAGTTTTACCATTAGCTTGTTCTCATTTTTTATATAGGGAACGTTAGTCATTAAAAGTGCGTAATATAAATCTTGGAACTGTGTATCGTCGTCGACATGCCTTAACAAAACTTAAGTATGCACGGTCGATAATAACTACACAAAGATAACACTCAACAAATTTTTAATTGTCAAGCCACCAATGTCTGCTGTTGGAATAGATCCCGTGCATAAATAAAATAATGTGATTTACTTTAAGTGAGATAACTGAAATAATTAGTAATTTCCATACAAAAGCAAGACAAGATGGCGGAGTACCGTTACAAATCTAGAAGCGCGAGTAATAATTTACGCGGATGTAACTGAGTGTTAGGCAACTGTTTCTATTTCCTCCTGTTGTATAACGGGCGCCTGCTCGGGCGACGATATCGTCTTGGAAGGCGCGTTGCTATAAGGCAAAGTCTTTAGTTTCCGTGCTTCCCGCCTCTGTTTCTTCTGTTGCATCACGAGCCTCAGTTGCTCCAATTTGCATTTAGTTTTAGAGTTCTCCAGGGCTAGAGTCTTAGCAGTATCACATTTCTTGCATATGTTATCGGCAGACTTGCCGACGCATGCGAGGCACAGCTTGGGGTCGAGCCGGCGACACTGGCAGTCCTTGGGCCCGTCGCAGGTGCAGCGGCGCGGCACGGACGAGGCGGCCGAGCCCGGCAGGTGGCCGTCGCACTGCCCGTACAGGCACGCCTGCTGCTTGCAGCCCAGGCACTTGCTGCCCTCCTCCGCCGCCGCGCTCGACGCGCATGCGAAGCTCGCCTCCTTCTGCAATGTTCAACTACTACTTAGCATTCGTACAAAGCGTAACTAGCGATAACAATTGAGTAGACAAGATAAAATTGTAAGATAAACATTAACTACGAATGGTTCACCAATTTATCTTAGAAAACAAGAAAAGTATCTATAGTAATACTATGAAAATTACCTGAGCAATAGTTATGGGTGGCGCAGCACAAAGCAAGTCATTCAGTATATGAATTATTGTAGATATATCTCGCTTGGGTCGGCCGTATCTGAAACATTAACATAAATATGTCTAAGTAACGGGACTTAAGATAACAACACTAAATTTAAATAGTTGATTTTCACATAAGTACACATTACACAACAAATATTATTTTTGTCGTCACTAACTACCGAAAGTGAAAACTTTATGATTTACGCATCAAACAAGATACCTTCACATACTACTACTACGACGAAAGGTATCGCCGCCATCTTTGATTAAAAAATTGTGTCGGCACATGTGTAAATATAGGCTGACACACATTCTATTGCCTTTTATTATCTTTTTAAGTATCATAATATGTTTAAGCCATAAGCAAAAAATACAACTCACCTGTCTTGCAGTGCTGGGTTCAGTGTTCCTGAAAATGTCCCAGAATAAATTCCTTTGCCATGATGTTTCATGGACTCTATCACAGCACCGGGACCAATTTTTCTGCACACTGTCTCTTCGGCTGTCCTCAGATCAATTTTGTTAGTCAACACCTCTTTGGACAATTTTTTTAATTTCTGAGTTAAATTTTTTGAGGCTTCAATGAGCGCTTTGGTATCCACGGGTGGTGTTGGTGATGCTCTTTGTGGCTTCTTTGGAGCATCTGGTGCTTTGAATACAGTCTGCTTGGATGTGGATGGAGTGGGATTATCCTCAGTCTGACCACTGCTTGGTTGCAGAATTAGTTTCCTAGAATTAGTTATGTAAGGCTCAGTTCTAGAGGTGGAAGGTTGAGATAAATTAGTGTCTTGTCGACTTTGCATCCTTTTCTTATGTTTATTCACAACTGACTGCATAAATGCTTTTTGTTTATTTTGACCAATAGGATGTTTGAATTTGGATGTCTTGTGCAGTAAATACTGGAATCTCTTGTTTTTCAATGGCTCGTTTATACTTTGGAAAGGTGGTAGAGTCCCTGAATTAGCTTCCTGACTGCCGTGACTAGTTGTAGCCAAATTAGATATTTCCCTATCCATCATAGATTCATCTTGATCCTCAAACAGTCCTTTGTCAACCGCACTGTTGAAGAGGTTTTCCATGGGGTATTCATCTATAGTACTTTCAGCAAGGAATGAACTTTGGTCTGTAAAATTATCACTGTCATCACTGAGTGAGCTATCTGGAGTGTGGGAGGATGTTGAGGGGCTTTGCTTGTCACTGATGGCACTGGTTGAGGGTATCACATCATTGCTTATTTTATTCTGAGTGAGAAAATCTATCAATCTATTATTTTTTACAGAGTTGGCAGCAGCACCATCTTTATTTGAAGATTCTGTAGTAGCAGCATCTATGGGACTGGACACTAAGTTGGACAAAGATTTGATGGGAGATTGCTCACTTTCTATAGAAGTTTCAGAGAGATCTGACAGTGTGCAGTTTGATGTGTCCATTGTATCATCTTTGTCATCACTAGCATCACTCTTGTCACTATATTTCTCTTCAGCCATAGAACGGTACAGATCAAAACAATTCTGTAGCATTTCAAAGTCTTGCTTCTGTAGCCCATGTGGAGCTGCTGGCTCTGGTTTAGGAGTTTCACTACTGATATATGAGTGGTCAGTCGGTACAGGTGTACAGGTAGGTTGAGTTGATGTCTGAGGGCTGGGTGATTCCCTGGCGTCGCTTTTACTATTCCGTACTGATGTTGAAGAATTTTTGGAAGGTGTTGATGTTCTCAAGGATCTGCAGCCACTGGAACTCGAGTTTAGGGTAGACAATTGCAACTGGATCAGCATCATATGGTCACCTAACCTCATTGTCAAGTTCAGTGGAGATTTACCACTTAGAAAGTCATTGACCTGAGTGTCATTTAGGGATTCCAATGCTTGCATCACAGAATTTTCGGGTCTATGGCTCTGCAAAGAGATGAAAGAATAACATTAATGAAATTATAAGTTAGTCAATAAGACAACTGTCGCCTGAGAGATAAATGTGTATTGATTAGTTTGTCATAGTTGTGAAACACGTGATAGTCAGAAGGTACTTGGGGGGTTTCGACACAGCACGCTGTCTCAAGTTCGTGACTCACCAGCAAGCCAGTCTCGACGCTCGGCAGGAGGATTACCCTCGACCCATCCAACAGACCATTCTCCTCTAGCGTACCATCCCTCAGTTGTCTGCGAACACAAAACTCAACTTGAATACGCGAGTCAAATAACATTGATGCGTCATCGTATCGACATATTTCCGTGATATGTTTGACAATAGAAGCTTAGCGTCTCGACATAAAACGCTTACCTTTCGCGATGCAGCAAGCATAATCTATCTTTAGACACCTTAAGTTTCTTCGAAACTAACTTCTTCAGGTGCTCCACTGTATTTTTAGGGTTCAAACTGATGGAGAAATTACCACCCGTAGTAGTTTGTATATTCAGCGTTATGTCTGAGGATTGGGGCGAGCCACACCCGTACACCTCTGTTCCCGTCGCGCGTTCCATAATTTCTTCATAAATTACACTAGAATTTACTATAAAACACTATTCGAAGCACACACGAACTATCTTAAATTACACAGCTATTTTATTGCAGGATAGAAATAACAGGGTCACGCCAGACCCCCAGTTTTTTGATGTGGCCGTCGGTGTGACCAGTTTTCGTTCGCGATATCCCGTTATTTTTTTTTACAACAGCTGATGCGAAGCGCTTACTACAATGCGTTTTGTTCTATGTTGTTTCTTATAAGAATTGCCATAAACTATCGCTTTAAATAATTTATGTGACTGACATGCGAATGGAATTGAGGTAACTGACTATATTATTCATTAAATTTCAACGTACAAAGAGTAATTCTAATTTATTTGACTCGTTGTTATCAGAAAATTATGACGCATCATGATCGTCGCTAAATTATACGAACGTCAAAAGTAAACGTCACATGACGTCATGCAACGCTTGCTCATGACGGTGCATTGCCTGATATTTTGTAAAGCGGTAAACTCAAATCTTAGTTTAGTAAACATAAACGAAGTTAACTTTTTTATTTTAAATAGGACCTGTATTTTTTCACCAAATTAATGAAACCAATATACTCAAATCTCTTATCTATTATAATAACTTTATTATCGAAATAGTATTTTATTAACGAAATAAACAATCAAGTTGGTACGTTTTAGTGACAGAGATAATTTCTTATAAACGATTATCGTAATTACGAGCATCATTTTAAGCAGATACAATACAAACAAGCGTGACGAGTGACAGGACAGAATGGAAGAAAAAACATATTGCGCTGACCCCAAATAAAACGGGACAAGGGCAGGAAGATGATGATGATTTTAAGCAGACACAATGCCACACCCGGCTCCTTACATATATCGTTTATCTTTAGTCGCATCATCGTATCGCATCATCCAGGTACTCATTTTTGGGACTGTAATCGAGAATAAAACGAAAATAAATATTCCTGAACCCTCTTTATTGACCCAGCACCCACCAACACGATAAGAACAACAAAACTTAACATCTATCACAGCAGTGCCATTACAAGATTTTCACAGTACATTATACAAATAATGGGCCATGGCCTCAAGTAAAACGAAGGCGCAATGAGATGACCTTGTTAATTTTATGCAATATTCGTTGATTACGTGTTGATAGAAGACAAACTATTGTTGTTACCAAGGTCATTCCATTGACAATTTGTTTATGTATGACCAACGAGGTCTGAGTACATTTCCATTTTTGCAAAAAATTCTGACAGTTTGCGTATTGCGTAAATAATTATATACGCACGGAATACTAGTGGCTTCCGCAACATAAAAATTTAATGCTTCAAAAATTTCTTAACATTTCACATTATTATGAATATAGATAATCATATTTTAACACAGTTATCACTTAAAATCTTAAACATTTGTTCATAGAGTAAAGAATATTTTGTAAAGATAATTATATCATCTTTTATTTAATAGTTGTCATATTGTGTATACACTATCACAAAACAATTAAAAGTACCTAATAAATAACGTTATGTCTATAAATATAGAATTATCTATTAAATATAAATTCTTACATTTTGTATTATTCCTTTAAAAGGTAACTTGGATTGCTGTTCACCATTAAAATAGTTTAATATTGCAGATTGAATGCTATGTATACCTAAATGAGAACCTGTAAATAAAATAAAACCATAACACTATAAAAAATATGATTTTGCTTCCTGCACTTTCACTTTTTTTTTCAAACAGACACCAAAACAACGCCATTACATACTTTGTAAAAATACACATTTACAAATTGCTCTAAATATTTATGAATTTAATTATTTAAAATAGTGTAACTTTATAGATACTATTAGCGTTCAATAGAATGTAAATTTATATTAAAACATCAAGTACATCATGATTAAATGAGAATTAGTTTTACACTTATTTTAAAATAATAGTTTTATTTCGCTTTTTCTAGTAAAATATGTAAGCTGTATCACTTTAAAATGAGAAAATTCGGCTTCGAGTCATCACTACTGGAGCTTTTCTCGTCGTCGGATTCGTTCTATTTCAATAAATTTATAAGTTTTACAATAGTTACTACTGTGTTGTTAAAGTTGATTGCTAAGAAAAAGCATACTAGGGTACTACATACATTTTGGACTCGATTACAGAAGTTTTTGAGCCCCAATCGTTGTAAAATACGATGATAATTGGAAATGAATGAATTTTATATTTAGATGTAAAATATTTTTACACCAACCACAGATTAAATGTTTACAAGTGAACAGAGTATAAAGATCAACATAATTTATTATTACATTTTGTATATTATACTATGGAGACAAATGCACATAGAACTTTGTTTAGCCTACTTCCAAAAAGGAAGAACTAAATTTAACTAATTTAGATAAATTTAATAAAAAATAAACATACACGAATTTGAAATAAGAACATCATGGCGACAATATTAAGAAAAATAAAACCTTTTTTTAAATGCGACTTTTGGAAAGACAAGATTGTGCCATTATGTATTTAGGGATACATATATTGTATGAAAGGGTACATGGGTAGTCTCGTTAATGGCCGACTAAGAGAGCACACATTGTCACTGTTACATAGTATAAAATAAAACCGCTTTTATCAAATCCCTATATGATAATTATTTGTTAATAATTATTATATACAAATAATTATTGAAATATTTATTTGGATGATCAAATCAATCTTTAAAACTAAGCTATTGATGCGATTTCTCTTTTTCTCAATTGATTGCGAACAGCTTTATACGTATAATAACATGCATTAAATAGTGGAGAAATTTAGTATCAAAATTGCATCAGTACGTAGTCGAGGCGGGTCGCTAGTTATCTTATGAATCTGAACCTTTAAAACTGCGTTCTTGTTTCTAACGTGGACACATAATGACTATCATAGATCTTTTATATAGCAAACAATAATAAACTTTTAACAAAAGACATAAGTTTTCTTTTTCATCACAACGTTCTATGTGCATTATTCTTTGTTATGCTACATGTATATAAAGTTTACAATCACGATCCGAACTCTTGGGTCTCGTTGTCGATCTCTCCGAACACGAAGCCGCCTCGCCCGTCCATTTGCAAGTAATGGTCGTGGTGTTTCCATAGGGACTTGCGATGCGATACCGTGAACAGGGATATACCGACCTGAGGACAAAAACGACATTAGTTATATATTCCTTTTCACTAGTAAAAACCTAATGAAATATATTACACCATCTATTTATAGAGAGAGCTTTCTTGAAAGGCAATCACTCTACACTATAAAAATGTATAACTAAATGTTTGCTAAGCGCTAATCTCGAGCAAAACTGAACCAATTTCGACTGCACGGTTGGTTAGGTGGCTGGGAAACTGGCTGCCGTACAACGTGTCGCGGGTTCGATTCCCGCACGGAACAACTCTTTGTGTGATCCACAAATTGTTGTTCCGGGTCTGGGTGTCATTTGTATGTTTGTAACTGCACCCACGATACAGGAGAAAATCCTAATGTTGGGCAAGGTTTTCTTAAAAAAAAAAAAGTTAGTTTTAGTTATTGTATGGTAAAAATTCTCATAAAAAAAAATTTCAGAAAAGTAGAGGGGTAAAGTAGTATTTCTATGATGATTTTCATACTATGGCGGTTCACAAACAAAACAAATTATTGACACCGAGATAGTTGGAAAGCCGCGTCGTTAGTATACAACAAATGAAGACATAAATACCTCTCTGCAGTACTGGTACATTTGTCCTTCGACGTCCACCGACACTGCGCTGGTGCACTCGTCCAGGATCGCGAACTGGGGCTCGTGGTAGAACAGACGCGCCATCTAGTTAGTCAAACATTATAGTTTGTTGAATCCATTGCTTGTGTTACGGCTTATACAAATCATAACAATTATAAAACTGATGGAATAGTTTATCTATTGAATTGTGTGCATATAGGGTTGATAACATTTTTATTATTATGCTCTTCGTTTTAAGAATCTATAAAATCAAATACTATCCGACCATGTATCGATTTTAAATATCTTGTGACATCATAACGACTATATGTACATCTTATATTGAGCTATGACGTAGGAACTAAAGTTCAATTCGTTTCATCTAAGTATTGTTTTCATAGACGACAAAATAATAAAATGGATTCAATATTCTTCAAAATGAAACTGATGGGATAATACGATTTTTATTTTCATCTCATCATTTCTATTATTTCATCTTAGTAATATTATTATATATACAATTAAATCAAATGCGAAAGTTACGACGTTTGGATGTTTGTTACTCAATCGCGCGAAACGGACGTATCTGAATGAAATTTGGCTCCGGAATAGGACATAGGCTACTTTTTATCAACATACCACGCGGATGAAGCCGCTGGCGGAAGCTAGTATCTATATAAAACTCACAGCTATCCTCTGTTTCTCTCCACCAGACAGAACATCCATCCAGTCCTCCACAGCGTCCAAGGATCCCTCTCGGTTAGTCAGGTATGAGAGCTGCACTATCTCCAGGAAACGATGCAACTGCTCATCTGATCGGCCTCGTCTTTGCATCTCCTCGCGGGTTTGAGGGTAAATTATCTGGAGAGAACAGAGAAGAAATAAAATGGGTTTTATATTAAAAAATAATTTACTTAGCAAGAGCATGCTTGTCTATGACATAAATTAAAATACACAATATCGGTTAGCAATGAACATGATAACAACAAAATAACCATAAAGCTCCACATATTAACAAAATAACAAAAATTATAATAAGTACAATAAAAAAACTAATATTATGGCCTCATACATTAGTTAAAGCACGCTGAAGACCAAAAAACGAAGTAGCAAATTGGAATTAATAAAATGAAGTAAAAAACCGCTAAAGAGAATAGCAAACAACTTTTAGAAAATGACCTTTAAAACCATTATAAATTTTATACGGAAGGAAGAACAACATACCTACTTCGTAATTAATTACTTAGTTTTGCTAGGCTTAGTATCTGTTCTTTTATAAAAACAAAAGCTGGGTAATTATAAAATGCTATTATATTCGTTTGAAAGTCATAGATAATGTTACCTGGTCTCTCAAAGTTCCAAGGGTCATGTAAGGTCTCTGCGGAACATAGAAGAGTTTCCCTTTAGGGGGCTTAGTGAGCGTGCCGCCGAATATGGGCCAGAGCTCGCCGAGCTGCCGGAACATGGACGACTTGCCGCAACCGTTGGGGCCGCATACCAGCACGTTTATACCGGACCTGGAAACAATATTATTACGTATCATCATCAGCCTATAAGTGCCCACTATTGAGCAAAGGCCTCTTCTCAAATGGAGAAGGTTTGAGTATTAATCACCACGCTTGCTCAATGCGGGTTGGGGATTTCAAACTTATAATTTGAAATTATAAGTCCAGGTTTCCTCACGATGTTTACCTTCACCATATGTCAGTGGTGTCTAAATAATCATAGAAAGTACATGTTACTCGGTAAAGTCACATTGGTACATGACAACCCTCCTTATGAGGGTGTGGGTTCAAAACCTCGGGCGCCTTAACCTCAGGGCCACGACCTTCGTATATTTATTGATCATATCATAATAGAGCATAAGTAATGCGTACTAACCGGACTTCGAAAGTGAGTTCCTTGATGAGTACGTCCCCGTTGGGCGTGACGAGCGGTACTTTGTCGAAGCGGATGATCTTGTCTTGGTAGATAATGCGGCCCGCGCCGGGAGCTAAAATTGCTGGGATTTCTGCAAAGAAAAATTAATATAAAATATTGACTAACTTTAAAACCCACTGTTAACTAAATTGTTTGTTCTAAAATTTACTATAATTAGTTTAAGTTTGCCGAAAAGTAGCAAAGATACTAGAAGTTTTTTTTTTCGTAACCTCAACAATATAAACCAATATCTTGTTTTTCCATCACACATTCTATTATCACACTATTCTACTCTCGTCAATTCATATTTATATTTCCCTTTACTCATCATGTAAAATGTAATGCCCACCATGTAATATTACTCTCGTGTGGTTTTACCTACTGATCATGCTCGTCTCCATTGATCGTAATGGTATATTTATCGAAGAAGACTATCTTCTTCGATAAATATAGACAATAACACTAAAATAATTGTTTCATTTGGACGAGTAGTCCTTTACAGCCTTTTTTGTGGACTGAAAATGATCAAATAAATGACTTCTCTCGTCAAGGGTAAGGCGAGAGGGAGTCTTAAGTTTTTTACTAACTAAAGCACCACCCCCTTTACTTTTTCAGGCCGAGTTCGTAGTATCTTCTTGCGCTTGCCTCGGAACCCGGGCGGAGTTCCCTTATAGGTAAGAAAGATTACATGTACATATATACTGACCGCTACCATTCTGCGAGTTCCTATCGACCATGGTCCTGGTGTAGTTGCCCTTGTTGACATCATCGAGCACAGTCCGCAGCTGGGTGACGCGGGACGTCAGCCCCGCCAGCTTGCTCAGCTCGCGGCCCGACAGTACCAGGCGACCGATACCCTCCGCCATCTTCACCAACATGCGACCGTACGTGTAGTAGTGCTGGAAACATAAATGGTACGATTAATTTATCTCATAAATATCTCGCTTATATTATACTATAGTCAAAGGACAAAATGACATATACAAATTTGTAAGAGAGTCAAGCTTAGGCACGAATGGGAACATGGCACAACCTTCCAGAATACCACAGCCTCACACGGCGAAACACAACGCTGTGGTTGTTTCACGGCCGTGGTATCACTCCGGTCGAGTCGACCCATTCGTGCCGAAGCGTAGCTATTCTACACGTAATATATATATTTTTTATATTCTATATATTTACCTTGAACCTATCATTCTCAGTGCCAGTAGTAAGCAGGTTGTGGTCGACTGCGAAGAATGGGCGAGACACTGCGTAGAAACCGACTGTGATGGCCACATCTGTAACAAACACAATTATTAATGAAATGTCATATTATTGTGTATACAATACCGAAAAATGTAGGAACCAAAAAAAGCGAATATAGCTTCGAGAGAAATTGTAAATGAAAAATGGTTTTTCAACGATGACTCAAAAAGCGTGGAGGCTTATAAAATCTTAGAGTTGTAATCCAAAAACATTATTTTATTTCCTCTACGAGTACGACCAACAATGACTCTCTAATTTTTTAAGTATTAAGAAAATCAAGATTGTTTTGCTGCCTTATTTTTTTCAAAAGTGGATAAAACGAAATTAAGGGCTTCAAAAATGTTAGTCAGATTTAGGGCTACATACTACTTACATTTGGCAATGATGTTGTCAATGAATCCCATGCCGACTCTGAAGTTGAGGAAGTTGCGCAGATGTCTCGTCAGCTTGTAGAAGCTGGCGAGCAGCGTAAGTTGTTCACGGTGGTTGCCCTAGGGAAAAACCACAAAACATCTTTTTAACAATTTCTTCAAAGAGGTTACGATACATTTTAAAGTAAATTAGATGAGGCCTGCCTATTGGATTGAGAAGAATCCGTTTTGGGAATTAATTGATTAGTCTATAGCCTGAATAACATTTTAGGTCTGTTGTAACCTCGGGCCCTACAGGGCTGATGTTCAGCCGGGGTTTGCTGGGCACCGCGGCCTCGGCCCAGAGTAGGAGAAGGAACAGGTTTTTCGTGAGTAAGAGTCTGATACTCCCTCCCGCCCAACCCTGGGCGGAAGAAGGCATTTGATGACTTTCCCCTCACAAAAAAGGTCTTTTGTAACCTGTACCTATTTTTTAGGCTATATCTGGTTTGAAATTGAAGTTACCTCAAACATATGGTAGGTATATCTAAATTATTTATTATCAACCATTAAAAAACGGTATTACAAAAAAAAAACAATAACACATTTTCAATGTTCTCATCGTTTGTAGAATATTTTTACTTCATTATTTAATTACATAACATATTATCACTATAAATATCATCACATATTATTTTTCATTATGTCATTAAGGTTTAATTTAATGACAACTTCAAAATGTTTATGTTACGCACGTTTTAATTTAATATACCTAAAGTGGTTAAACCACATTTTTTTACGTACAATTAAGGAGTAATTTTATAGGACTACTGTTTTATTTTAAACACAAATGTATCCATGCAATGCTTTTTTATTTAGAACATAACTTATTATAATAAACGAAGTTTTATTCTTTTACTTGTTGTAACATTACGAATTTTCCTTTAGGTATTAATTTTCTTACAATTATTCTACTTATATTAATCTAAGCACTAAAGCACTGCACTGCTATTATCGGTTTGTAGCTTAATTTTTAACACCCTATAGTTACCCTCAACAAATGGGCTATTTCGAATATAAAACATTCAAATTCGAACCAGTAATTCCGGATATTAGCAGCAACCAACAAAACTTCTACCAAATAATAGCATATAAAAATAAGATAAACAAAAATGGTGCCACGACTCACCTGGTAGAAGGCGACCTCCTCTGAATACGTGATCAGCCTGGAGTTCACGTATCTGAATTCACCTTCCAGTTTCTGCTCGTGAACAGTCATCTTAGCTAAAATAAGAGTAAAGTAATAGTAGAATAAGTTATGACGTTATTAAAATTACAGCATCTGTTTAATGTGATAACTTTTTATCAAAATAAAAGAATAGAATTGACATAAATCATATTTTTGCATGAAAAAATAATAAATAAAAACTAAAGGTTACTATTAACTAAAAATGTATTTTTTATTAAAAATACTATTTAACAAATACCACATTTTATCGAATTATTTACGGGATTAATTAGACACATTTCATAAGAGTTTTTATTCAAACATTTATATTACCTGTAGGTCTTCTGAGGTATGTGAGGAACACGCCAGATAGGAGTAGGTAAGCCATCATGATACCTGGAGTCTGGAAAACAGGGAAAGATACATTAAAATTAAATACTTTTATCATTTCATGAATAATTTAAAAATAATAATCCTTATTTTAATAAAGTGACGAAGAAATTAGTAGTGTAACTTTTTTTTATTGTAAAGTTCAGCTTTATAATAATATGGCAAAATGAAATAAGTACATAGATACATAAAATATGTTCATATGCAACTAACCCTTATGGGGAATGCTACATTAGAATTGGGAATATTGTACTGAAAGTGCATAACGGGTACATTTCAATAGAGGCAAAACTTAGGAAAACAGACTCAATTCTAGACTTCGTTCCATTATTAAGAGATACCTTCCAGAACGATCTCAACCTCAGAGAATGGATTTGCCTATTGTGTTCTCTAAAGCGACGGACATAGTCAATTTTAGCTGCGCATATGCGATAACCAACGTCATGGTGGCCCGAAGGTAAGGAACGCATCTCATGCGTTAGGGTTCGAAACCTGGCAAGTACCCATCTGACTTTTTTCAAGTTACATTTACTTTCTATGATTTTATAGACACCACTGGCATACGGTGGCGGAAAATATCGAGAGGAAACCTGGATTTATAATATCTAATTATAAGTTTGAAATCGCCAATTCGCCTTGAGCAAGCGTGATGATTAATGCTTAAACCTTCTCAGTGTGAGAAGAGGTGTATGTTCAGCAGTGGACACTTGTAGTCTAATGATGTAATGTGACATGCGATAAGCGTCCTCTTACTTTACAAATGGCACATACAGGGTGATATTAAAATGATACTTACTGAAGCTCCCAAATTAACGGTCAATCTGTACAGATATATGCCGATGTCCAGCATCGGCTTGCTGATATTACTGTATAAGTCTACAACTGTATCGCAGAACTTCTCAATGTCGGTCGTCAAGAGCTGGTCAGCATTAGATATCCTGTTGTCCAGGTTTGATACTTGATAGTAGGTGAAACCCCTGTAAAGATAAAATGAATTAAGAATAGAAGACTTTAATTAATTATGGGAGACTGGGTAACTAGGTTAGAAAGTACAGAACACTATCTATCTAATAAAAATTAATTGATAAATGTGTTAATTTCGTTTTGTTGTTGTTTATTTTTGGCAGAATGTTCTTATAAAAGCCGAAAGAAGCAAGGCGGGTCGCTATTTAATTTACAAAATATTTTTTCATCCAAAATTATAGTCTTATCTAACCTAAAGTGTCATAAATTAATTCATACATATGGAGAAAGGAAATTACCTACATAAAATAAAATGTTACACTATGTGTTTATTTTATGGTGCAGTTAACGATACACGAGTAGCACACATGTGAACTTAGCTACATTTTACAGTATCTATAATAGTATTGAGTTTAGGCACATAAATGTGAATTTTAAACAACACAAACATAATATTTATTTTCACGTGATAATAAAGATTTTCTTTTTTGCATCACAAATTACTCGCATCGTATGGACAGTTTTAGTAACAAACTCTTTGCTCAGTAACAATTAAAAGTATATCAGTTAGATATTTTCAATAGGTATTTATTTTCTTTATACATATTAATATCAAATTATTATTGGAGTGGACTTTAGATTCTCAATAAAAGATATCGGAGGAAATGGCTAAGGCTTAGTCTGCGGAAATAAGGTGTTAGTGAGATTATAAATATTTTTTATCATAAATATATTTCTGGGAGTTTTTCCCCTCAGGGGTCATATAGAGGAGATTTGTGATATATTTGTTTTTAATGAAGCGCATTTATGCACACATATAACTGCTTGGATATTTGCCTAGGAAAATATCCAAGCAGTTTTGTATTACTTTATATAAATAATAAATTAAATAGCTGACTGATATTTTTATAAATAATAGCATTTGTTTGTACTTGAAATTAGTCATTCAGCTTATCTTATCTCAAACATTTCGGAGGTTTATTATTAGATAAAAAATATTATTATATATGTATATGAGGAGTTAATATTACATTTATATCTATTCAATGACTATCGTAATACTTTAAGAGGTTTCCTTGCGACATAGATAATGCATATCAAATATTACGAGCCATAACAATAAACGAACAAATGCAGTATTTGAGTCTACATTTTTAGCTTTATAGTTTTTCTGATAGAGTTTAAAATCCATCGAAAATAAAAAAGTTGCATAATTTTTATGAATTCGCATTGGGTTTTATGATTCTATATAGACGTCTGAATTTTACATGGATCGACCCTCTTTTCTGTTTTGTGATAAAGTGCATTTAAACCATCCTTAAGAATTGAATAAAACTAACTCTTCTATCTGTCCATCCCAGACATTTTTTGCCTGGTCAAAGGAGTAAAGGAAGCCTATCTCTCTTTTAACTAAATCAAGATACAAAAGAAAGACAGACAAACAAACACATTTGCTAATTAACAAGATTATACCTGGACCTATGGTCAATGTCAAACAGGTACTTACTTATTAAGTACCTACGCACCTACATTTAAAGTACTTGCATTCATTTGTATCTTACATTGACGATTGTATATTTTCTGGTCAATTGCAATGCAAATACTGGTTTGTCTAGATTCTAGACAAAGGACCAGTTTTATCGAAACGATCGACCGATAGCATTTATGTATTCAGGTATAACATATTTATACATACATAAATATTTGTTTCATTGTGTGTAGTTTGTATGTACCTACATACCGTTTATATACCTATTGAATAACTATGTTGATAATTGACATAAGGTAATTCCCGAAACGTCAACGTCAAAATCATTTATTTCAATTAGACCAATACATGCACTTTTGAACGTCAAACAAAATTTTAAAGATATAAAGTGTCAGTCTGTCGATCAGTATGTTTGCTCATTCCAAAGTGTAGATTCCGATGGAGAAGAATGAGCAAGAAACTCCATGGTTACGCTTTTTAAATCAGTTTAACATAAAGATTCTTTGGTACATTTATTAAAAAACGTCAAATCGAATAATTTAAGTATTTCTATAAGACACTTTGGAACAAAATATAGAAATAAGTATAAAAAAGTGTCAGTTTGTCGGGCACTACTGAATCAATGTAACCCTTAAAACTCAAAACGTTTTCGTATTACATAATTAAACCTGCCTCTCAAAAACCAGTATAGTATACTGATCAAAGTCTCATTAAATCGTGTTCAGTAGTTTTTGAGTTTATTGCAAACGCAGAGACATGGCGGAGGATTTTGTTTTAATATTATTATAGCTACACGTTATAATAATGGCTGACTAAACACGTCATTTGAACTCAGTAGAGTGCCCTTACTACTTCCAAAAGACAGTAAGTTTATTGACAATACATAATTTACTAATTTAGATTCAGTTGTAGTTTCAATTTATTACTATTGTACGTAATCAACAGTTTAAGAGCTTAAATTTTATCGTAATAGATATCGTGTTTTTATTAATTAGGTGAAAAGTGACAATCAATATGTTTATTTTGAAATTATATTTTCTTTCATTGCCATATCGATAAGATTTGTTTAATAAAATTACTAATTAATCTTTCGGACAGATATACATAATAATTTATTAACATAATAGATTTTTTTTCATGTGATTCTTAGGAGATGTGCCTATGCGCTGGATTACCTGATGGTATGCAAGATGCGCCGGTTATGGACAGATGGACACCCGCAACACCAGATGAGGTACGAGTGCGTTTCCAGCTTTTTGGGAATTAGGGTTTAGTCGTAGATTTAGGGATTTGCGGGAGGAAGACGCATTGGTCCTCAGGTAACCTGACTCACACGGCGAATCAAAACGCGGTTATTTTACGCCGATATTCTGTGAGGCCGTGACATCACTCCAGTCGAGCTGACCCATTCGCGCCGAAGGATGGCTCTCCCACCCATACTCATGTTGTTATCATGTTTCATGAATAAAGGGAAATTCCAACATGATGGGGAAGTGCCGTACAATTAGCAAAAAATTAAATTAACGTTGCTTCTGTCTGTAAACATATAGCATTAAGGCCTTATTCCGAATGTCAGAAATAACGGGTCATGCAAACAGTGACTAGCATAATTTTAGAGTTCAAAGTCGAGGGGCAAAGTCTAAAGTATTACGTATGGTCATCGACTCCAATCTTTATTACACAAATTGGTATGATTCATCGAGTTTTGAATAACTTGGGGCCTACATCTTGTGCTAATAAGATTTTAATTTTTACATTGGCTTTCTTCAACTGCTGGTTTCAAGATGGTTATATTTTATTTTAAAATCACAAACGTACAAAAATTTATTTAACATTACACTAGTTACGATTTCAAATAGACCGTGGTCGGCTTTAATTCTTCTTCAGAAATATTTTTGAATAATATCTAGCATAGTTTTGTGAAGGACATCTGTTTTTAGACATTTCTTATCTAACATTCCGGTAATAATAAACTTATACCGGTCTAGGTCTTCCAAATGACCTTACTTAATTCAACTAGCTAACGGCAGATGCACATTTATTTATAAATTACTAGTTCTTACCCGCGGCGTCGCTCCCGTCATTTAAGTACCTACCCTACTCTATCTTATCCTATGTCCTTCTCCTAGCTCTAAACTACCTCCCTGCCAATTTTCAGCTAAATCGGTTCGGCCGTTCTTGAGTTATAAGTGGAGTAACTAACACGACTTTCTTTTATATATATAGATATATAACAGTGCATTAATTATAAGCATATAATTCTAACAGTGTTCTAACATGACAATCAGTTACATATGTATATTTAGATAGACTAGAGATTTTTTATGTCTGTCTTAATCTTGCTGGAAATTATTGAATGTATTTTCACAAAATCAACTCTATTCAAATAAAAGTTCTCTTTGGCGTATGCCGATGTGGGTAACCAAAATACAATATAATACCTATATGTATGTATAAACATCATATTTTATCAGTCGGAAACATGCACTCAATGTTGGCAAATATTATCTATGATATAACAGATATTTGGAACAAGGTCATAGCTAATAGAAGAACATTGTTATTAGTATAGTCTGTGGTTTTATAGGCGACCTACAAAAAAGAGGAAAGTTACAGAGCGAAGGAAGAAAGAAGGGTAACACCAAAGAAAAAAAAAGGTTAATAAGATTTAGTTTTTTGGTATTTTTATAAGCCAAGAAATGGTTTTTGATGCCTGACTGATTGAATGAAATAAATATGAATAAATACAGCTGCTTTGTATTTATAACCATCCGTTTTCTATCCACGGGTGCCGTAAAGGACGACTAAGAGACTACAACAGATTCAACAAAGAAGAGGGGTAACACCACTCGGATATATCCGGATCGATTAAGCTTAACTATGGACTGGTGGACTACGACAGAATATGACACGATGTTGGTTAAAAGAGAAAGAACAGAAATAGATATGACTACACAGTATAAAACAAAGTCGCTTTCTCTGTCCCTATGTATGCTTAAATCTTTAAAACTACACAACGGATTTTGATGCGGTTTTTTAATCAAGAACGTGAATGAAGACGTGCCATTAATTGTATAATAACATTCACTAAATAGGGAAGTTTAGTATCAGCATTGTATGGTGTACTTATAAATATATACTAAACATTATAAATATATGCTTAATATACTTACTTCAGGTACTGTTGGTACAGGTACAACGTCAAATTGGTCCTAAGTCTTAACTTCAGTTCTCCTATACTCCATTTCAATGCATTGTTTACTAACGATATCTGAAACAAAAAGATAATTCTGTAATGTTGTCGGTATTAAGTCATTGTATCTAGTTACTTATAAACAAATAATGATAATGTATTTTAATAATAATAGCCAATGATGTTGCATTTTTACAAGTTTTACTATGATTTGAGGTATTCCTCTTAGGGCTCCCGTTTTGAAACGCTCCCATCTAAGCGCTCCCGTTTTATTCCTCGGAGCGCTTCGAGGAACGATTAAAAAAATTAAAATTTACTTCCTCGAAGCGCTCCCACGTTTAAAAATAGGGAAAAGCATGAAGAAAACGTAATGAATTATATCGATAATTTTTAAAAACTCATGTGTGCATCATCGACATCGAAGATGCTTAACCAAATTACGAAATTGAGAGAATTATATCTTTTTGCTTTCGGCACTCTTATGTGTATACAAGGACCAATGTTATTGTGTATTCAAAGAAGATGTTATAAATAAAACGCATAGATAAACTTAATATAAATTATTTACGTATAATAATCACATTGCAGTAGATTTGAAATGCGATGAAAATGTAACACTAATCAATAAACAAATGACTACTTTTGAAAAAAGAATCCCATGTTTTTAAAACAAAATTAATTAGCCTTAGCCTAACAAAAACTATTTTGATTTGAAATGACCAGTACTGCAGAACGGCAATTTCATAGGTAAACCTATTATTACATCAATACGAGTCTGGCGCTATCTCTGTAGGACATTGCCTAGAGATGTTAAGATTTTAATAAGTTTGTTTGCACCTGTTAGTAACGATTAATTAATCAGTAATAATCAAGATATATGAAACTATCTGTGATTTTTAATATTAGATTTTTATACAAGATTATGGATACAAGTTAACAACTTTTTGATTCTCTCAAAAATACGCAGCAGTTTTTATTTTATAAGCATTTAAAGTTTCGAAAAATATTCAGTCGCGCTGGCAGACTAAGTTTATCTATGCGTTTTATTTATAACATCTTCTTTGAATACACAATAACATTGGTCCTTGTATATAATATATAATTCTCTCAATTTCGTAATTTGGTTAATCATCTTCGATGTCGATGATGCACACATGAGTTTTTAAAAATTATCGATATAATTCATTACGTTTTCTTCATGCTTTTCCCTATTTTTAAACGTGGGAGCGCTTCGAGGAAGTAAATTTTAATATTTTTAATCGTTCCTCGAAGCGCTCCTTTTGGGAGCGCTCCGAGGAATAAAACGGGAGCGCTTAGATGGGAGCGTTTCAAAACGGGAGCGCTACGAGGAATACCTCTATGATTTGACTGAAACGTAGATTTTCTTAATAATGCCTCTTTCTTTCTTTGGAAACTTATTCTAGAATGTAGTTTTTAAGTTGTTACACCTTGATATGTTGAGTTATAAGTACCGATTTTAATTAAAATCGGTTAAGCAGTTCCTAAGATTTTGAACTTGAAAGGTTTTATGAAATTGACGTATACGTTTTAAGTGTGGGAGAGCCATGCTTCGGCACGAATGGGTCGGCTCGGCCGGAGTGATACCACGGCCTCACAGAAAACCGGCGTGAAACAACCACAACGTTGTGTTTCGCCGTGTGAGTGAGGTTACCGGAGGCCCAATCCTTCCCCTACCCCAATCCCTTCCCAGTCCCAAAATCCCCAAAATCCCAATCCTTAAAAGGTCGGCAACGCACTGGTAACTCTTTCTTTGTTGCGGGTGTCCATGGGCGACGCCGATTGCTTACCATCAGGTAATCCGTCTGCTCGTTTGCCGACTTATACCATATAAAAAAAAAACGTTAATATTATTTCAAGGGATATTTTTTTTTAACTTCTTCATTCTGAGTCATTTTTAGCTTGTAAAAACATTTGAAGTTTGAGCTTAGGTTTGATATAGAACAAGAGTATTTTTATAAGGTTGTCATAAACCTTTCTTATAGACTTTGTATTAGTATTATTGACTCCCGCTTTTTAATTAGTAGGTATAATAATTCATGTATTCATTTTTATTTACATTTGAGGTTAGAATTTGTCCGTTAAGTTCAAAATCACTGAAGTTTTACTAACTGTTCCGTTAGAACTAATTAAAATGAGTAAAGCTATGAATAAAACAAACAAATCATAAAAAAAATACTAACGACGGGCATGGCAATGAAGAATTGTGTTAATAACCTTCTAAACTCCTTGTGATTCATTGTGATGATGGATCTGAAACAATTATTATGTAATTAGTAACATATCAAAGTTTTACTGCCACGATGAGCTCGTGGTCGTGAGTGTTACTGCTGAGACATGGGTCTCGAGCTAGATTCAAGGATGGGCAAAGTATTGTTGGGATATTTCCGAAAAACCTGAAATGTATCAACTATACTTTATATAATCTATCTATACTTATAATAAATCTGTAGAGAGTTTCATTTCAGAGATCTTTTACTCAAAAAATCTGCAGTTATCTCAGGGAGAAATCGACCGAGTCAGTCAGTTGGTATAATGTACTTGGATTACTTTTTAATTTATTAAGAGAATCGATATGACAGCTTCCGTTTTGAACATTCTGAAAATGGTCTTCGCGGTTTACATATAACTATACCATAAAATTAACACATTACAGAAACGCCACGTGTATGACTTATACTGCAAAAATACAAAAAAAATGAGTAATCCTATACTGATTTTTAACAAATATATTTATAATTTTGCGTATTAAACGCAAAAAAATATCTTTGTTTTCTGAATTTTTTGTATAGGTATTTTAACCAGACAAAAGTACCTAGCTATATGAGCTTATGACCTAAATTAATGTTAAGTAATACATTTATTATCCGGTTTGGAATGTTCTACTTTTAAATCAGCTTAAAAAATAAGCCTATAAATATTATCAGTAAATGTTTTTTTTTTCAATGCTTCGATAGACATGTAAGTGCAAGTAAAATATAAAGCCTAGAATTTGGGGTAAGGTCACCGCCATTGAACGCAATAAAATCAATAAAAGGCAGTCAGATCTACCCTTGGGAGAAAAGATTAAAATTGTACTTAGGTATGAATATGTATAATGTACTTAGGTACTATCATTTTAATGTACTTATCGTATCTACAAACTAAATCAGACGTTCGATAATAAATTATTTAATTTAATCGCAAATTCTGTTCACTTGCATGCTAACAATACCAAAGACAATTTTCGAATTGAAAGATTGAACTTTGTATTGCATTTAGCGAATTACAGGGGTTAGTTTGAGGGCGTTTCAGCGATTATCTGCCTTGCGGCTTTTGCAATACGATAAGTTTTGCGATAAGGTGGACTTTGGTCTGACAGTCATACCGTTAAACGGAGGAGCAAGGTCCATATCGTACGATATCGAAATACAACTAGACATTGGTATAGTATTACGGTGTGTATAGACTGTATGTTTAGCCACAGGTTAAGCAATGCGGATACATTAGAACTTTAACGAAATGAAATAATAGTGACAAAAAATAACGAATCTACACTAATATTATAAAGGGGTAAAATGTGTAATTTGTAAGTTCGTATGTAGGGTGTAACCTTTGGTAACGCTGGTCAAATTTGCTAAATCCTTTTACTGGTAGCTATAAAACATCACGCTGCAATCAAAGGGATCCGATCAGACGGTAAAATCGCGCGAGAGGCTAGCTAGTTAATAAAATTGTCATGGTCTTAGCTAGTGATCTACCCATCGGTCGCTAGTTTTGGCTACTAGGTAAAGATAGAATATCAGAATAACGCCACCGGTACCCCTAAAAACGTGAACGATAACATGGTAAAAAACTGACAGATTTCAACAATGACGTATTATATATAGACACGTCATGAACCAACATCGCGGCGCTTAAAAACGGCGAAAATACAAGATAACTACTTCTACGACTAAAGAAAGGGAAAGCAAATATGACATCGTATAGTGGAATGCCTTTGCTAGAGGGAGATAAATATACATCTTCAGTTATGCCGACGGCACGTGACTATACCTTCATGCGCCGGCCGCCATAAGATGGCGGGCGCCGGGCGGCGTCAAAAAAATAAAATAAAAATAGGTTGTTTGGTGAACTTACGCATGAAATGACACATTTTTGTATTTAACTTTTAGAGTATAATTTGTACATCCTCTGAACACACACGACGGCATGCTTTCTTTAGTTTCGCACAGGTTTACACACACGATATAAATTATAACAAACGTAGCGTCGCGCGGGAGGTTGGTGCGTGACTAAGCGCGATGTTGTCAAATTGCCTTCATTTCATGTTGCCATTTTAGAGCGCGGACAACGTATCTATAGATTTATACATCATTGGATTTCAAAAACTTAATAATCCTTCTTTCAATTGCAATAATTCACATCTTGAGTTCGCCTGTTTAGTTGTAAAAGTTAAGTGTGTGTGGGAGACCCAAGCTTAGGCATGAATAGGTCGGCCCGACCGGAGTGTTACCACGGCCTCACAGAAAACCGGCGTGAAACAACCACACCGTTGTGTTTCGCCGTGTGAGTGAGGTTATCGGAGGTCCAATCCATATTTAAGGATTGAAAAGAGATAGTGGAGGCTGCCCCTCCACTATCTCTTTTCAATCCTTAAATATCCGAAACCTTTATCACTAAAAGGCCGGCAACGCACTCTTTGGTGTTGCAAGTGACCATGGGCGACGCTGATTGCTTACCATCAGGTAATACGTCTGCTCGTTTGCCGTCCTATCTATCGAGAGTATAAACATACAATATATGTATTATTATATTTTATACCTATATTTTTCTTTGAACAGGATATACTACAATGCTAAAACTCCTTTCTCATCATGACATAACAAGTTTTAGATACCTATCACCTATTTAATTTTCTTAGACAAACATAGCTATCTACATAAATATAAGTAGGTATATAAACATACTAGTAAAGTACATTATCTACTATTATCTATCACGTTTTATGATTATTTTGTTTTTACATAACACAATGAATTATTCAATCGTGTGTTTTCGAAAGACATTTACATAACACATCATTCGGAAAGAGTTCACCTACTGACATTAAGAAGGTAACACTGAATGGGTCTGATGGGATTATACATTGAAAAATGCACGTTAGATTCTCCATTTTTTAAACTTTTGAATAATCTTTGTTATAGTCTAGGAAGGTATTTAATATAAGTGATCTTTAGACTAATAAATAGATTGCAAAGCACGTAAAAACTGTATAAGAATTTTGTCTATGGAATCGTGTTGGAAATTATTTCGTTCATCAAATTACCAATTTTCCAGTTCGAAAACAAAAAAAAAACTTAGTAGGAATGGCAAACTTTCATTTGTAAATCAATCGGGGTTGCTTTTTTTTCTAAAGTCGTCGTCGTCGTGACACTGAACAAATAACAATGTATTACATACATTTGACCCTTTTAATACTTTGCTAATTGGCGTTGACGTAGGTTTGCATGTGGCATGTACACATAATACATAAGTGTTATATTTGCACGTAGTGGGCGCTCGCCACTAAATCTCCGGACAGATACAGCGCCTGTGACTGTTACTTTTACTTTTTTTAGGCTCTACACGACAGTAAAAATGGGGTTTATCACAACAATTTTTATATAGCATTTTGTAATATTTTAAAAAGCTGATTCCCACCTTTAACGTTGGTAATACAAGTTACCGGTTTTCAGGGTTTCAAAGATGGGACTTTTTAAACAGTACGTGTAATAACGTGGAATATTGCTCTTCTTAAAATAGGAGAATTCTAATACCAATTGTGTTATTCTTATTATTTTTCTTTCTGGTTCAAATGCCCTTCTTTAAAGTTTTATTTTATATTCCGTTTTTAACTTTTTGCTTCCAACCGCGGCTTCGCCCGCGTGGTAAGTTGATATAATGCAGCCTATTTGTTAATTCAGGGTATATCCAGCCGTTTTTGCGTAAAAGAGAATAGCAGTCATCCTTACATTCTTACAAAAATTCACATTTATATTATCAGTAGGACAATACGATTTAGAACCACTGTCAATTGAATCTTTTAGGAATATTTATTCCTAGGTACCTCTACATTCTAATGTACAGGTTTATACTCTCGATTTTAAATAGGAACAACGTCTAAGAAATCCGGTTTCTCATAAATACAACAAAGTTTTTTATGACGTAACGTTTTAGTATCGTATGATACGTTGCGACTGGCCAATCACGTGAAAAAAACCTTAGAAGACCCAGTGGCTAATAGTATGTATATATTTAGCACTTTAGCTTTTAAAATAGGTGACCTTAAACTTATAGCTAGCTATGCTGATGAGTTATGGCCAATTATTTTTTAAGTTTAGCTATGCCCAACGGGTTCCATAAATTGTTACTTAAAACTGTAATTTCTGCTACCTGTCTGTATATTATGGATGCAATAAATACTTGGAATATTAAAAAAAATGTTTGACCATATATTGAGATTGGGTCTGCTTATAGTTCAGTATATTAATTAAGACTGCTGTCCCTTAATATTGGTATTTTAAATTAAGTTTTATAGCCAGGGTTATAAATTAATTTCAAGATATTTGCGAGTGATTCCATAGCTTATGAATTCATACAGGCATTAAATTATAATCATTAAAGTCCAGAAGAAAAAGAAATTGCATTTAATATTGAGACTTTTTAATTACTATCCTAGTTTTTTGTAATAAATGTGAAAAAAAAATATTTTTTCAGTTGATCAATAAAATCCCTTTATTCTTTTGCACATTGAACCTTAAGAATGCTCTTCACATTCAAATCTTTATATTGAATGTCTGAATGGAAGAAGCAGGATGCTCTTTGCATTCATAACAGAAAAGCATAACACGGAGAAGAGTCAGTATTAAAGTTTGATATGTAACATATGAAAAAACTATTTGGACTAAATTAACTTATATTAAATAAATGTAATTTATAATGAAAACTTAGAATCAAGCAGTACTTAACACAAAAATTTGTTTTTCAAATTTGTTTTAAAATCCAGTAAAGGTGAAATGTCTATCAAATGTCAGTGACAATGCCTTAATAAAATCGATTGCTTTGCATACAATACTTGTGATTATAATCTACACATGGCTATGAGGACTAACTCACTATATTTTACTATTCCATTAAACTGGTTGGGTTAGCTATAAACTTTGATATCTAAAGAAAGTGGACCCCTAACACTTCATTATTTCCTTATTTAAAAAGTCAAATAGTTTTTATTTGCCTTCTTTTCCAACTTGTAGAGTAAAAATAATAAATGAATCTATTGATTGGTTATTAATTACTGTTTAATAAAATATATAATGGTATTTTATTTATCAAATCCTCTATCTTATTTTAATAACTAAGTAAATGATTAATATTTGTATTAATAAGATATCTCTATTTTTATAATAAGAAAATAGCAGGTTTTTTCAATTCATTCAATGCAACTTGCATTATATGTATAATATTTTTATAATATCCAATTTTATAATAAACTGCATTTTATACAATAACATTATTATTATTGTCTTATTCCATATAGAAACAGTAAATAATTATATTATTCTTCATAACTGTGTCAAATAGAACATGTTAAATCTTTTAGTACATAATGAGCATAAAACTACAATCTGTAGATTATACATAAAAATAAGGTTTGGAGCATAGACATTTAATTCTACAGGTATTGTCAGTGAAGCAACATAACTTAGTTGACTAACTAAAGAGTTATTTAACCCATTGTCTGAATACTTAACAGCAGACCCATTAATGAATTCTTACATTCTTTCAACATGTCTAAACATTACTATTAGTATCTGTCATGTCATCCTATTCTATGGTTTTTAAATGATTATTTATTATTTACTTGTACTAGCATAACAAGCCTAACCAAAGTTTTTGTTAAATTAATTATTATAATAATTTTATTATTAGTATATGGATACCTATGCAGTTGAATCAATCATTATTCTTGTTATTTTTATAGATAATAAAAGAAATGGAAATGTATTGTTTGTGTGTACTTATTGTACACTAGCATTAACATAATTATTTAGGGAATTTATCAATATATTCATAGTAGGTTAGTCAATGCTATTGAAAATTACAAATTCTAATTTGGGCTACTGTTTGCTCCTTCCTACTGTTAATCAATATTACTGCAAGTATTAAAGTAAATTACATAAAGGTCAAAAAATATATGAATCTTAGAATAATTAAAATATAAATAAGTTTGCTTCCAAAAACCAGTATTTTGGTTCTGAGTAAACTTTATTTATTTGCTTATTATTCATGTACAACAGACAACATTTTTCAAGAAATAATACAATAAAGACAAAGATAGATCAGGTAATACCTAATAATTTATTTTTCCTTAAATCTATAGCCAAATGTCTTTCATAATTCATACTTTATTATGGATCTCCAAAAAGGATATGGAGAAATAAGCTGTACAATACAAATGTAAGATATATTATTTACATATCCCCATAATTTGTATATATGTTGCATAGATAATCAATAGAAAAAATCTATAGTAACTTACCCCTCTATTAGTGTTGTGTGCTGAATGAGCCATAGATCACACATAGACCTTGATATCAGAGAAAAAGCGACCAGTACCATAAACCCACTCTCCTTGCACCATAAAGATGGCATCATGATCTTCCATAGTGCACTCAGTTCAGCTAAGAACCGTGCATCTACTTGGGCCTTTGGACCCTTTTTATTTTTCTCTTTTATCATGTATTGTATCTGTTCTTCAGGCGAGAGGCGGCTTGATTTGACATTTTTGTGTTGTTTGCTGTAAATAAAATAATAAATGAGGTGTTATATCAAACGTAATTTAAAATTGCTGATTTGGGAATTTCAATTGGATTAACATTTCTGTAGTATAGAATATTATACATTTTTTCAATTATCAAACAAATTGGATAATAATTATCTGTTAATTTATTAATGAGGTAACCCTCATTAATAAATTCACATGATGTAGACACATAATTAATTTATTTTTATATTCAAGTTTCAATAAATGGGCTTGAAAATTTTCCACTGTGTACATTCACATAAGGTTGTCAATAAATGTAAAAATTTCAAAGCAGCTTGTTTAGATTTAACTTTATTTTCCTTTCCATCAAAACTAAGTGTAAGAAATAAGGAAAAGAAAATAAAAATATCAAACATAGAGATTAACAATAAAAAAATAATGGACATAGTATTTGCAAATAATCTGTGATATTAGGTATTCTGTTATCTGTTGAAATTAGGTACATAATAGAAAACTTATGGAGATATAAGTTTGCGACTGACCTTGACTTCAAAGAATTTCTGATTACCCAGGCACTTAGCGCTGCAGAGGCTGCTAACGCAATTTTCACATCAGTCCGTGAGGTAATTTTACTAAAATTCGGCGCCATCACAAAAGCTTATAAATATTAATTTTAAATAATTATCAGCATTTATTTTGAACACACATTAAAACAATCACGACCACGAGCACCAGACACTCATTACACAGTTACACTTCCCCGTTTATTGCGTGAAAATAAATTACTACTTTGGAAATGTGAAGCAGGGGCTTCAAACTTAGAATAAAAAACTGGGGACAGTAATGGATACAATGATACAAAATGACGAAGTCTGACGTAGCCCATGTTCAAAATGAGTTTTAATGTGTTTTTAAATTTGTCGGGTTACATCTTGACGTAGACGGATGATGTTAACAACATGAATAAGAGATGGCAGTTTGGTCTTCTTTTTCGCTGTAGATCCAATAGATGGCGTTAGAGAATGATAATGAAAATAATGCTGTGTATGCATGCACACACACAAAGAAGAATGTCTGCTGATAGCTCGCTTGCACCGGTTATTTTGCGATATTTTGTTTGTGATCTCCTTTTTGTGTTTCGTTCTGAATTTCTCGTCGAGTTTAGCTTACGTTCCTCCGAGTAATGCATAATTGTGAACAGAGAAGGTTTTTCTAATTGAGGCAGGATTCTTGTGAGTGAAGTTAACCTACAATGTCTTCGGGCAGATACTGCTGTGTCCCAGGGTGTAAAGAGAGAGGAGGTATGCCAGACCAGCTATTTATTTATTTAACACAAGCTTCTTCACTTCTTACAACAGCAACAAGTTTATGTGTAACGAACTCATAAACTTGTTGTCAATCCCAAACAATACAAATCAAATTAAATGTACTATGACATTTAATGAAATCAACAGCACAAGTAGACCTATATTTTAAAACCTATAGCAATATACTTATAAACTTAATTTATTTTTCTCAAGCCCCATTTTGACTTAAGACTAGCTACTAAATATAAAACATTTTATAGTGCACCTAAAAAAATATTTGATTGAGAGGTGCTACTATAATTTGACAGAATTTCTAACAGATTCCTAACATTATGACCTTTGATTATTAATATTAATAATAATACATATTAATAATCAAAGATTATGACATTTTTATCCATCTGTTATTCAATTGGTTCCTTTAGGTTTTTTTTTGTGTTTATCTTTGTAATGCCATGTAAAAATCATTATATTAGTTTTAATTAAGTTAATACATTTGTACGCTGTTAGCCACAGCAAAACATGAAGGTTATTGTACTCCTTTTAACATCCTACATTACAACATATAAATATGTATCTTGTTCTGTATACTCGTGTTTTGCAAATAAATTATCTTTATCTTTACTGCCTATCATGTTTTTTTATGAGTTTAATGGAGCCAATATTTTTATTGCAAGTTTACATATTTTATAATAAAGTTGATATCTTGACAATGCAGCTGATGTTATGTGTGTGAATTTGATTATTTTTCAATGATAAAACTTTATTATTTATTTAAGGTATGCATCAAGTACTTCATGGGTTCCCGAATCCTGTAGTTGATAGAGAAGGCTTCAATACTTGGCTGTATGCAATTAACAGTCTTGAACTTGTTTGAAGAATGAACAAATATTGAACCATAGAGTGTGTCATGCTCACTTTGAGGATAAATATTTGTGCCGTAACAACAGAATCAGTAATATTGCCGTGCCAACATTGAAAATGCGCTGTAAGTATAACACTACATATTGCAAAATACTTTTGGATAAACACCCCAGGTTACACACCCCCAGTGCTACATTGTCATATGCAACATGTCAGAATTGTAAGCATTTTAAGACTGATATCATAAAAACTCTTATATGTATTAATACGCACGCATCAGCTTTCTAAGCTGCTAGTGTGTTCAAGTATATAATAATAATAATAATAATGTATATAAAATTCTTGTGTCAGAATGTGACTAACTCCTCTGAAATAATTTTATCAAATTTTATATCCACATTCAGTAGATCTGAAAAATTGGCTAATATTTCCTACCCCTAAATGATAAGAGTGGTTCATCCATAACATTTTTAACAGAGTTAAACCACACAAGAACTTATATTACAAAACCCTAATATTACAATATTATTTTAAACATTCCAACATTCTTATTTTGCGTAAACAAAAGTGTCTCACAGGCTAGTGTTATGACAAAATTTATATTTAATGCCTTTGTAATTAATTGCTTTATTCAAATACCTATGTTTTATTTTTCAGCATTACTGTCTCGGACTTCGTTAATAAATACCACCAGACAGCCTTTGCAGCAAATTCAGAACCTACAATCAACATAATCAGGTAAATATAAATGACACCAATTCTTCCCATGGTTGCCGGGTTCTACACCTAGCAAATGCTAGTACAATGTCAATGTACTTTACAAGTTTATCGAGGACATTGGTGACATTGTAAAGCATAAAATTATGTATAGCTGCCTGTTGTTAATCGTAAGACATTGACGGTTGTTACATTTAGTCAGAAGCCAGAAAGTTGGTCATCATGCCATCATCGATTTATTTCACTTCATAGCATCTAAAACGTATAATTATGTAATTTTTTTTACTAAATAATTTGAAGTGCTATATATATTTGCTTTTTTTTCAGCACCGTTGACTCCTCCTTCAACCACTAGCCTACAACAACTAAATCTGGGCCATGGACCATCACCCTCAAGTAATTATAATTTAATTAAATCCCTGAATGAGTCCACTTCATTCTCCAAACAATAGCTATACCAATGTTTATGATTTATCTGTATCATTTTGTATCTCATTTTAAAGGGCACAACTAGAAGCTAATTTACTTATTGTTGATGAGTAAATAAGTGCTTGTGCAGTAGACTGACTAAATATCGTGTGTATCCTATATGCATTACTTGAAACAATGCACAAAAAAGAAATTAATGAATCTCAGTCACCCAGGCACTTTCTCATGTAGTCCCCGTCCTTATTACGCTACAACATATTCATTCGGTACTATGTAGATATAACGTAGTAAGCACACTTTAAAGTGTGGTTAGACTAATAAGTTTGGGTTTGTCCAACAAATTATGGATTTTTTTTGCAATTGTTGATTTCAAATTGTTTTTGTTCAAGTTTACATTTTATACTTATATATTTTTTTCCTTTATTTTAGTGGCGCCATATACAAAAGTTATAAATTCGTGCAATTATTCATTTCAGGTCTCACAGCTACAATGCAAGAAGCTGCTTTACCAAGTACTTCAGAAACGAATGTGCATCTTAATCTAGGTAAGTTGTGCAAATAAAATCTTGTGTATAACTAAAAAAAGTTTTGAATAAATAGATTAACTTTATTTAATTTATATAATTACAGGAGAAAAAACAACGGTGAAGAAAGCTAAGAGTCGAGTATTCCTTACGAATACAGAAAAGTACCTGCAGGATAAACTTGTTGCTGCAAGTATTAAGTTAAGCAAAATGAAAAATAGATTTAAAAAACTGTCTGTCAATGTAAAAGCAGCGAAACAAATTGCATCCAACCCTGCAGTATGCGACATACTAGAAAATTGTACGAGTACAAGAAAATTATTAATTAGTATGCAATGTCAAGAAGACCACAAAAAAGAAAAGGAGCGACGTTTTACGTTACAAGAAAAAATTGCTTCCTTATCTATTTTTAAGCAAAGTCCCAAAGGATATAGATTTCTGAGATTTTTTTTTATTTTGCCTGCTCAGCAAACACTAATTAAGTTAGTACAAATTTGTAACATCAAGCCTGGGATAAACAGTAATATTTTCTCTCAATTGAAAAATAAAGCTGACAACATGAAAATAGAACAAAGGTTATGTGTTGTTATGTTTGACGAAGTTTCTTTGAAGAGCAATGTTGCATATAGCGAGAGAAAAGATAAAATCACAAGTCTTGTTGACAATGGGCAAAACAGGAAAACTGAATTTGCAGATCATGCTCAAGTCTTTATGTTACGTGGCTTAATTTATAATTATAAGCAGGCAAAATAAGCAGGCATCATATACATTCGCGTCGAGTGCTACTAAGGGACCTGAACGAGCTCAACAAATAAAGGACGTGATAAGAGGTTTGCAAGAATCAGGGTTCATAGTTGTTGCTACTGTATGTGACCAGGGTCCTAATAACAGACAGGCTCTGAAACTGTTAATTAATGAGAACAGGGGAATTTATTTGAGAAAAGGTGAAGAGCCTAAAGAAAATAAAATTTTAATAAATGGTCAAGAAATTGTACCACTTTATGACCTGATGATGATGACACTGATGACATCTCCTCAAAGGAATTAGAAATAACTTTATGTGCAAAGATTTAGAATTCACCAAAGATGGTGTAACAAAAATTGCAAAATGTTCGCATTTAAATTTACTTCTCAATGAAAACCCTGGTTACAAAGGCATTAGGTTGATTCCAAAATTAATGGAATATCATATCAACCCTCTAAAAATTAATAAAATGAAGGTTAAATTTGCCTCACAAATATTCAGTCGTACTATGGCGTCTAATATGGGATACTTGGCAGGTAATGTATGTTTTATTTATTTATTCAAACTTCATGCACAAGGCGGGTACATAGGCGGACTTAATGCCTAAGGCATTTTCTACCAGTCGAGCCTTGGGTGATGCAGAGCTGTGCCGGTGCAAGAAGCAAAGCAAACAGACTTTATTTTATATGAGTCAAAACGAGATAGATACATATATATGTGTGTGTGTGTGATAGATACATATATTTGTTTTATTGTATAACTAGAATATGCAACAAGCGAATGTACTATTCCGGAAAATCTAATATCTCACGAAAGTGTTATAATCAGTCACGTTTTGAAAAAATACTTGTTACGTGTTTGAAATCAATTGAAGTAGTTTGCAAAAATAAATATAATTCAGAACTTTAGGCGATTAAACTGTCATACAATTTTTTTTTTTCAGGTAAGAACATACTTCCCGCTGAGTGCAAGGACACCGCTGATTTACTGCTGTTCATGGACAATATCTTTGACTCCGTGAATGGCAGTCGACAGAAAAATAGAAATGCAAAACCCTTACTAGGGCCAGCAACGCCAAACTCGGCACATCACCAAATTTGGATTGAGGGAGTACAAATTTTTAAATCGATGAAATTTGTATCGAATGGTAAAAAACAATCGGTTCCCTCCATTACCAATTGGGTGTGGACACTGAGTAGAATAAATAAACTACAAAATGAGTTTAACGTGTCGTCAGTGTGGTTGCGGCATCTTAATCAGGACCCCTTGGAAAATTTCTTTGGGGCGGTAAGAAACCAAGGGTGCCGCAATACTAATCCCACCTGCGACCAATTCGAATCGGCTTTCACCACATTATTAATAAATAATATAAGCAGTGTCCACACCCGCGGAAACTGCGAAAAAGACTTTTGCGATGCATTGTATTCTCTCACCATCAACGAAAATGCAGAAACAACGTCAACCTGCTCATCGTTTGATTTTTCAAACATTATTGAATTTAATTTTACACCTATAGAAATTAAAGAAAGGGATCCCCGTATTGTTGGACCTCTCCAATATATAAGTGGATATTTTTTGAAGAAAATTAAATCTAAAATATTTAAAACTTGTAGAGATTGTTGTAACCTATTAATGGAAAAAAATGAAATTGAGTATATAAAATATAGGGAATACGCAGGTCGACGATGGCTTTGCACTCCCAGCAAGAAGTTAATAGAGCTGATTTCCAATATGCAAGATTTAATCAAACAAAAGAAAATATAGAAAAATTATATTTAAAGCTAATTATTAATACAGCTGTTAGTAGTTTTGTTGATTTTACATTTATAAAATGTATAATAGAGAAAAAATAATCGATTTTTTAATTAATATTGTTATTAGATTTATAATTTTTAATTACTGTAAAAATATCAATATAATATTAGCTGGGAGAAAAGATGTTGATGATGATGAGAACAAATTGCAAGTTAAAGCTAAAAAGTTAAGCGAGTACTATAGAAAAAACAAATAAACTAGATTTTCATCAAATATGTTGTTTCATTTATACCTCTTTTTGTTGTAGCAGTAGATAGTGTAATTCACTATAAGAATTGTAAAATATTTAAAGTGAATTACACTGTCTACTACTCGTTTCAGTCACGTAGTTGAGCAGTAACGAAAAACAACCAACAATCTATAGATGCACATCCATAGTATAGATATGGTTATATATATAATAAAAATGTTGTCTAACATGGATTACAGATGGCGCTGTTAGTAGTTACCCAATTTGACATCGAAGATTGGTCTCTATTTCCTATTGTTAAAATGTACTCTGTGATGTGAAGCAAGAACCCGTCTTTGATACTTTCTGACTTTTATCTAAGTATGACAGCTGGCTGTCACTGTCATGTTTTTGTCTCTCAATTTTTATTTACTTTGATCATATGTACATTTATTTTATGGTTTATTTATTATAATTAACAATATTAATATATTATTAAATGAAAAAAATTGGTAAAACATTTTTGTCGTCTTATTTCAATTTTAAATTAGCTCTATACTATTTTTGTACACAATTAATGCAAATGCAAGGAACTGCTTTGACTGAACTTTCATGTTTACGATATACTAAAGCTAGATGGCGTTACTTTTACGTTTTTTAACTTACGTTTAACGTTACACGTTTGTTATGTTCGTTACGTTTGGTAAGTTCCATGTAAGTTCCAAAAACCGGGTGGCTAAGCAACTGGATGGCGTGCAACATGTCGCAGGTTCGATTCCCGCATGCAGTTACCTGCCTTCCACGAATTGCTGTTACAGTTCTGTATCTGATATGTAAAATAAACACATTTGCACATAATGTTGGGTTAAGTTTTGAAAAGTCTCTCTCCCGTGCTAATCACTTGCGCCTGGTGTTGCTGGTTTACTGATTTTATAACATCAGGAATACTATGAAAAGTAAGTGTGCCATGCTTCGGCCCGAATAGGCTGGCTCGGCGGGAGTGATACGGCCTCACAGAAAACCTTAGGCGGGTAGGTACGTGAATCAACACTAACTTGTTTCGCAGTGTGAGTTAGGTTAAAGGCGGGCCAAACTTTTTCCTTTCCGCCATCCTTGATCCTCAGATCGCCTATCCTTAAATCACATAAAATAAATCACAAGAGCTCGGCAACTCAATTGTAATAACTCCTTTGGTATTTCAATTCATAGTTAGTTTCAATGTTATTTTTCAATGTTATTCAATAGTTAGTTTCAATGTTACCTATAAAATATGTACTATTGGTTACTAGAACAATGACACCCGATCACAAAATAATGAGTAGGTACGGGTCACATCCACATAGGTACGAGTTGAGAGAACAAACTTAAAAGGAATAAATACTTAAATTTGGAAAATCAAACCTACGTTTAATTAACCTACCTACTTATAGTTGAAGTTCACGCCTAGTCCTAAAACAAAATAAAGATAGGTACTATAATAATAAATTAAAGGTGCCTTAGTGTTTTTTATTTTAATGAATCATTATAATTGTTTGTTCCATTTAGTTGTTATATTCAGGGAACAAAAACCACGATCGTGTCGTCTACACGATTTATTGGGGCTTAGTGAGGTCGGGACCTCTCGATTGCCTGGTTTAGGGACACTAACAGCGATCATACCACCCAATCCGTTGGAACTTAGAGCCAGATGATCGTGTGGTGTTAAAAAGTCTAGTGAGAGTTTTGCATCGAGATTATTATGACTGTAGCCCTTTAACCAACTACTCAGTGCAAAGCAAACTCGCACTAAGCAAAAGACACTCGTACTGAGGGATGTTTTATAATGGAATATCGTCACATAAAGCATTATGTGTAAGAGGCTAATCTGTGTTATTATTACAAGTTACTGTGTGATAGACAAGTAAAGGTAAAGTTTGTAGAATAGAAAAAAGAAAGACAAACATATTAATTTAAATTTGTTTTATTTATTTCTCCAGCACATGATTGTGATTTTATTTCTAAACTTAATTTATCTTAAGAACTAATATTTACAGTAAATTACAATTGAGATACTGGTGGGACTAGAGATCAGATTTTTTTACTCATCATTGAGTTAATTAGGAACTTAGTCTACTTCTTCTACGGTCGGTCCCGAGTTCGCTTGTTGTTGGCCGTATTGTTGGTGTCCAGCTCCCGCGCCGTGCATTTTACTCATGATGGGCGAGCACGTCCTCTGGAGCTCCTTCAGCCGATGTTCGTACTCATCTTTTTCAGCCAGTGTGTTGTTATCTAGCCACTTTAGTGCCTCGTCGCACTCGTTCCGCGCTGTCTGCTTGTCTTGCTCACTCAACTTGTCGCCAGCATCGTCCAACGCTTGTTTCACGCTGAAGATGTATGATTCCAGCTGGTTACATGAAGAAACCCTCTGTCTCTGGCGCTCATCCTCTTCCTTGTATTGCTCGGCTTCAGATAACATTCTGTCAATCTCAGCCTGTGACAGACGACCCTTGTCGTTCTTGATCACAATATTCTTGCTGCGGCCAGTGCTATTTTCTTTGGCCGATACGTTCAGGATACCGTTTGCGTCTAGGTCGAATGTAACGTCAATCTTAGGCACTCCTCGTGGTGCAGGCGGAATGCCTGTCAAGTCAAAGCGACCCAGCAAGTTGTTGTCCTTTGTCATGGCTCGTTCACCTTCATAAACTTGGATAGTCACAGCCGGTTGGTTGTCCGAGTATGTGGTGAATGTCTGCGACTGTTTGCAGGGTATCTTAGCATTCCGCTCGATGATTTTGGTCATGACGCCACCGGCTGTTTCTATACCAAGAGACAGAGGAGCCACGTCTACCAACAGCACATCTTGGATCTTGGAGTGCTGCTCACCGCTGAGTATAGCTGCTTGCACTGCTGCTCCATACGCGACGGCTTCATCTGGATTGATGGACAGATTCAGCTGCTTACCACAGAAGAAGTTCTGCAGCATGCTCTGGATTTTAGGGATGCGAGTAGAACCGCCGACCAGTACAACATCATGGATGGAGCTCTTGTCTAGTTTAGCATCTTTTAGCGCCTTTTCGACGGGTTCAAGGGTGCCTCGGAACAGATCAGCATTAAGTTCTTCAAATCTTGCACGAGACACTCTGGTGTAAAAGTCAATGCCTTCGTGTAGTGCATCAATTTCAATAGTAGCTTCTGTGCTTGAAGATAATGTTCGTTTCGCGCGTTCTGCCGCCGTACGTAGTCTACGGAGAGCGCGTGAGTTGTTTCGCATATCTTTCTTGTATTTACGTTTGAACTCATCGGCTAGGAAGTTTACTAGCCGGTTGTCAAAGTCTTCACCGCCAAGGTGTGTATCACCAGCAGTCGCCCGTACTTCAAACAGAGAGCCTTCATCGATGGTTAAAATTGATACATCAAACGTACCGCCACCGAGATCAAATATAAGCACATTCCGTTCGCCTTTGAGATTTTTGTCCAGACCGTAGGCAAGGGCGGCAGCGGTCGGCTCGTTGATGATCCTGAGTACGTTGAGACCAGCAATGGCACCTGCGTCCTTGGTAGCTTGTCTCTGCGAGTCGTTGAAGTATGCTGGAACAGTGATAACTGCATCCCGAACTGTGGTTCCAAGGTATGCCTCTGCGGTCTCCTTCATTTTTGTTAACACCATACTGCTTATTTCCTCAGGTGCAAACTTCTTCGTTTCTCCCTTAAAGTTAACTTGAATTTTGGGTTTGCCGCAGTCATTTATTACTTTGAAGGGCCAATGCTGCATGTCCTGCTGGATCTTCGGGTCGTCAAACTTGCGGCCGATGAGTCGTTTAGCATCAAATACTGTGTTGTTGGGATTGAGGGCGACCTGGTTTTTGGCTGCATCTCCAATCAATCGCTCTGTGTCTGTGAACGCGACGTATGACGGAGTAGTTCGGTTGCCTTGGTCATTCGCGATTATTTCCACATTCCCGTGCTGCCATACTCCAACACACGAATAGGTAGTACCAAGATCAATTCCAATGGCTGGCATTTTTCTTGATTATATTTCTTCACTATACACTTCTATAAACAATTTATTTGCTTTGCTTTAACTTTGTTCGGTAGTGTTACCGCACTTAACTTCTTCTCTTCTCTTCGCTTGTTTGTGTTTTCAAATACTGAATGCTTTGCCGCGCTTACCGGCCCCTTATATACTCGGCCAATAGCGTTCCAGAACAATCTAGAACATACACGACCCACCAATCAGGAACGTTCTATTAATGATTTTACTGTGACCCTTATTTTTGTCGACCAATCAGCGCATTAGAATGAGATGGAGCTATAAGTTTTAAAGCGAGATAGCAATAAAAGTGTTACCAGACAATAAAAAATCCCTCTTTACGTGGTAAAAATGATAACAGTAAAGAAAGTAATTAAACAATTCATAATATTTTAGTATAGGTATAGCGATGTTTTTATTAGAAACTTTTTATTAAGCTTAAAATGTGTATAAACATATATATACAATACATTACGTGGAATTACAAAACAATCAAAAAATATTCTTCAATAAACAACCATAGCATTGTGTTCGCCGTGAGAGGGATTTTACTGGATGCCCAATCTTTCTCATCTCCCAGTCTATAAATCTTCGGGATCCTAATCCCCAAAAGGCCGGTCACCCACTCGTAGCATTTCCGGTGTTATGTGTGTCCATGGACGGTACCAATTGCTTACCATCAGATAATCTGACTTCTGGGCCTATCACATAAAAAAATAGATGTTCTTATTAAAACAAAGAAATAAGTTTTGTATTTTTAGGTTTTAATTTTTCAAAGTTAGACAATTCTTTAAACTTTTCTGAGAAATAATATCTGATAGTTAATTAAAGAATTATCGCGTTTATTTCACATTAGGTAGGATTATTACATTATGCAGTATTAAAATAAAATTTAACTGATTTTCTTTATTTAAGAGATTTAAAAAATATATCATGCATATTTAATTTGCATGTTAAGGTTGGTATACAGGGGTCTTAAATGAAATAACAAGTACTTTCTATTGAAACGAGACTAAATAAGCTACATCATCATTTATTTCAAAATAATAATTATCTATTAAGCTATCGTTACAGTGGTATATATCGTTATTTTACTAATTAAGTTATTTTATTTGCGATTGTTAGGCGTGGTAGTAAAATATACCACTCGGGAAAATTGTATACAGATACTGGCCACACTGTCTAATTTTATCGATTCTAGAACATTCCACAAAATATTGTTGTCTCACAAAATATATGTTCTGTCTCCTTCATCCGTCAAGGTTTTGCGGACGATTATTCTAGAAAATAAATTCAATACATTATCGCTATCGCGTTCTTTCTTATAACGCTGTCTCTCCCACTGCGGCAAAGAACATTCTAGAACGGTTATCCGACCGTTGAAAGAGGTTTGTTTGTTTCCCCTACCGGTTGCTGTCTTATCGGCTGTTTTGAATTTGTCCGTATAATAAAGTGGGTTGAGGGGACTGCATCTGACGCAATGGCTATATAAACTGAAACGCGGGGGGGATTCTTTGAGATACCTTTTCCAAGTCTAGTGGTGAGGTTCGGTTATTACCATGTATTTTAGGATTGAGTAGTGGTAGGACCAGACAGGCCCTTTAAAATGTAGGCACATACCAAGTAACAAAATAGTTTTAAAAATGTATATTATTATACGGAGTATAGCTAAAGAGGTGGCAAGTCCCGTTAGCACATAAAATGGCGGAGTCATCGCCCGGTTGACGAGTACTGCGTAGATCCTCTTAATTTTGATTGTATAAAGCAGGGGAAGACGTTTTTTTAAGGAATAAGATGTAAGGTAAGGTATTACTTTATTATATTTTTGTTTTTATTTCGTAAATTTTTGTATACTATTGGCAAAATTTGGATTTCTTTGTAATTGCGTCACAGAACGCCATGATGTGGTTGTGTTAGACTTTTAAGTTTCCAAAAACAGTAAAATACTTATGATTATTCGCTTTAATTTAGTTTTTGGCGTTTTAAGTGTCTTTTTAGCCTCTTATTCGGTGTATTTCGATGCAGGATCATTAAAAACCGGTGTTTTATATTTGCCGACATACGTGACCAAAATGGCGTCTTATTTGACCTTCACTTCGTTTGTTTATTTTGGACAATATTTAATCTCTTATCAGCTAACATTATGTTCCAGCTGTTGAAAAACATCTGTCCACGTAGGCAATGGAATTTTCCATATTTTTCAGTTAGTTCAGTTTATGTTTTTAACTTGAAGCACATTTTGTAAATTATGTTTTCGTGCCTACGGAAATAGGTACCCCAAGAAGTGCCTGGATAGCTATTAGAAAAAAATTGGAAATACCTAAGCTTGATTATTGCTAATATTTTTTAGGTTTAGGAAAGTAGAAATTTAATAAGTATTGCGCCAGATCCGTATAGGCAGGGATCTTTTTACGTAATTTAATAATTAGTAAGAACGTTTTTTGCGTAAGTAGGATTTAAAACATATCCTGCAATAGGTTACTTACGGCATAGAAACATTCATTAGTGTCATCCCAATAAGAACATAGAATACCTACCTACAAGAATATCATCATTCGGAAATATCAGCGTTAAGGGAGCTAGGTTAAATAGGAAAAACGTAGGTAGGATGACTAGGTAACCTGCGGTTATTACCTAGGTAGAGCCCCGTAGAATACATAATTCGAACAATCGTATTTTCATAGGAACTTGGTACTTACAAACATTTGGGTTTAATTCGATGAAAAAAATGCATAGGTAGGTAATACTACGTCAAAGTTATTGTTAGTATTTTTCCATTAAACAGCTGTGCTGCAGGAAAAAGATGACGTCAACACGTAGAGCGCCATCTGTAGGGCTTTTAGATACTATATTGCGCAGGTCGGGACGGGGCACCGCCCTACGTCATGCGGCAATCGATATTCTAAGTAGGGGTTTGTGTAGAGATGTACCTTTTATGTAGATTTGAGTTAAATGAGGTATAACCATAGAATAGTTTTTTTAGATATATATAATGTATATGATAAGAACAGAAAAGATAGGTATAAGATATTCTTTTCTTATTTTTGTGTTTTTGTATTTGATAACGACGTGTAATAGGCTACAGGATAGGAGTACAAAGAAAACTGATAATAATAATATAATTGGTTTTAATCAAGTTTACCCTAAACTGCAGGAAAAAATCAAGGCAGCGATTATTTTTATGGCAAAAAGAACTAAAATAATGCGCCATTCAAAGGTTTAGCTAGGTACTTATTTGCGAAACTGTTTTTTTTTACTCTTTTATCTTAGATCCAAACGATGATTTTATATAATGTATAGCATATTTTAAGGACTGCTAGGTATACATAAAAAATATATTATTGCGGTTATTCCAAAATTTCACGGATTTAGGTACGGTTCCTATTTTGATATGATCATACAAAACGATAAACGATTGGTTTTCCAATAAGAAATTGATTAGGTAATCTAGGTTTATCTAGTATATATTTTTTTCGGTGGGTTTCCCAAATATGAATAATGTTTAATAATTTACTCTAAGCGGATAAGAGGAAGTGGTTGATTAATAAATTAATTATCTACTTAATTAAAGATACGACGTGGCTGATAATGTTATCAAAAAGAGAATAGAATTACCGAATGATAATTTTTATTTAAGTGATAAAATAAATAGGTACCTACGTGCGGAGATGGAAAGCGTTTGGCTAAAGATAGTGCGACTAATTACACGGATATGTTAAAAAAATAAGTTATAAAAAGAAATAGGTTATAAAAATCGTAGTGTGTGTGATTTTATATTCGTACGATAACGATTTTTAGTATTAACAAGGTCGATCTAGAAAAATCTAAGAAGTTGAAAAGATTGTTACAGAAAAATCTATACAGCAAATCAGTAATTAATAGGTTTAGATTATGCGGCTTTTCTTAAATATTCTGTTACTATATTTCAAATTACTTCAAATACAATATTTTAGTATAATAAAAGAGAATGTTTTCCGTGTGATCTTAAAAAAAATATTCGGGTTTTTTCGACAATATTTATTTAAATAATTTCAAAATATAATTTACGTCTATCACGTAGGTAGGGTATATTTAAAAAAAATATGTTTTTGTTGGAATTTTCCAAAGATTTAATTATTTATGTAAATCCTTTTAATTGTTAATATTACTTATTCGTTATAATTATTATCGTCGTAGGTGATTATAATATTTATTTATAAATACATATATGTTTGTTATTAACCAGAACGAGGATGTGGTAACCTAATTAATTTCGCACTTAAGTAGTGTTTTCCTCAATTAGTTACAATTTACCTAAGCGTATTTTGTATGATGTTTTACGATCCTTAGCTATGAACATAAAAGCATTCAGCATTGTATAACTACAGCGCGCAAATATTAATTTTCAGTAGTGTTAACCAACTGATTACAAATCATTGAAAGAACACATCTTTAAATTCTTTATTAAAATTTGCCTGGTATCTTGCTACTGAATAAATTATTAGACATGCTTTTGTATTTTGTGTCATGAAATACCTACCTGCCTATTTTATTATACAAATTATTAAGAGAACAGCTACATTGCCTCTAGTGAAATCAGCTGTGATAATTGTACAGATTTCAAGTTTAAACATCACCTCACTGTCGGGACCATCGTTGTTAATAAAACCCATCGCTTGGTTAAATAACAATGTACCTTACCTCTTTCATTTTCTAACACAAAATTGTGCATACGCTTTTGGTACTTAGAACGTTTTACACTTGAATTGCATACGGGTTTGCGAGACTGCCAATAGATCGTCGCGTTGCTTGGGATTGTTGCACTGTGCACACAGATGCACCACGGTAATACTATCAATTTAATATAGTATGATAATATTAGCGTGGTTGTACGTTGGCTAATTTGGCTCCTAATTCGGACTTAGTACTTAGGCAGGTCCCTGCGTTTATGCGTCACTAATTCACGTTTGTAGCATTCGTTGAGACGATTACCTACCCCAGTGAATGTTAGGCTGCGCTGATCACGATTTTATGTTGTGTGTCGTAAGAACTAGTTCTCGAGCACTTCATTTATTCCTTGTCTTGCATTCGTTGTTAGCTTGAGGTTGACATTATCCTTTATTTTAACAGTATCTGTGTTCTTAGCTTTACCTAAAGCTTTTGCATATTTATTTACTACGTTCGTATCAACGTTTTTAGATTTCGTCTGTTGT